AGGAGAAGTAATTTGCGATTTAATTTATTCCACTTGAATAGGATGAATAGAAGTAATCCAGCTAATCATCTTCAAGATAATTAATTAAAGGTAAAGTAGAAGAATTCTCTTCTTTTATTGATGGAAGACTATTGGATGATAATGATGTACTAAAAGTAACTGAATATGAAGATAGTAATAAAAGTTATTTATTTTTTTTCAACAGTGATGAAGGGCGATTTACTCTTTGAAAGAGAAGTTGTTATAAAATCAAAGCTCTCTTATTGGTTAAGGAGTCAAATGGACTAGTTCTCCACGGCGTGTTAGACCTAAGCGCATGAGAGTACGCCTTAACTATAAAGAATTGAGATGGAATAACATTTTGTCTAAGAGGAATAGTAATTTAAAACTCTTCCAAAAATTAAAAAAACTGTTAAGGAGAAGAAAAGTTCCAAAAAATCTGGAAAAAGGAAAGAATGAGTATTCTCAAAAATAAATAAAAAATATCACATATTTTAAAACGCTCAAATTTAATTCAATAGCATTATCAAAATTAGTAAATAGCACATTCAAATGTGTAAACAAAGTAAATAATATTATAATTTAAAACTCATTAGATTTTTTAAGCAGTAATATTTACCATTTTAGATTCAAAAAAAGTCTTTGTATGCTTATCTATTATAATTCACTTTATTTATTATACAGAAAATCTAATTCTTTTATTAATGTATTGAATTTTTATTAAAAAAAGTAGAATAGATTGTTTAAGTTAAATTATGATTACTTTAAACATTAGAATCCAAGATGAGGTTTATTCAAAAGCTACTAACAGATAAATTTTTTTTTGGAGTTAAAGCAAAATCTTATAGAATAACTTAATGAAAAATAATTAATTGCTAAGTTAACATTTTTCGTATAAGATATTAAGTAAATTATTAGAGACTATTCATTTGATGAAAATTCTACTCTGGTAACATATAAATATGATATTAGGCTAGAATAAATATAATTTCTCTTTAAATTATTGTTGAAAGTTTATCTTAAAGAGAATGAATGCAAATGATTTCCGTGTGTATATAAGATTTCCCTTAATAATAATACATTTAATTAGATTTTAAGTTGATTTTAAGAAATAGTATGAAAATAAGCAATAATCCATATTATAAGTGATTTGCTTAGTTTGTTGTAAATTTTAAAACGAATCTTTTTCTTTAACTATATATGATATTCATTTAATCTTAATGAATAAAAGATCAGAAGACAACAAAATTTTGTTGTTTTCTAAGATAAGAAAGCATGATGTTTTATATTATTGGGCCATCAATATTAAAATATTAAAATATATACCAGCTAATTGATTTTTAACCTTATAATATTCTGATTTCTTATTTTTAGAAAGACAATTCAGTATTTAAAAATGATTATCAAAGTTAACCAATATTCTCCTAATCCAAAAGAATTAGAAAATTAGAATCAGAAATCAGAAATCAAAATTAAAAAATCATATAATATTTTAGACTTTTGGAGTATAATCAATAATAGTATCCATCAATCATATATTAATAGAAATAATTAGCTTAGTTAGCCACCAATATTATTATTGGATTATAGTTTCAAATTAAATAGTCTATCCTTAATCCTGATGTAGCTATAAATTTTTCATTACTTCATTCTATAGTATTATGATAATTTTATTTCCCTCCATTTCTATATTTTAACTTTTATTATGCACTTAAATGAGCAATTACTTAATCAATACATTTTTAAATAAGTTTTTTGTTATACTTAGGATTATAAATAACGAAAATATATATTCTTAAATTATTTTCAAAATTTTTATTTCAATTATTATTGTTTCATATACTACGAGTTAAAGTTAAATTACTATTCAATTNAGAAAATCTAATTCTTTTATTAATGTATTGAATTTTTATTAAAAAAAGTAGAATAGATTGTTTAAGTTAAATTATGATTACTTTAAACATTAGAATCCAAGATGAGGTTTATTCAAAAGCTACTAACAGATAAATTTTTTTTTGGAGTTAAAGCAAAATCTTATAGAATAACTTAATGAAAAATAATTAATTGCTAAGTTAACATTTTTCGTATAAGATATTAAGTAAATTATTAGAGACTATTCATTTGATGAAAATTCTACTCTGGTAACATATAAATATGATATTAGGCTAGAATAAATATAATTTCTCTTTAAATTATTGTTGAAAGTTTATCTTAAAGAGAATGAATGCAAATGATTTCCGTGTGTATATAAGATTTCCCTTAATAATAATACATTTAATTAGATTTTAAGTTGATTTTAAGAAATAGTATGAAAATAAGCAATAATCCATATTATAAGTGATTTGCTTAGTTTGTTGTAAATTTTAAAACGAATCTTTTTCTTTAACTATATATGATATTCATTTAATCTTAATGAATAAAAGATCAGAAGACAACAAAATTTTGTTGTTTTCTAAGATAAGAAAGCATGATGTTTTATATTATTGGGCCATCAATATTAAAATATTAAAATATATACCAGCTAATTGATTTTTAACCTTATAATATTCTGATTTCTTATTTTTAGAAAGACAATTCAGTATTTAAAAATGATTATCAAAGTTAACCAATATTCTCCTAATCCAAAAGAATTAGAAAATTAGAATCAGAAATCAGAAATCAAAATTAAAAAATCATATAATATTTTAGACTTTTGGAGTATAATCAATAATAGTATCCATCAATCATATATTAATAGAAATAATTAGCTTAGTTAGCCACCAATATTATTATTGGATTATAGTTTCAAATTAAATAGTCTATCCTTAATCCTGATGTAGCTATAAATTTTTCATTACTTCATTCTATAGTATTATGATAATTTTATTTCCCTCCATTTCTATATTTTAACTTTTATTATGCACTTAAATGAGCAATTACTTAATCAATACATTTTTAAATAAGTTTTTTGTTATACTTAGGATTATAAATAACGAAAATATATATTCTTAAATTATTTTCAAAATTTTTATTTCAATTATTATTGTTTCATATACTACGAGTTAAAGTTAAATTACTATTCAATTTATAAAAATATATTTAATACTTAAATAATATAATGTTCTTTACTATATTTTAAAATGAAAATCAAATGAACATTTTTAAAGATAAATATTAATTATATCTGAAATACTTTAAAAAGATTAAATTATTTTTCAACGCTAAAACATAAAATTGAATATATATAAATATTTCATGTGTTCTTTAATTCAATAAAAATTAAATTTATTTAAAGTATTTCATATCATCTTTCTTAATTTTAAATTTTAATTTATTAATTGAACAATTTATAGAAATTCAAGTACACTTTATAACTCTTCAATCTTAATCTAAGAAATTAAATTAATTCATAATTCATGAAAGAAATTTCTTAATCCATAAAGATAATTATAACAAAATTGAATTAATTTTTCCAATTATTAATAAGATGATTACATAATTTATTTTGAATATATTGTGAAATTATGGTTTAATCAATATTTCTTTATAGATATTTAAATTTAAGTGCTTCATTTAGTAATTATGATTTACATAATATAAATTTATATGTCGCCTATTTTGTCAGATTTTAAATATAAATTATTGAATAATTTAATTCATTTCTGATAATCCTTTAGTTTATCTTGAAAAAGGTTGATATAAACTTAAACTTTAGATTTTAGTTTATAATTTTGTACTCACTATTGATAGTCAATATAATGTTATAGGGAAGCACTAGCTTTGAACCAATCATATGATTTATAAGAAAACTTGTTTATGGGGATAGGTTATGAATTCATAATAAAAGTTAGGTTAATCATATATTGTATTAAATATTATGAGGAATCATTAAAATGTCATGAAAAAGTAGTTTAGATAAATCCTAATAATGATTAGGCTTACTTCTAAATAAGTATCACTTTTATTAATAATGTTAGGAATTGTATTAATTTCAATTAAAATTTTAAATACTATTCAAATGGATGTAATAAATTATTAGAGTATTTGTATATAGCCCTAAGTTTAAAACCCGATAATTAGACATACCATAATTAAATAGGTATATTTTATTCTTGTATAGCAAGAATTATATGTGCTGCTGCACCAATTAAAGAAGCTTGCATCTAGAATATATCAGGAAAGAATTGCTATTGGAATGATGTAAATTGTGTTGATATAATCTGCTCAAATGCTCCAATTACATTAAGTACTAATTCTGATTGTGCAGGATTCTTTACAGGATGTAATTATTAAATCAGGTGGAAGTTGTGTTAAAATGGGGTCATTTTCAGTAGCAAATATACAAAAAACTGTGAAAAATCGATTTTCATACTATTTGCGACAAAGATATAGACAATAAAGTTTGTATATGGAAATGTAAATGTTATAAGAAACTTTTGTCTTAGCTTTATTATCCATAACTACTTACACTTAATCATAAAATTTTCATTCCAGTTGTTCTCTAAGTAATACAGAGTCAGGATGTGTTACTAAAAGTTGAAGCAATCATAATTGAAGCAGCATGACATATTAAAATTAATGTTATACCTATGGATGGTATTGACAAATCTTGTTCTACCACTTCAAAGACTTTTTCAAATACTTTATAATTTAAATCCTATATTTCAAGTAGTTTTGTTCATGATTCATAATTTCCTCATAATTCCATATATTTTTAATTCTCTGCTATAATTAATTTTTTCATCTTCAGTCTGCTTGAAGATCTTTTATAAATGAGAAGAGTTTGCACATTGCATAATCATTTTTTCCCTTTCTACTATTTCCGTATACAATATATGCAAACTTTATATATTTTCTCATTAGGTTCTTCTAGACTCTACAACTTGTCAGTGTCCAAAAAGGAATTATCTATTAAATAGAAACAAAAATTTTAAATTTAATTATACATAATAAATTGTTTTTTTAACTATTGTTTTAATTCATTATTGTATTTCTTTTTTGGAATGGCATCATTTCAAATTTTTAACTGACCTTAACTTATTCTTTTTTTTAAATCAAGGTGGAGGCCATCAAATAGAATTGAGGCAAATTATTTTTAAAATCGGAAGCCTATTTATAATTGATAGGGAACTTGATTTTATTTAGATTATAATTTGTAAATAGACTAAAATTTACTAATTCATCATCTTTATTTTAATTATATGATTTTGTTGGTTAATAAATATGACTAATTATTTTTATTTAACAATAGTTTCTTGTTATCTTACTTTAAATTTAATTCTGATTAATTTTTAATTGAAATTAAGATATTTAAGTTGTGATCTAAATTAAACACTTATGTTGTTTAACTAATGTAAAATTTTAGTAGTAATATCGACATTTATCAATTGATTAATTAAATTAAAAAATAGATATAGTTTTGTAAATGTTAAAATATTTATGCCTTTCTTTCTGTTTTTATTGTTATGTCATTCTTTATTTTATGAAAAAATTTAAATTAAATAATTAATCTATTGTAGTTAATTTTGAATTTTAAAGGAGAATTTTTAACTAGAGCTAGAACTACTCATTAAAAAAATCCTAATTGATTTATTTTTACATAAAGATATACATTTAAAGTCCTAATTACAAATAAAAAAGTAATAATTGCAATAAAACAAAACTATAAATATTCGCTTTTACAGCATCAGGACAAGAGGCAAGCATAATAAGAAAATCTTGTTAAGAATTTAGGAAATCTGCACATTGGCTCTTTTTCAGTAGTATAGAAATAAGCTTTAGAATTATTACTATGAAAAAAATTCAATTATGATGAATTGGATGTCTTCGTAAATAGGATTATTCCAATAATACTTGAACTATCGACATAAATGGTATCCAAAAATATTCATTTTTCATTTTTAAATAGAATTTATATTATCGATATATTTATTTTAATGTTCATTATTATTCCATCAGTGACTATTGTCTCATTTTTTGCATTTATGCTGATTACTAAATTTTGAATGATGTTCCTCTCTCTAATGTTTCATCTTCCTTGAAGTGTCTCACAACTGGAGGAATCAGTTTCTAAAATAAAAACTCTCCTTTTTTTAATTCTTTGAATTCTTTATTCAATACATCATATGAAAATCCGTATTCACAGTTACAATGAAGTGGTTTTTATGCAAAAGCCTCTACCCAAACATGATCATAATATAATTATTCTTCTATTTCAGTCACCAATCCACAATCTGTTTCTTGGCATTTGCATAATTTTATTCCATTCTTAAATTAAAATTAATTTTGTTTAAATTTTTCGTAGAAATAATCAAAATTAAACCTAATTTATTTTTTGCATTTAAAATTTATTAAAGGATCTTTAATCCGAATATCTTCAAAATTTGAACATTTAATCGATTCATAGTATATCTTATAAATTTCACTATTTTTTTCATCACTATATCAATATTAATCATTACCTTAAAAAATCTTCACAGGTATATCTCCATAAATTCTTGAAATTGTCGAGTAAGTATTCTTTTCCCTAATATGAGAACAAATTATTTGGCTCATTTCTAATTTTTTCTATGTTAATCTGCATTTTCGAATATAACTAAGCATCATAAAAAATTAATTCATTGTTAAATTAAATTTGAACTAAATTCTTTTTAAATTCAGTTTAACATAAAGGGCATTGTAATTTTTCAGAATTTTATTTCTTATGTTCTGCTTATTTTTATTTATGAACAATAAATGCTACAAAAGTTCGAATGTCCCAATTTAATAATGGAATTTTTGTTTCGCTATATTAAGACTCATTTTCTTTTGGTATTGGACAGTTAACACAACGAGCTGGAAATTCAACCATCTAACCAGATTAATCCTTTAGTTTCATCTAGCAATTAGAATTTTTATATTAATTAATTTTTTCCTTAACATTCTTATGCAATTCTAAATTGATTACTGTTGCCATCTTCTCTAATACTATTCTTTAAAATTCTGAGAAAGAAGATTTAAATAATTGATCTAATTCGTTTTTATTTTTATTCCAATATGTACTAATGAATTGGTCTTTATTACTAATACTATTTGAAATAAAATCTGATAAAGAAATTACATCATTATATATCTTACTCACTACAAAGAGCTGATTTCCAGGATAAGACCTTTTTATAGTTTTTAAAAATTCAAAATCAACTACAAGACAATCTAGGAGCTTCTAATCAGAAATTAAGGGAAAAATAGATGAACAGCCTTTTTTAATACATTTTAGATATTAATTTGACTCTCTTTCTTGTAATTATTTGTTTTTTAAATCCCTATAGTTTTCAATCTGATAACAAATCAAACTAGTTAATTCATAAGCTTCAACATGTTTGCAATCCTTATGTCTTACTGGAATGTTTATATTTACATTATCAAGTAAACATAAAGACTAGAATTAAAATTAATTATTTGATTTGAGTCTTTAATCAAATGAGGCTAGATAAGAAAATTATTAAGCTTTTTAAAATTGATCTTCGTTATTCTCTGTTAATAAAAATTTTATTTATTGTTAAATTTTATTAGAAATTAAAGGGTCACCAAATCTTTTTTTATTTCTTTTAATGTGACTTAATAAAATTCCATGTAAAACAGAAATTTTATCTGTAAGAGGATGGAAGTCATTCTTAATTCTTATATAGAGATCATGTGGTACAAAATCTGAAACCTCTTCATAAACTATTTGACAATGAGGACATTCATAAGATCTATTCTGAGAATTGAATCCATTTACAACATCTTAGAGATTGATGAATTTTTCTCCAAAATGATTGCAATTTTTTCCAAAAACCTATTTTAAGAAAATTACATACAGGATAGTCATATTTTTTACCAGTGTTTGGATTTATTAGTCGAAAATCAAGATTAGTCATAGTACTAGAATCATTGATTGATTAATTCTTTTCAACTATACGAATGGCATAATGAAGCAGCATATATATATAATTAATAAAATTAATGAATTTTAGAAATCTTTTTTAATAATAAAAACCGAATTTTTACAGATTAAATTTCATATACTTCTAATTGATTAAAATTCCTATTATCTATATGATATTTTTAATTTATGATACTTTAGTCTTAGGCTATACTTGAATACAGTTTTAAATTAAATTATCTTTATTGTGGATTGAATACTAAAACCTAAAAAATTATAAATGTTCTCTTAAAAATTTTTGGACTTTATGAATTATATTGATTTATTGAAGTAATGTTTAAAAATAGTTTTGTTAAATAAATCTTTATTTCTCATCTTACCTTAGAAGAGCATCAAGTTTATTAAAAATAGTTCTTTTCCATTTCATATTAAAACTAAAATTTATGTATTTTACAAATTAGTAATAATAAAATATTACATTATTATTAGAAAACAAAAAGTGATCTAAAAAGTCAAGAAATAAGCGATTCCTCTATTTAGTACACAGTACGAGTCTGAAGCAGATTCAGTTAAAAACCTAAACAAAACTTGCAAAACTGACAGGCCAAGATTCTACAAATTGATTAACAACACAGTAATACTCGATCGAAATAACAGGACGACCGGTTATTCTTTTTCTATAGAGATGAGAAGGATGAAATATAATTTGGAGATAGCATATTAATTAAAATTTTGATGAACTCAATAAAGTATCAAATAGATAGTAAGTTTTCCCTTTAAAATTCCCACACTCTGCGACAAAAATAAATTAATACTCTTGAGATATAATGGTTAACGTACTATAAATGCTATTATAGAATTTCAGATTTCATCTGAACTAGCAAACAATCACCTTGAATCTTATATGATAATAATCTACATTTGATACTAATAAGCTCTGCTGTAAAGTTTGGCTTTCCAATTAACCAAGTTATTATTTCAATACCATCCAAACTCAGTTCTGTCCTCTTAACATCCTAAGTCCAGTGATAAATTTCTTGAAAAAAGAATCCTGCCTTAACTCGAAAATTTACATAACTAATAGACTCAGTTAAAAGCAAAAGAGTTTTTACCATAATCATAAACCCAGATATCCTTTAGTCGAGTAATAAAAGCATTTGGGCACAACATTTCAAGTAATTTACCATAATTGATAACTAAAACAAGTATTATGTTTTGAAAATAAATTCGATATAATAATTTATATTTTTAAGATTGAAATTGTTCAGTTTTAAGATTTACAATCTCTTCAACCTAGCTATCCAAATTTTTTAATTCTATCAACTATGGTTAATGATTCTCTTCAGCATTTTTTTTCAAATCATTAAAGTTGAATCTGAGTTTAGCAATATATTCAATCTTTTGCATGATTTCTAATAAAATAAGTTTTCATATTGATAAATAATGGTTTGAAATCTAAGAAAATTGATAATTTATAAGCGATATCATGAAGAATATATTATTTATAATTTTAGAAGCCTTTAAAACATATTCAATATGATAATAGTTATCCTTAGCATATACATTTTCTGATTACATTTTTAAGTTTATCTTTAGTATTCTCTCCATTTATTATCAGCCTCATTTAATGAGGTAATTTTAATTAGATCATTTTAGCAAAGCATTCAATATACACTTTTATAGAATGAAAGCTTAATTAGGATCTAATTTAAGTAGAATTATTTTCCTCATATTTATTACATTTGATGTTTAAACTAGGAGCATTACAATAATTAGGTAATGAAGTTAAATAAAAAATTGATTATTAAGTAAATATTTGTTATTCAAAGTAAAAAAAATTATTTTTTTTTGTTCAATGTTTAGATTATCATTAAATTTATAAACTAAATTTCCTTAATAATATTTTGATTGAAATTCTAATTTAATCATAAATCATAATTTTATTCATTTTGTTAAGATTAAAATTATTGTAATACTTTATATTAATTGTATTTAAACTTCAAGAGTTAGTTTAAGTTTTTCTATAACAGAAAAGCTATTCCTAATATTTTATATTGAATTAATTTGCAAGCTTAAAACCCTATAGAAATCCTTAGTTTTTCATGGATTTCTATGTATCTTATGTCATTTTGTGATTCCTTCCATTTCATTGATTAAGCCATTCATTATTATGATTTTCCCTATTAAATATTTAAGACATAAATTTTTATTTTCATTCATGCTGACTTGTTAAGAGTGATTTCCACCTTGTGTGCGTAACATTTTTTCTTTTGAAGGCGGATAATATCATTTTTATAAATAATCTAACATAAATTAATTAGGAAAAATGTTTCAGCCTATAAATTTGAACAACAAAAATACATCATTTATTAAACATCAACCGATTTTTTCATTAAATTTTTGATTAATATATTCTAATTAATAAATAGCTATATCTAAAATGCCTTTCTAATTTATTTAACAAGATGCTGCAGATCACTTTATATTGGGATGGATTACCTAAATTATAATATGAAGCAAATAATTTTTCATATAAAATTCTGAATTTCCTATCTTAGGAAAAGAAATATTATAACTCCAGCTCATTCTCTTTTTGGAATTCTAATTGTAAGGAATTTTTTTGTAAATTTAAATTCTAAAATATAATATTGAACATTCATATCTCACTCTGAATAGATCTTCCAAGCTTATCTCAAACATCAAGTTTTAATAGAAATTTTATTAATGCTATAAACTGTCTTAATCCTGATTCATTATACATTTCTACTATACTTTTTTTATCAAATAAATAACTTTTGTTGAAAATCAGGCCTAAAAATGAGTTTGGGAAGTTTAGGAATCCAAATTATGAAAGAGTATAAATTTATTTGAATTCTGAGCTGTTGATGAAATATCTTTGGAAGGATTTTAAATTAAGAAAATGCTTTTGATATAAATTATTAAAAAAGTTAAAGAAAAGAAAGATGAAAATGATTCTAGACTTTTCTGTAAATAAAATAAGATAAAAATATTCAATAAAAATGAAGATCTTGTTTTTCGAACTTGAATAGATACTCCAGAACCTTGTTATTTTGTTAAGGTTGTAAAATTCTAAAAAATAAATAATAATATAAATTATTTATTTTTGATATTTTTTATGTCAGAAGAAAGTGATTAATATATTGAAGAATAAGACCTTCATATAGAATTGTTAAAGGCTATTAAAGAAAATAACATTCAATAAATCAAAAATCTACTTTACTAAGCAAAATAGGGCAATAATGATTTGATCAATTTCTAAATTAAACATTAACCAATTCATTTGGCAGTATGGATAGGTAATATGAAAATAATGTTACTCTTAATATAGAATGGAGCAAATGTGGATGCAATCTCTAATACTCAAATGAATTGCTTAACAATTGCTGTATACAGAAAACATGTTAATTTAGTTTAAGCATTGTTAGCAATAATTAAAGATCCTAATTTCTTGTCAAAACGAGGAACTGCTCTACATATAGCAGCCCTGTAAGATGATGAATAAATAATGGAGTTATTGTTAAAGCATCCAAATATTGACATTAATATTAAATTCAAGAATGAAACACCGATTTAGGTTGCAGGATAAATGACTAGGAAATTATTATTGGTATAAGAACGTTTGTAAAAATCTTCAATTTTAATTACTAATTCATTTATCAATTCAGATGTAAGCATTTATTTAAAAAGAGTCATCTTTTTAATTAATTTTAATTACCTGCATTAATAACTGGATTTTCTTAAGAAATTGATTGGTATGGTATGAGAAAATCTAGAAAATTCTTGCTATTAGACCCAATAAATGGAATTTTTGCAAAATTTTAGAGAAAAGTGGATTATCCATTGAAACCGTAGGGTATTATGGCTCTTGAGTTGATTAATTCTGTATAAATAAATAATAACCTTTGTTTTTCAACCCCAAACTATTCTTATTTAGAAATAAAATACTCAAACAATAAAACAATCTGGTATAGTTTTAGGAGCAAGAATATTGCAAAGATTTGGAAAGACAAAATATAAGAAGCAACATAATATTTTTAGCATTTAAACTAAAAATACATGGTTTTTTATTAATAAAACGATTCGAAAAGGGTAAAATAATATTTTTTTTATGAAATGGAATTGAAGTAGAAAATTGAATAAATAGAGCTTGAGGATACAAATTTTTTATTTGAGGGTATTAATAAAGATTCATAAAATTATGTTTATAATGATCATTAAAATAATTATCAATAAAAGTCAAAAAAATTAAGTGACTTTCAAATTTTAAAATGTATTGGCAAAGGTTCATTTGGATATGTTTTTATGGTAGAATATCAAAAAAATACTTATGCTCTAAAATAACAAGACAAATAAAGATTAAAGTAATCAAATAATTTGGAATATGTTATGACAGAGGTGAAAATTTTAAGAATGATTAATCATCCTTTTATTGTCAAATATATCATGTGTAATTTAAATAATTTTATAACTTTAGCCTTTCAAACAACTAAAAATTTATATCTAGTTTTAGAAATATTATAATAAGGGGATTTAGCAATGTACATGACAAGAGGCATAATTTTGGATGAGAAATTAAGTAAATTATTAATTGGATAAATCATTCTTGCTATTGAGCATTTGCATAAACATGATATTTTATATAGGGATTTAAAACCAGAAAACATTTGTGTTGATTCTTAAGGTTACATTAAACTTATTGATTTTGGATTATGTAAATTTATTACTCAAGATGAATTGACGTTTACCATATGTGGATCTCCAGCGTACCTTGCCCCAGAAGTCTTAAACAATAGTGGAATATCTAAATCTACAGATGTCTATTAAATAGGTTTGTTATTATATGAAATGCTTACTGGATATCCTCCTTTTTATACAAGAGATATAAATATTCTTATCAAGAGAATTAAGACTGGTATATTAATGTATTTATTTAGAATAAATAACTATTCCAAACAATATATCAAAGGAGGCAAGAGATCTTTTGAGTTAAATTTTAAAACAATCTGCTTTCGAGAGAATAAGTATTGAATAAATTAAATAACACAATTTTTTTAAAGATTTAGATTGGCTTTAATTGGAAAAAAAAGAAATAAAAATTCCATAGTTGATTCAAAGATTCTAGCAGTCTAAAAGAGCTACAGGAGATTTAATTGATTCTGATTCTTGTTTGGATGATTATATTTAAGATTGGGATTTTAGTACAATTTGAAAAGCTTGAAACATTATTATTTTAAAAAATAAGATATCATAAAATTTGTTTTAATTTTAGCAATGTATTTTTAATATGAAATAAATAAAAATTAATAGGTTTATACTAATTAATTTAATTTCTTAAGATGTTATATTTCAAATCTTGATCTTCTCTTCAATTGATTCAAATTCAAGATAAGGATTTCTCAATCCTGAACCTGTTCTTAAATAATTTAACACCATTCCTAACAAAATGAATCCAGTAATTAGTGTTAAGAATGGAGGATTGTGCTTATAACGATAAAGAAGATCAAATATTATCAATCCAGTAAATTAGGTAATGCCAACAACGACAATATTTATAATGTGCTCTTTATTGAATAATCCATGTCGAAAGATGAAAGATTGTATTAATGATAATCCAATTAATTAATATAAATGGATATCAATGTTTCTAGTTAATCTCAGAAAAATATTACTTTTATTACCATACACTATCATTATTTACAATTAAAAATGAAAACTTCGTTTTAATATAAGTAGGCATCTCTTAGGGGTGTTGAATTAATAAATGTTTATCTACTTGAGTTCGATGAACTAAAGAATAAATTTCAGTAAGCCAAATAATACAAAAAAATAAAAATAGCTAGAATTTATTGGCGATAATTATACGCTAAATTTAATGTTATAGTTACTCGATTGACTTATATAAGCAAAATAATGGTTAAAATATAAGGAAGTATTTGATTAAATAAAGGATGTAGATTAACTGATTCTGTTTGAGCAGACTTAAATATATAGTATTAAACATAAAAGATTATGAAGGATACTATTATACTAACAGTTTATGATTTTGAAGCATAATAAATGAAATCGTATAGCACTATCAAAGCTAGAATAAATGATGTTGTTTCTGGATAAAATAAAAATGATCCAATAGCAGGAGCCAAAATAAGAGTTATTAGTTACTTAGTAGGAGTGAATTCAAATTAAATAAATACTCTTCTAATACAGAATAGTGAACTACAAGTTGTAGTTATGTATATTAATACAAGTGCCATAAGATTTTTCAAATCAATGATGGCTGTATGAGGATTTTAGCAAAACTTATAATACCTAATACTAATTTAATTTAACTCATCTAAATTTTAAGGATTATTCTTAAATGTTTATTCCATAAAAATTAAATCAATTTATTAGATTCCCTCATTATGTTGAGAGCAATTATATTCGATTGCTAATTAATACGATTATTTTGGTAATAGAGTATATGTGATTTCATCAACTTCTGGAAATCGTTGTTGTAAACTTTCTTAAATAAAAGGATAAAATTCAGATTATGTTGAAATTCTCAGTGTAATATTGATTGGAAATGGATCTATAAAAAATAAGAAAAAATTGTTACTATCGTTAAAAGTGTGAAATTATCTCACTCGATTCCCTTCCCAATCAACGAAAGCTTCATTGTGATTTTAACCATCCAAAAACCAGGGATTAATTTGATCTGAATTTAATATTGGCATTTTAAAATCTTAAGTGATTCTGGTAGACAATTAAAATGCTGCTGCAAAAACAATAAACATATTTTAATTTGTGCTATTTGTAATATAAATATGAAAAATATAATTTTTGGATTTAATTATATTTCTATTCCATTTCAAAGAATTCAAAAATTGTAATATAAATTCTGCTTGAGTAATTAAGATGTCAGGTAAAATATAAATAAATTGATTGAACTGAATGAATAGCAATTAAATTCAATAAATTAAATAGAGAAAGAAACTTTGTCTTTATAAATAGCAACAATCGAAAATGAGTTAGAGTAATACTTATAATCATTCTAAAAACATTAGAAGTAAAATTTTCTATTATATATATATTAGATAGCCATACTATTTATTTAGAAAAAACCTTGTATAATTGGCATTTTATACTTATTACAATAGTAAATTTGATTTGTGCTAATAATATATTTCTTATGCAACCGTTGGTGATTATGAAAATACATATTAAGGTGAATTGATGAAATAGTTATTTCTAGCTGAATTGTCAGGTATTCAATTTAGAATTAATTATCAAAATTAAGAATTAGAATTGGCAGAAAAATCATTAGCTCATTGGAAAAATATTATAGAAAATCATTCTAATTTTTATAAAGAAATGAATAATAACCAAAAATTTGATATAATTGAATTTTTTGAGAATATGGAAAATGTTCATTTTCATTAGTACATAGAGACTTTAGTAGTTGTTGGTTAATTATAGTATGTTAAAGGATTATTTACATAATCTATTTCTAAATTTGAGTAAGTGAAAGTATTGATTTAATCAATTCTTAAATTTATAAATTAGGAGGATGAATAGGAAAAGAAATTAAGTTTAGATAACAAGAGTTATAAAGATTTTTACATTAATTAATTAAAGAGGTTGCTCTCTAAATCATATATACATTAAATTAGATTAGCAATTCTAATGAATGATTTGGTTAAAGCCAAATAATTATACGATTAGGGAATTGCATTGTAAAATCTAAAATTTTAAGCTATTTAATTGGAGATCTTAAATTTTGATATTTAATTTTATTTGGGAAATTCGGATGATGTGTTAGAATTAATTTAATCTAAAGTAGAATAAGAAATGTCAAATATGGAAGATAAACTTGATACAAAAGATATTTTTATTGACTATTATTCATTCAGAATTAAATATAATTTAGATATGAATAATTCTGAAATACAATTAAAATATTTATCAAAAATTAATTAGAATATAGAAAAAATTATTGAAATTAATCATCATAGCATTTAATAATTGATTTTATAAGAAAATTATCTTGATGCTTTAATTATCGCAAATCAATAATACCAACTATTAAATAAACATAAATTAACAAAACATTATATTTTTTAATTGAGTTTATAGTATTTGTTTTTTATAATGGTTAAATTGAATAAAGTAGAGGAGCTTAAGGCATTAATTAATTAAACTACATTTGATTCCTTATATAATCCAGAAATTTATTAATTATATCATTTTTATTAATTAACTTTATAAGTCTTGCTTCTAAGAGATAATGATAAAGGAATGAATATCCTTTCAGAAATGAACACTATTAAATTTTAGAATACAATTTAAGAATATTTCAAACTCTAAATTTTAGAAATTTTTTATAATTAAATGAATATGAAAGAGTAATTAATTGAAAATTTAAGAGAATAAATGAAATATTTAAATTAGAATTAAAAGTTTAATAAGGACTAGATTGAATATGTCAAATAGAAAATAGAAAATTTGAGTTTTTGAATAGGTATTATAAAAGATTTAATATGAAAATTTAATCATGATGATTATTTAGAATAAAGCAAAATATAAGAAGTTTCGTTTTAGTGAATCAATTTCTGAATTGATTATTCACAAAGTAAATTAATTTTTGCATCATTAAAACAGACCCAATCATTACCACTTAAATGAAAATAGCGATAATGTCCTTTGTCTTTGCTACCACTATGATCAACAATCCCAATCAAGATCTTCTCATATTTACCTATTATTAATTTATTATTTAAAGTAATTGATTTAGTGCTTTTTTATATTTCATTTCCATTCCACCATCTATCAATTAATCCTCCAGGTATTTTATATCTATTTAAACAAATAAGAAGCTATTCTGAATATTTGATTACAGTAGTTTATTTATCAAACTTCTTTTCTAATTCGCATTTAGGACATTTCATTTTAACTACTTCTTTATTGAATGATTATTAAAGCATTTCTAATACTGTATTTTTGCTACTTTCTACATTAATGAGAAGAGAGAAAGCTATTTCTAATTTATTATTGCTATCTTAATAAATGAAAATAATGTATACAATTACAAGATTAGCATATGATTTGAGTTCGAATGATATTACCAAAATGTTTAGTAATAGGTGAATTTTCAAACTCAATATAACTAATTAGAGATGTTAAAACTACTTCACCTTCTTATTGAAATTCAAATATAGGTATTTTACCACACTTAGGATTCCTTAATTCTTCATGTAACATATCAAGAAGAGCTAACAAAAATTCTTATGCATCTTATTATTCATTAAGTTTAAATTGTGGATATTATGAGCTTATTAATAGTTTAGTTATATTACCAAATTACTTATCTAAATTGATTGAGCCATTCAGGTTTCATTTCATAATTATTCATTAAATAAAATGTTTCCATAAAGTAATAAGTAATAAGAAAACTATTTTCTTTTGAATTTGTGTAAATTTCATCTATATCTAACATAAGTTGTTCTAATTTATAAAGCATTTGAAGGACTGAATTCATATAGCATGTATTGCCTATATTAGTTAAACCTTGCATGTATAAAAATTAATAATTAATACTATCTAAAATTTCTAAATTAATTTAAATTTATTTAACTATAATGATTAGAATTTCTTAGCTTTTGAAGTCAATAATTTTCTAATCAATTGAAAATCAATTTAAAAACTTAAAATTATGAAAAATATACTAATTTTGAGTAAATATTAAAATTGAATAATGTGTATTTTTAAGTTTATCCAAATTAAAATATTGGATTAATTATCTTTATTAAATTGTTTTAATGATTACATAGGCAAAAAAAGCAATAGATTAAGATTATGAGATATTAAAAAAGAAGAGTATACACAAAAAAAAACAAAAAAATTAATACACAAAGGAAGATAAGTTCTTAGAAAAATATACTTAATAAAATGGATAAACAATATTGAAATTAGTAAACTATTTGGAGGTAAGTTTGTATAAATCTATAAAATTGGACAGCACTTTTAGATTGAAATCAAATGTACAAATCCCTAGAAATGCAGATAATCAATATCAATTAGGATAATTGAATATTGATTTTTATTGCTACAATTATAAGATTAATCGAGTAGATAAGAATGGTAGTTATATCACTATTACATTTGATCCTATTTAGAGATGCTTCACGCCTGTTGAAAACGTTATTCAGATTTTAGGTAGAGGCAATCAAACACTAAAATAATCTTTAGAAAAATTGCATCACAAAAAATTAGATTCTTCATAATATATTATGATGTAGGAACATGATTTATTTAATTTTGAGAATACAATTGATAAACCATGTACTGGATATATATCTAAAGTTGTTGGAGATTAAGTTATGACTCAATATCGATTTATGAATGAATTATATTTAAATGCAATGGGAATTAATTCAGAAATGTTGATTCATCATGCGATGGAGACTGGAAATATACCTATTCCTTTATATTTTTCAGAAGATAATGGTAGTGAATAATATTTAAGCAATTTTTTTACTTTAAACACTTTTAACCAGTCCATTAATAATTTGCAAGCATGTAATTATAATGGTTAAAAATTTCCTGCTATGATCACTTTCCATAACTATTATTGTTACAATGAAACTGAATAATGTTATTATGAATATTTATTTTTTATATGGAATATTGATAAGAAGTGGATGTCAAAGTAAAGAGTTTAAGAAAATTACTTAGATTATTTTAATATAAAAAATGATCCAGCTTCTTTAACTTAAATATATTATAATTCTGAATAACGATGTGGGTATAGAGATATTTGATATATTAGTTAATAACATTAATTATATTTTAATATTCATATAATTAATGGTTCTTGACATTATAATTATTAATAGATTGGATGCTCTATTATTATGTTGATCGTTTAATAAGTGAAAATCCTATCAAAATTACTAAAAATTCTATTCTTAGCCTATGCTGAAAATTAATAAAATGTTATCATCATCAAGATTAAATGGAATAGATCAACATCTTAGAAGCATTCAGGTTTCGAATTTCTCAAGATGCTTAATTCTTTATCTGCTTCTTTATAAGTTATAGAATTGCTCATCAAGGATATTGTATCAATGATTTTCTTCTATGTTTAATTCATTTTAAAATAGGATTAAAATTTTGAATATTTATCCCAAATATCTTCTTGCAAAGCCCAATAACATCTATGACTTTCCTGCAATGATACTCTTATATAGAAGAATTGATATATATTTTTAGGGATGCATAACCAACCAGAATTACAATTTAAATGGGAAATCCATTAAAATTTTTCTAATTCTTTTCTACCCATACTAGTTGTGCAAATTAAATTGAGAGTATAAAGACATGTACCTCTAAGAGATAATACTGGATATTATTCTGCCATTTTTACTAAATCTTAAATTAATCCTAATTCTCTTATTAATCTAATTCCATATTTACTTTATCCAATATGTCCAATAGCCCAAAGAGCTGATCGTTTTTATTGAAATGATACATCAGCACTTCTAATTGATTAAACAAAATAATCAATATAATTTCTTAATAAATTAAATCCTGCTTCTGTAAATGCTAATTCACCAAATATATGTGCAGGCATCTTAATTGTATTATTTTTAGTTTCCCCTAATCTAACATAAACTTTTATTTGATTTAATCTCAAAGTTGAGTCAAATTCTAAATAATGATATTAATTAAATACAATCAAATATGAAGAGTATTCCATTCTTTTCAATAATTAATTAATTATCTTTTACATATGATTTATTTCTTTTATCATTTGCATCACATCTTATTAAATATGGTTCTGTAACTTCTTTAAATTAAGTATCTACAAAAATCTTGCCAACATTTATTTAAAGTTTAAGTACAAAAGGATTATTAGTATGAAATTAAATGAATCTTTCACTCTTTCCAACTAATATAAATAAATTTGTAGTTCCAGGATAATCAATAGTTACATTCAAATAAGCAAGTTCTATTTTTAATTAAATATAATACCATTTCCTTCACTTCCAAGTTCACAATTCAAAAGCATACTCCATGGCATTTTATAAACAAATCCAATAGATGCATTTGGATTTTCATTATTATTTTATAATAAAGGAAATTTGAATGAATATGACTATTCTACAGATTATACAAATTCTAATGCATCACACATAACTTTTTCTACTTTCTCAATATAATTCTCACATTCACTCTATTTCCATCTTTCTATTTCATTTAATAAATATTCATTTAAATCTTTATATATTTTTTCAAATCCTTTTTTATGTGATAACAACATTATTATTAATTAACTTTCACATTTCTAACATAATTATAATAATCGATGAATGTCTACTTTTTCTAAAAATCTATTTGCATTCTCTATATCTTATGTAACCTCTTCAATAACTGATAATGCTTTTAATCCTATATCATCTGTTTTATTTAAGCAATTAATTAATAAATCAATAGCCCAAATATTAAAATCGTGTAATTCACTTCTATATAACAATCTAATAAAATCAAGACATGCTTTGATAAGAGTATTTGATCCATTTTCTAAACAATTACTAAAAAATACTCTAGCCTATGATTGTTTTCCATAATCAAATGAATGAATTAACTAAATTATTAAATTCAATAAATACATGTATTAAAAGATGATCTCTAATTCCACTCTCTAAAATATAATCTTTTAATATTGTAAAAATTCCAGTATTTTCTAAAATAGTTTATCCACTTTTTGAACAAGAAAAGAGTCCAATCCAAGATATGTATTCTCGAATCATCTTTTATGAATATTATTCAGGATTCAATAAATATTAGGCTGCATGTCTTTAAGCATTTTAATCAACAGATGACTTTAAACCTAAGATTTATGAATTATCTGCTTTCAATAAACTAATTAAATCTTAAATATAGCTTTTTGCTATTCCTAAATATCCTCCAGTTTATGATGATATAATCTCTCTTCCTACTTTATCTCTAAGCAATAATTTTAGTAATAAATAACCACATTTGGCTTAAATAAAATCTGGTTTCCAATCCATTTTACAAAATTGCATATTAGATGGAAAATAATATGTTAAAAGATTTTTCAAAAATCTATTCTTAATTGTTTCTTAATATCTACTTTCATCATATAAATAATTTTCCAATAAATCTAATATGTAATTCCAATTCCATTTAGAATTATCTTCTTTTTTCTCTAAAACATAAGACTTACTTAACAAAGTTTCAAATTTATTTTAATCAGCCTCTTATTCAATTTATCCACGAATAATACCAACAGTTTCATTATTAATCTTATGTGTTGGTAAACCTAATTGAGTTGTTAAATATAAACTTTCACATTAATATAAAAATTTTGAAATCTAATTTCTTCCTTTCTTATTTGTATTATCAAATGCATAATTACCCATTGTATTAACAATTTCAGATGACCAAGATTTTAAATCCTATAAAAATGGATCATTTTAATTTGCAGCAGCAATTAAAAAATCTGTATATTTATGACAATCTGGAATTAAATTAAACATTAATGAAGATAATTCTTTTAAAAATGTTTAAGCTGGACCTGATACTTCTTAATCTGGCAATCCACTTAATTCAACTAATATTTTGAATAAATCACAATCCAATAATACTTATACTAACATTACTAAGTAATTATTAAGTAAATTATTTATTTTATATTCTCCAATAAATCCATCTTATTATTATTATCTATTTACAACACTAACTCCAACATTTTCTTTATTTCCTAATTATAATAATGATCTCAATATATCATAAATAGAATTTCTTATTGCTGGTTTTATTGGTTATCTCAATACTTATATTAAAGACTTTAAAGCTTATCTTTCATCTCCTAAATATATTAAACCTTGCCAAGATTTTAATACTGTTATTATTGCTTTTTTAGCTAATTATAGATTTGATTCAAATTTATTAATTACTACTCTATTTTTATCATTCTTTGCTTAATCAATAGGTGGATCTATTTCTGTAAATATTGAAAACCATTTTGATAAATCTAAATACATTCTTATTGTAGTCCTTGCAGATGGCTCATTTAATAAATACAATAATGTCCATACAATCTAATCAGATATTTCAGATAAAGAACACTCTATTGCATTTTCAATCAATATTCTTATACCTCCACACCAACTACACATTTCAGGTGCATTTAAGGCAAATGCTTTTAATGTTATTATTGCATATCTTTTTAATTATTCTTCACATGACTCTGCCATTGCTACTAATGCATTACCTAAAATTTTTGGGAATTTGCTTGTTGTTGTTAAATTTTGATTTTAACATCCACCCAATTTTTCTAACCATTTATTTGAGAATTTTAATGCTTATAGAACTTCTTATTAAATATATTAGGGTTATTGCTATTATCTATTAGTGCCTTCATTCTTAGTTGATGGTTTACAATCTCTTTGTAATGAACGAGCAATGAAATAATGCACTCCCTTTTATCGGTATATTCCAAGTATCTTTTGATCTGTTATAAGGTATCTCAAAAACTTTATTGCATATTATCGAACTACAATATGAGTATTCTCATATTACTTTAAGCTTTACTATCCTATAATTGATTTCTAGCCCACAAAATGAAGTCATCCTATTGAAGTCTCTAAATCTGTTATGAATCTTATTTTCCTTCGAATACTTATTTTGTAATTTTGATTATCTCATTAAAAATGGCAGGTTTTTTATCTACAACTTCTTATCCTTTCTAGTTTAGAATAGTAATCAATTTAAGAATTTGAGTTGATGGATCCACATGTTATTACATATTTAATTTTTTTTAATAAACTAAAAAACTAAACTAGTTTCTCATTTTATATAACATAAAAATGATTAAATTCACTGTTAATTTATATAATATATTTTATGATCTTCATTATTAGATATAAATAAGAAATATAAAAATGAACTTAAATAACATGTTTAAATCTATTAGTACATATACTATCAGTTGAACATTTTCTTAATATTTATCAAAATAATTCATTAAAATAATTTATTTAACAGTTAACAATGAAAAAGATCCCTGCTTTGTTTGACTCAGATAGTTCAGCAAAAAAAAGAGCCAAGTCTCCTATGCCTAAAAGACTTAATTCACCTAGAAACGTGTTGTCTGAAAACACTTCTAATATCAAAGTGTTTGCTCGCTTTCGTCCTTTAAACAAAATGGAAGAGAACAATCCTTCATAAGACTTTTGCATCTTTCCTGATATACATACAGTCCTCCTTTAACCAGATGTGATTCATACATTTGATAGAGTCTTTCCTCCTACTTCCAATCAATTAACAGTTTATGATTCAGTTGGAAGAGATGCTATTTAGGATGTTTTAAATGGATACAATAGCACTATCTTTGCTTATGGGTAGACTGGATCAGGAAAGACATATACAATGTTTGGTGAATTAAGAGATTCCAATGGTCAAGGAATAATACCAAGATCAATGTAATATATTATAATTAATTTGTTAGATAAGAGATATTCACATATATTAATCAAAGTGATCCAGAATGTGAATTTGTATTGACTTGTTCAATGCTTGAAATTTATAAGGAAACCTTATTTGATTTACTTTCATTATAGCGTCCAGATTTAAAAATAAAAGAAAGTGCAACTAAAGGAATTTATGTAGAAGGATTGACTTAATTATCATTATAAAGTTAAGATGAATTACTTAGAATAGTAGAACTAGGAGAATAAACAAGAAAAGTAGCTGCTACAAGAATTAATTAATATAGTTCTAGATCTCATACTATTTTCATGCTAGAAATAAAATAGAGATTACCTAATGAAACAGAAAAGAAAGGAAAATTAAATTTAGTTGATTTAGCAGGTTCAGAAAAAGTAGGTAAAACAGGTGCTTAAGGAGAAATATTAGAAGAAGCTAAAAAGATTAATTTATCACTTTCTTGTTTAGGAAATGTTATTCATGCATTAACTACAAATAATGATCATATTCCATATAGAAATTCAAAATTAACTAGAATTTTATAAGAATCTTTAGGTGGAAATTACAAAACTTCTTTAGTAATATATTAAAAATATCATTAATAGATTGTTACTTGTTCATCACATGTTACTTCAATGGATGAGACAGTAAGTACATTAAAATTTGCATCAAGAGCTAAATCTATAAAAAATCATTATAAAATGAATGTAAAGATGTCATCTGAGATGATGTAATAGATGATAAAAGATTTGAAGTTGCAATTATAATTAGCTCATTAAGAATTAGAATAGTTAAAGAGAAAATCAATTTTAGATATTCCAAATGAAAATAATTTGATTAAACATTACGATTCATAAATAAATTAAGAGAAAGGTAATAAATCAAAGCATCCATCAATGAGTTTAATGACAGATAAATCTTGTCTATAAATTGATCTATCATTCTTTTCATCAAAGAAAGCATCTCAACCAGAGAATATTATTGAATAAAAGGAGAATGAAATAAATTATTTAAAATAAATAGATGATCTTAAAATATAATTAGGACAATCTAAAATGGAATGTTAAAGAAAATAAGTTAAAATAACATAATTAAATTAAAAAATTGATAGTTTAGAAAAAATGGTTAATAAATTATAAAGAGGTGAAAATAATTTAAGAGCAGAATAAAACTAAATATTATTTGATGAAATTAATTCATTAAATGATTAATTGAATATTTTGAATAATGATATTGATGATTATCAAAATAATTAACTTAAAGATAAAATGGATCAAATAAATATTGATTATTCTAGAAAATTAGAATAAATTATAAATGGAGAAATTACTTAAAGTAAATTAACTAAAATAATTACAAAATCTTAAACTATTGAATAAGTTATGTAAAAATTATCCTTATAAAATTTATTAAATACTATACATAGAGCAATTACTACAAATTTAGTTAATTTAAAATTACCTCTTGATATCTCTAAAAAAATATCAGATATTATGGAAGAATCTCTTAAACATCCACTTATTGAATAAGGAGTTATGGATTATATAACTAATTATGAATCCATGAAACCAAATAGATGTGAAGAGTAAAAAATTGAGGCTTTAAAATTAGATAAATAAAGATATTCTTAAGAAAGATAAAATTTAGTAGAGTATGTTGAAAAACTAAAGGATAGAAATGATTAATTGTTACAAGTAAAAATAAAAATATATTTAGCAATTAAAAAGACAAAATCTTATAATTTAATAGAAAATGACATAATTTCAATTAATGGAGTCTAAGTACCACGAACCTACAACTCCTCTTATGGTTATAGACAATTAAAGGCCCGTCTCACAACATAGTGACAGATCTTTATGCAAGCCAAATACAGCAAGGAAACCATCAACCTTTTTTAGATACGAAGAACTGTTATGATTGGTTTTACTTGTTAGTTAGAAATTAAATATACCAATGTATATCTTATCTACATAACATAAATAATTAATCATTCAGTTTCCATCTTATTATCATTATTTTATTATTATTATTTAGTGTCATTGATAATCTTTTCTTCCTTTATGGGTTCTGGTTTAGGTTTAGTTACAATTGGTTGACATTTCTATTTGATATTATAAATCACTTACATGTTATAATTCTGCATATTTAGCATTAATCTATTAAACTGAAATTGCAAATTTAACTGTTTTATCAGCTTTGCTAAATAAATCTAATGTATTATTGCACCATTATTTGAAAGTTTTTAATTCATTAGCCACAAGAATTTTTTCTTCTTACTAAATATGAGCATATTATAAATCCTTTAATATTTATTAATTACATACTTATGAATTTACAAAGTTTTCATAAATTAAACAATATTGTAAAACTTATTAAATGACTTCAGGTATTTATCTGTATTCATCTGCTATTGTGGCTATTGGACCACATAATTAAACAAGTTTATCATATCTATCTGAATATTATCTCTTTGTATTTTTTTAGCCTTCACCATATAACCATTCATATTGAAGGTCTAATTCTTTAAAAATTTTATCTTTTAATTCTGGTGTAGCATTTTCTGCATATTTTCCATTCAAATTTTCTCTCCAAGCATAAATATACGATTCTAATTAATTTTTTTTGAATTAAGTTTCATGAACTTGATTATCAGTATTAAGCATTTCACATTCTTATTAGAAATAATAATCAATCTCTTTCTTTGTTAAAGAATAGAAAGAAGAAACCTCACAGTTGACTTAATTTTGTATTGTTTTCTTTTTTTATTTAATTTCATATTAAGTTTCTTCTACTTTAGGTTCCTCTTTTATTTATGTATCTTATTGTTGCTATTACCCTTCGTCTTACTTTTAAGGTATAGTTGTCTTTTATTTTTCAACCTAAGTTTAAAATTTGAATATTTACAGGTACTTTTACATCTTCCATAAATTCTTCTAGGAATACCACTTCTTCTAAATTTAAGAGACCATTTTAATTAAGTAAAATTTTAATTTTAGTTGAATGTTCTTTATGTTTAGCAACTAAAGGAGGAATCTGTATTTATTCTAGAAAATATTAATTATTTAGATTTACATATAATTGGATCAAATCCTTGGGGTACTGGATCATAAAAAAGAGTTATTTAAATTGGTTAAGTTTTCATTAAGGCAAAACTCTTGATACAAGGAATTGGATTATTTTATTCAAACAATATTTTACATTATTTTTCAGGAAAACATTTCACTAATCCTTTACTTTAATCTAATTTATTTAAATTTTGATCATAAAGCCAACCAACTCTTATTGGATAATAATTACAATCTTCAATTTTATATTCAGTAACTCTAAAATTAGGGCTTCTCATTGCAGCCATCATTGCACATCCTCTTGAAATTGATTCACTTGCATTTAATGTTCTTGATACTTATTCTATTTTGAATATCTTCTCAATTAATCTTTATACAGCTGGTATTCTAGTTGCACCTCCTACAATTTCAACTGAATGTAATTATAATTTTAAGTTTTGAACTTAATTATACAATAATTCAAGCTATGTTTATATCTATAATAAAACAGGTTAAGCTAATTATTCAAATTCATCTCTTTTTATTAGAGTATTGAAATCTTCATCTTCAACTAAATATTCAACATGAATTTAAGCTTCTGAATTAGCAGACAAAACTTTTCTAGCTTTCTCTATTGCTTCTAATAAACGTAATCTTCCTTTAGCATTTTTTCTAACACTTAATCCATTTGTTTATTTTTCAAATTGAGTTGCAAATTTCTCAAATAATGCCCAATCAATATCTCTTGCACCTAAATTTCTTTCGCAAACCTAAGCCAAAACTTAAGCTTTTTCTTTATAGAATGATCCCACAAATGCTGAAAATTTAGAATGACCTAAATCAACAAATGCTACATTTCTAGGTTTCTCTGGATCTAAATCTGTTTTTCTAAACAACCCATAATTTATTGCTATAGCAGTTGTTTCATTTAACAATCTCTCTAATGGAATATCTGCTATTTTACAAGCATCAATAAGTGCTTTTCTTTCAGATTCTGTATAATATGCAGGAACACTTATACATACATTACTTGATTAAATATTGATGTCGTTTAGTTAGATAATATTCTTCAATTTATTTAGCATTGTGCCTGTTACCTATTCAGGAGTGAAGTTAGCCTTTTATCCAAGGTAAGTGACTTCAAATAATGTTTTTCCAGATTCATGGATTGAAGTAGGAACTGTCAACCATTTCTATTCCTCAGCTCTAAAAGCTTGTTTTCCTTGAATTCCTAGAAATCTATTAAAGAATCCAATAGAATTTTTGAAATTAGACTTCTATTGTAGTGCACCTTATTCACCTATAAATCGTTCTTCAGCAGTAAATCCTATAACATTTTATGTTTCTCTATGAGCTCCTTCGTTGTCTAAAATCTTTACACCACCTCTAAGAGCAGCAGCAATAACTGATCTTTGACTTCCAAAGTCTATACCAATTGAAGCAAGCTAAGACATTAATTAGTTTAAAATTTTTCTCGAATCAGCCGCTATTAAATATCATAAAAATACTAGAATATTCTAAAATTTAAAATAATTATTATCAGAACCTATCATCCTTTTGATCCTTTCAACTCAATTCCAAAATATGTTATTCTATTTTATCAAAAATAGACTTTAAAATATGTTGATTGTTATTTTTAGCTAATTCACATACATAATCTTAGCAAATAATAAACATTTTCAGTAATATTATAAGAAATATAATTATATTTATGGAATAAGTATAAAATATAAAATTAAATCAGAATCAAATTAATCAAAATATATAAAATAATTTTTAGTTTGTAATTACAAATGTTATTTTTTTTTAAAAGTATAAGGCATAAATTCTTAGAATTACTAATAAAATTTCAATGAACTTTCAAATAATATGTGAAATTCTTGTCCTTAATATTCTTTATTATTGATTCTGTCTAATTAAAAATAATTATTGGTATTTTTGTGTAACTTTTAAAAATAAAATGAAAACATAATATACTATAAGCTTAATATTAAAAAGTTTCAAAGAATTGATGGTAAATTTTAGTTTAGAAAATTAAATAATATTTGGAATAAAAGAAATGTCTTATGTTATTAATAATCATTTAGTAAGCTCTCTAATTAATGATTTAGCTTCATCGTTTGCTTCATCTAATGCTAAGGTTTACTATCATTATAGTAAATTAATACTTTTGCTTTTTAAATAGCATCTTTATAGTTTCCTATTTAATAATAATAATTTGCATATCTAACTAATGTGTCTGGATTCTTAGGCTACAATCTCATACTTTCATCTAAATGTCTTTTAGCTGCATTAAGATCACCTTTCTCTATATATAATTAAGCAACATAATTTCTAAAAAATTAATATCTTTTATATACCTCCAATCAACATTTTCAGGCTATAATTCAACAGCCTTTTCAAAGTATTTAGCCGCATTTTCATAATCTTATAATACAAAGAATGTATTTGCATAATTATAGAAGGCAGCTGAATGTTAAGGATCATCTTTAACCACTCTCTCAAAACATTCTAAAGCTTCTTCGAATTTTTCCATTATACAATATGTATTTCCTAAATTATAATAACATTCTATTTTATCAGGATTTATGCTTAATGCTTTCTAATAATGCAATACAGCTTCTTCAAAATCATTTTTCATATAATAACAATTTGCCATATTATATTCTAATTCTTCATTTTAATCTAAATGACTTATTTCTTCATAAATCTAAATAGCTTATTCAAATTGTTCCTGTAAATAATAACAATTTCCCAATCCAATTTTTGCTTCCATATCATTTTTATCTGAATCAATAGCCTTTTAGAAATATCTTAAAGCTTTTGCAGGTTGATTTTTTTCATACATAATATTACCAACAGCTTTCCATGCTAGACCAAATGATTGATTATGCTTTAGAGATTAATTCATACATTCAATTCCTTTATTTAGTTCTCCTTTCTAAATATAACATTGACCCATATAATAATAAGCTTTATAATTTGTCGGATCAACTCTAGCAACTTTTTAAAAGCATTCAATTGCTGAATTTAATTCATTTAATTTTGTTTAATAAATTCTTCCTAATCTCATATTTGCAACTGGATTATTTGGACTGGATTTTAATGCATGTTTCAAATACTTTTTTGCTTTTTCAAAATTACCTTAGATACTTGAAATTGTAGCATATTCAATTAGAGCCTCTGGATGCTCATTATTTATTCTCAATAAGGTTCTAAATGATTCAGCAGCACTTTTGAAATCTTTCTTTTTCATATATAAAGTTCCTAAAAAATAGTGTGAATTAGAATTTGAATTTGGCTATTCTGTTGCTAATTTTCCATATTTAATTGCATTTACTAAATCTCCTTTCTTCTCATAGGCTCTAGCCAATGCATTAGTACATTCATAATTTAATGGATCTACTATCATTCCTTTATGCAAAACAATCACTGCCTCATCTACAGCTGTAGGATCTTCATCATAAATCATTAAGGATTCTCCTAATTTTATAATAATGTCCATATTCTAATAATCAAGAGTTTATGCTTTAGATAAATTATCAATTCCTTCCTTTAATTATTTATTTTTTATTTGCATCCATCCTAATTTATAATAAGGTAAATAATCTTTATTATTGGCATCAATAGCTCTTCGATAAGTTCTTTCTGCTTTCTCAAATTCACCTAACTTTTAATAACATCTAGCTATTTCTAAATATGATTTAGCTCTATCTTAACTATATTGATAACCTATTCGAAAATGATGAAGAGCTTTTTTCCATTCCTTTTCTGATACAAAAATTGTTCCTAAAGCCCAATTTACTTTTTCAACTTCAAATAAGGGATCCATTTCAGTTACTTTTAATAAGTATTCTTTTGCTTTTTCTAATTAATCATCTGTATATAGTATAGCTAATCTGAAAACAGGAAATATATCATTAGGATCTTCTTCTATTTTTCTTAAGCAATCTTCTATTGTCCAATCCTCAAAGTTTTCAGGATATCTAATTACTTTTGCAATCTTTTTTTGTGTTTCAGTAAATTATTGTGTATCACTATGACCCAGCTTTGTTTATGATTACTATTCTTATTAAGGTTAAGATTCAAGACTACTTGAATTCTAATAAACTAGTGTTTTTGGTCGACTCTCTGGAACTAATAAAATTTCTGCTGGCTTTTCCAAAACTTCATCCTAAAGTCCTTCTTTGTTTGTTTTTTAGGATCTTTAACTATCAGAAGACTTCATTCCATCTTGTTCTTCTTAACCATTTTATTCTAATTTAGCACCCTATACATCCTAATCATTATTTTATTCTTATTTTTCTTAGTCCTTATTTTCTTGACTAATATTTTAATTTTCTTATTCCTATTCTTGTTAATTTGAAGTTCTGACCTCTTAAACATCCTAATTTTCCTCTACTACTAATTATTCTTATTCCTATTCCACAACTTAGTCGTCTTTATGTAAGGAAGCTTCAAGTTAATTCAACTCTTGACTTCCCTTTATGGAGTTATGAGGACTTTAAACTTTAATTTAAGGAATATCTTCTTAATTTGACTTATCTCTTATCTACTCTATAGTTTGTTATTATCGAAAGATTTACTCATCTTAATTTTATACAGATTATTATTATTCTACTGTTACTGGTTTTTCTTAATCTTTAGGAGTTTAAGGTTTATTTTATTCTTCATTTTCAATTGGTTATTATTAAAAATTAGATGATTTCCCATCATTACTTTTTCCTTCAGATTTAATTGTATTTGAATCTTTTATTTCTTAGTTTTGTTCTTCATTTTTAGTTTCTTTCTATTTATCTTTTTCTGATTATTATTAATCAGAATCTTAATTTGGCTATACTACTTTCTTTTAAGTATGATCAGATTTTTATAATGATTTTCCTGATTAATTTCTTGTTGTCTTTTTTGGATTCTATTATTAATTTTATGTTGTAGAATTTGTTTGTTATTAGAGTTAGGGATGAGATGCTGTTTCTTACAATTATTTAACTTGCATATCTTATTAAGACATAGTTTAAGTTAGCCTTTTTGCATCTTCAATTGATAATTACGAATCTGTAAGTTCAGGTGGCTTATTATCTTACTGATTTTACTATTCTTATTTCATCATCTATTGTTATTCAATAGAAATCTTTTTGACTTAATTATTTGTTGAATTTGGTCTACTTAACTCAATAGGCTAGTTTGCTCCTGATTAAGGTCTTGATTATTATTTTGGGATAAATTTTGTTTATTTTTTTTGTGAAATAGTTTATTGAGGCTATTGGGTATCATCTCCTTAATTCTAAGGAGGTAAATCTGGATTTGTTTTCTAATCCTTTTTTCCTGCGCTTTATAAAGATCTTTTTCCAGATTAAGATTAAGGTTTTTACTATTAATTTTAACTTTAATCTTATTAGATATTATTTTAGGATTCAATTTTCTCCTTGTCTTTAGGTTATTCTGATCTATTTGATTAAGCAGAATCCTATTATTGCTATTATTCTAATGTTAAGGTAACTTTTTTCTCGAAACCTTTAGTTGATGGTGGTCTTGTATTGACTTTTTAAATTGATGTTCTCGATACTGATTTAACATTTTTTTAATCATTGTTTTGTTAATTTTATTATTGATCTTAAACTTATTACTTTTCTGATCCTTCTTATCGATGAGTATCAGATATTTTTTAATCAGATATACCAACAAATGTTCCAGTCTAATTATATTAAGGTAATTCATTTCCATTTTTTATATCTTTTGGAGAAGTAATTTGCTCTACTTGTGGAATTTATTCTTAGTTAAATGTTTCAAATTATTGCTATGATTATTTTGGGGGAGTTTTAATCATTATACTGGGTTCTTATACAGTTTTTCTTTAATTCTGAGTTTCAGATTTTTGTTTTTATATTTTAGACTTAGCATTTTCTTGCTCAATTAAAGATAAATCGCCAAAGGTTTATTATTTTAATGGGTTGGTTGAATTATTTTAATTTTAAGTATTCTAATCAATTAATTGTGATTGTGATAAAGAAACTGGAATTGATTACTATTCAACATTACTTTATGTCTATTATTAGGCTTAAATTGTTACTACCTCTTATTATTGTTATTATTGTTATTTTTCTTGTTCCTCTAACTTTTTCTGCTGTTCAGCTTATTATCTTTCTTATTCTTTTTACAATTCTATTTATTTTTATTTTTCCTTTTCTTCTTCCTCTTGCTTTTACTATTATTCAGCTTATTATCTTTCTTGTTCTTTTTACAATTCTATTTATTTTTACTTTTATTTTTCTTCTTCTTCCTCTTGCTTTTTTTATTATTCAGCTTATTATCTTTCTAGTTCTTTTTACAATTCTATTTATTTTTATTTTTATTTTTCTTCCTCCTCTTGCTTTTTCTATTCTTCAGCTTATTATCTTTCTTATTCCTTTTACAATTCTATTTATTTTTATTTTTCCTTTTCTTCTTCCTCTTGTTTTTTCTATTCTTCAGCTTATTATCTTTCTTATTCCTTTTACAATTCTATTTATTTTTATTTTTCTTTTTCTTCTTCCTCTTGTTTTTTCTGCTGTTCAGCTTATTATCTTTCTTATTCTTTTTACAATTCTATTGATTTTTATTTTTCCTTTTCTTCTTCCTCTTGCTTTTTCTATTATTCAGCTTATTATCTTTCTTGTTCTTTTTACAATTCTATTTATTTTTATTTTTATTTTTCTTCCTCCTCTTGCTTTTTCTATTCTTCAGCTTATTATCTTTCTTATTCCTTTTACAATTCTATTTATTTTTATTTTTCCTTTTCTTCTTCCTCTTGTTTTTTCTATTATTCAGCTTATTATCTTTCTTATTCTTTTTAAAATTCTATTTATTTTTATTTTTCTTTTTCTTCTTCCTCTTGTTTTTTCTGCTGTTCAGCTTATTATCTTTCTTATTCTTTTTACAATTCTATTTATTTTTATTTTTATTTTTCCTTTTCTTCTTCCTCTTGCTTTTTCTATTATTCAGCTTATTATCTTTCTTGTTCCTTTTACAATTCTATTTATTTTTACTTTTCTTTTTCTTCCTCCTCTTGCTTTTTCTATTATTCAGCTTATTATCTTTCTTGTTCTTTTTACAATTCTATTTATTTTTATTTTTCCTTTTCTTCTTCCTCTTGTTTTTTCTGCTTTTCAGCTTATTATCTTTCTTATTCTTTTTACAATTCTATTTATTTTTATTTTTCCTTTTCTTCTTCCTCTTGCTTTTTCTATTATTCAGCTTATTATCTTTCTTGTTCTTTTTACAATTCTATTTATTTTTATTTTTCTTTTTCTTCTTCCTCTTGCTTTTTCTATTATTCAGCTTATTATCTTTCTTGTTCTTTTTACAATTCTATTTATTTTTATTTTTCTTTTTCTTCTTCCTCTTGCTTTTTCTATTATTCAGCTTATTATCTTTCTTGTTCTTTTTACAATTCTATTTATTTTTATTTTTCTTTTTCTTCTTCCTCTTGCTTTTTCTATTATTCAGCTTATTATCTTTCTTGTTCTTTTTACAATTCTATTTATTTTTATTTTTCTTTTTCTTCTTCCTCTTGCTTTTTCTATTATTCAGCTTATTATCTTTCTTGTTCTTTTTACAATTCTATTTATTTTTATTTTTCTTTTTCTTCCTCCTCTTGCTTTTTCTATTATTCAGCTTATTATCTTTCTTATTCTTTTTACAATTCTATTTATTTTTATTTTTCTTTTTCTTCTTCCTCTTGCTTTTTCTATTATTCAGCTTATTATCTTTCTTGTTCTTTTTACAATTCTATTTATTTTTATTTTTCTTTTTCTTCCTCCTCTTGCTTTTTCTATTATTCAGCTTATTATCTTTCTTGTTCTTTTTACAATTCTATTTATTTTTATTTTTCTTTTTCTTCTTCCTCTTGCTTTTTCTATTATTCAGCTTATTATCTTTCTTGTTCTTTTTACAATTCTATTTATTTTTATTTTTCTTTTTCTTCCTCCTCTTGCTTTTTCTATTATTCAGCTTATTATCTTTCTTGTTCTTTTTACAATTCTATTTATTTTTATTTTTCTTTTTCTTCCTCCTCTTGCTTTTTCTATTATTCAGCTTATTATCTTTCTTGTTCTTTTTACAATTCTATTTATTTTTACTTTTCTTTTTCTTCTTCTTCCTCTTGCTTTTTTTATTATTCAGCTTATTATCTTTCTAGTTCTTTTTACAATTCTATTTATTTTTATTTTTATTTTTCTTTTTTTTCTTCCTCTTGTTTTTTCTATTATTCAGCTTATTATCTTTCTTATTCTTTTTACAATTCTATTTATTTTTATTATTCTCTTTCTTATTCTTAATCCTTTTACTATTTTTAATATTCAACCTTTTACACATTTTGTTCTTTCTATATTTCTTATTCCAATTCTATATCTATATCCTATCCTTAATTAATCTTCTATTTTTTTTCATATTAATTATCTACATTTTTTTTTGTTACATTATTTTAATCCGTTTCTACATCTTTTTAGCTCACTTGTTAATTTTCCATAACATGTTAATTATTTTCTTAAAATTCTTAATCCTAATCTTATTCATTCATTTTTTATAAATTCTTCTTCTTTTATTTTTACAAATTAATTTTTTGATTTTATGAACCTTCATTATTCTCAGAGTCAATTACTTAATATTGTTAAGAATATTCCTTTTACTATTATTGTTATTCAAAATTTTCTATTTACATTTATATATTTTTTTAATCTTTAACTTGTTATTGAACAGTTTTAGTTGATTTTAATTATTGAACTTAATTTTTTGAAGCTTAATCAACAGGTTTTTCCGCATTATCATCTTACTATTTTTTCATTGTTTCCTTAAAATTTTATTAGAGCGTTGTTTTTTTCTAACTCTTAATTTATTATTCTTCAAGTGTAACTGTTTGTTGTTCAACTTCTTTAGGTTTAAAAGTAACCTAATTTTCCTCTTATTCAATAATTAACTCTTTATTTTATAAATCCAAAGAAACTTTCTAATTTTATTGTTTAGCTCCTTCATTTACTGCCTCAACTATAGTTTTCTAAGACTTATCTTGTGTTCTTTTATTATTAGATTTAACTCTTTATGATTCCCCGATTTCTATAGATCCCTCTTTAATTGAAGATAATCTATAGGGATCAGAATTTCCTTAAAATGTAAATTATTCTTTAGGTTGTTAAGGTTCTTAATCAGGTTAAGGTTGCTAATTAAATTAGTTTTTAGGTTTTCCTTATTCTTCTGTTTTTGTTCTTTATTAATTTTGAATTTCATTATTAATTTCACTAATTATTTCTTCATGAAATTTTTAATGCTGAGAATTGTCTCTTTAATGATTTTTCTTTTAATCAAGCTATACAAATCTTTATCCTGTATCGACAGGTTATACCATTGATATTTGCCCAATACTTGATTGATGCTCATCAAATTATTATTATGATGAAATCTTATCACTCTATAAACTTTGTTAATTGGATATATTTTTGATTCCTGAAGGTGGTCTTCTTATGGGTTATTGAGGAAATTACTATTATTATTATTATTATTATTATTATTATTATTATTATTATTATTATTAGCTTTATCTTTATTATTATTAACTAAAAGGATGTGGTTAACTTTATATTAATTATTAGGGCTATTTTTAAACTTAAACATGTTATTATTATAGTTTTTTATTATTATTATTATTAATAGGAACTAAAGCAGGCTATTATTATTTATATTTATCAGGAGATTATTTCACTAGATTTAATAATATATTTACTTAAATTGTTTATTTTAGCTTATGCTTGTTATTGTTATTATTGAGGTTACTTCCATTATGTTTAAGTTTTACTCATAATTTTTGGAGGAAATAGCTTTTATCTTTCTTTTTCTTTTAATTTTAATTCTGATATTCTTTATAAAAACTCTTCACTGTTTATTTCTTTAGAAAAATTATCTAAGATCTAATTATTAGAATATTCATACATAATTATACTTTTAAATTGCAGCATCAAAATCATTTAACTTTTCGAATAATACTCCTTGATTTACATGTGATAATAGCAAAAGTGGTTCGTCTACATCATCTTTGAGCTTATCTACCAATTATCTAAATATTTATAAAGCTTCTTATAGTTTTCCTTATTTTGATAAAAACACACCATTATTATAAACACTTGTTATTGCTCCACTTTGATTAATTTTTTTAAAATTTTCTTCAACTTTTTAATCTATTTATTTTTCAGCTAAAATGATATTTAGATTATTCAAGGCTCTCATATCACCTTTATTATTTTTTAGATAGTTTTCTAAAGTGTATCTAGCTTGAGCTTGTTTACCCATTTGCATTAACAAATTTGAATAATTTATAACAGCACTTGAGAAATTCGGATTACTTCGAATAGACTTGTTATAAGAAGAATACTTTTACCTATTAATACATTTCTAACGCTTGTTAATTTTCCCCTGCTTTTTCATAACACATAGCTAAGTTAAAAAAAGCTCTATAGTCATTAACTTTATTGACTTGAATGAGTTGTTAGTAATAGTTTATGGCTTAAGCAAAATCTTACATCTCATAATAAGTAGAAGCCATATTGAACAGAGTAAGGGTATTATTTGGCAGAATCTAGATATTAGAAAAGTTTTACTTCTAATGCTTTGTGCATCATTTCTAAACTCCTCATATATCCATCAGTCGTGTTCTCTAAATCATTTTTTATAGCATATGCCAATAAGTTATATGCTTCTATGTTTTAATTATCATTTTCAATTATTGCTTCCAAAAGTTCGATCTATTATGATTATAAACTTTACAGCTTAAGAGTAGTTTCCAACATATATTTGTTTTTTTGCTAATAATAGATGATCATTAGTTAGTTCTAATAGATAATAAAAACTGTTATACCTTCCATAAAGAATCAAAATAATTTTTTTTATAATTAAATAATATATCATTAAAATATCAATATATCAATATATAAATTAATATAGATTTATTTTCTTATTAAAATATAGTATAATAGATTAATAAATTAGAAGATTATAACTGATGTGTTTCACAAAAATTCATCTAAAGTTTTTAATAAAAAAACAATAAAAAAGAATATGAATACTTATTATATACACTATCATTAAAGATCAACCCTATCTAAATCTTCATCATCACTTTCAGAATTGACCTCATGCTCATTATCGATAAAAGGCACTTCAATAAAATAATGAAATTTAAACTATTATTTACTTATCCAAGGGTGTTTGAGCATTTAAGATGCCGTTGCTCTTTTGTAAGAAAATACATTTAACATTGGTAATAAAAAGTCTGCAAATTAAGCAGCTTCAAAATTTTCCATCTGATATCTCATTAATTGAAATTTCTTACTTTTTAACCAAAAGCTATTATAAAGAACAATAATGTTTAACTTTAACATTTCTCAATTCTCCATCATGTTTAAAATATGATCTACAATATTTTCCAACTGAAGTAAATTCAATTGGAAAAGGGCCTAAAATTTCTTGAATCTACTTTAAATGAGTGTCATAATCTTCAAATTCTGTATCAAATAAACTATCTCCAGTTACTAATTCAAATGCTATACAAGCAAGACTCCATATATCTGCTGATGTTCCATAATATTAACCTAATATTACTTCTGGAGCTCTGTACTTCTAGGTTTAAATCACTTCACTCAAATGATGATTTACCCAACAAGCATTACCAAAATCAGCAATTTTGATTTAAAAAATTCTAATACATATAATAAAAACTGTATACCTTTTATTGGAATCAATTTATTATAGTTTATATTTGATGGATTGCAATTTTTTTTTCTCTTTTTATCTTTTTCTTTTTTCTTTCTTTTTATCTGATTTTGATAATTTATAATATTTATTTAACTATTCTGAATAATATTGACGCTATTTGATTTGACCTTTTTCAACAATATCTTTAATTTATTCAGTTGTTAAGCATAAAAGTATGTTTTCTGGTTTTAAATCAGTATGAATGATACCACATTCTCTATGAAGAAAGTCTAAAGCAATTAGAATTTATTTAATAATAGATTTGCATTATTCTAAGTTTAAACCATCATTATCACAATTCCTAATTAATTCTAATAAATTTTGACCAAGAATTTCAAATATTAATACATAATGATTACCAAATAATCCCTTATGAACAAAAACATTCAATAATTTAACAATATTGATGTTACGAGATTTTCTTTGAATAGTTTATAATATTTCAATTTCATCCAAGGCTGCTTCTTAGGATTAAGGTGCACTCCTTTATATTTTTAATGCTACAAAAGTATTTGTTTTAAAATCCTTAGCTAACCATACTGTTGAAAAATTCCCATATCCTAATTTCTGTATAACCACATATCTTCCATGAAATACTTCACCAATAAAAACTGGATGGAAACGACCTATTTAATAGTTCTTTATTCCTTCTTCTTCTTCATCTTCATCAGAATAAAATGAATCTTATTCTTAGAAATCTAAATTGATCCTCAAATCACCTTACATAATGATAAATAATATTAATTTTAATAAAAAATAATAATAATGATTATATAATAATTTGATAAAATCTCATTGATAGAGGAATTCTAAACCTTAAAAGAATAAATAATTACAAAATTAAATGAATATTTTACAAAACTTGAAAAAATAATAGAAGAATTCAGTTAACCTATTAATGAATCAATTAAGGAACAAATTAAATTAATTTCTAATTATGAAAGTTCTATAGAAAGAATATTTTAATAAAAACTTTTAGATAGAGAATAATTGAAAGTCTATTTAAATTATGTTCAGAAATGTAGTGTCAATAATATAGATTAATTAGAGTCAAGCTTGAATTTTATAAAGATTGATGATGGAATTATCAAAATATAAAAAGAGATCGATATATTATATATAGAATAAATGTAGGAACCTTAGAAATAGTAATCAGGTACTTTAGAAGAAATTGAATTGAATTTTAAATTACCACATGAACTAATTGAATATGAGGAACATTTTAATCCTTAATATATTTGTATAACAAGTTGCATAATTAGTTTTAATAATGAATTCATAACAGGAGGGTGGGATGGCAAAATTGTAAGATTTGACATGAATCAAATCAAACAGGAATTAAAATTATTTAATAATCCTGTAAGAATAATTAAATAATTAAGAAACAATTGTTTATTAATAGTGAATGATTAAAATGACTATAAGTTATTAGATAAAGGTTGGAATATTTTAAGAGACGAAAAATTGGGAGAGATGAATATTATAAATATTGATGAATATGTTTAAGAGACTCATCATGTTATAAAGATAAGAGTTGATAATGGGGATTAATATATAGGAAATGTAAAAAATGCTTTTTTGAATGGATTTAGACATTTAAAAATGGAAGATAAAATATAAGGGAATGTTATTACAACATATTTTGATGATATAATTGTAATTGATTAATTTGATAATTTTGGAATAGTTTTAATATATAGTGTTGATAGTAATAATCATATTATTAGTACTAATTAATTCAAAATATCTGACACTTTGATAACAAAAGCTTTAATATTGAATGATGATTAATTTTATTTTAAAGACACTTAAAATAGATTATATTTATATGATGCTTAATTAGAGTCAGAATATGATGATATGATTAATCACAACAATAATATAGTTATGATTAAAGATGATAAATTGAAGATTAATGAAATAGAATATCCTAATAAATTAACAAAAATATTAGATGCATATTCTAATGAAAAATACTTTATTTTAGTTGGTTATGGGGAATAAATGAATATTTAAATATTTAAATATATTTGATCAACAATATAGTTTTTCAATTGCAGTTTTTGGACTAATGTAATTTGCAAATTCTCTTAGTCGAAATGTTTGTTGTAAGACTTTTCTACAATCAAATGAAGGAAGAACATTAGTGATCAGAAAATCATACAATTATTTTAATTCTTTATCATCTTTATTATCATAATATGGTATGATTGGTATTCCATTTTCAATATGCACTCCAAAACTGTATGCAGCATTATCAATCAAAACAATATCTTTCATATCTCTACCTAATATTCTAAGATCCTTTATATGAACACCTTCATTAGTTACAATACAGTTATCTCTGAATAATGTTGCTGATACTACTTTATTCTTATCTATAGATTCTATAACTTATGATGCATAACATTTATGTGATGCTGTAAAAATAACTACTTCACAAACTTCTGATAATTTTTATAATATTTCTTTTGCCCAAGGTCTTACATTTATTCCAGCTTATACAATTTCTCCAGAAGGAAATGTTATGGGCAATAAGATTTCTGACTTTATTGTATTATTTTCATTACAATGTATTAATGTCTCGTCTAGATCAAAAACAATTGTTTTATTAACTTTAATCTAAGATTATTTTACATTTAGTATTTTTCTTCGGCCATTGTATCATTTTTACATGTAATTGACTAATATCCTTTTCTTTTTAATTCATACAAAAATCAATGCAATTGAAAGTTTAAATAGCATGATCCTTAAATATTTAACTTATCTGATTTGTGCAATTTCTCATTGATTCAAACATTGTTGAAACATAATAAATGTTATCTAAAAAATATATCAAATAAATACTTTTTTATATTGATAACACTCTATTAGAAGGAGATAAAGATTTAGCTTATTTAAAAGGTGATATCATAAATTTTGATTTAGAAAGATTTGGTGTTGTCACTTAAGTGATAAAATCATCTAAACTAAAATGATGTTGTGCATTTTCATTTCTATCTATTGCTACTTTTTTTTCTGCATTTTCTGTTTTAATTTTTTGAATTAAATTAGTGGAATCTAAACAATTTACATTATATTTTCTATCAGTGTTTGTTTAATTTAATTTAGATTGTGAATATTCCTTATTAAATTGATGATTTGGTTTATTAAACACAGACTATAATGTTTTACTTATTTATTCAGATAAGCGAAGAGTTGTTTACAATTTAGTTTGTTTTGCAAAATAATACTATAATCATATTATAATTAGAGATACTTGCTAATTAACACGATTAGTTTTAGGTGTGGCATTCCTTGGTGTTGTATGAACATATTTATCGGTTGAAATTAATTCTTTATTCATAGAGTATTTCTTTTAACCTTAATTAAGTAATTTACTAAGATTTTAAGTTTAGTAAAATCTCTTAAGGACTTATTATTAATAAGATTTTTGTTAACTCTTAGGCTATTCTTTAGATTAGATAAGTTTATTCCTTAATCCAGAACTTTCTAACCGGGATTAGGTAGATTTATAATTACTATAATACATATATAATTAATAAAAGATAGTTTTTGATAATTTAAATAAATTTGATATACAAATCTTTTATATTTTTCTCCAGCTTTTATTTTTCTCAATAAATAGAAAGGATATTTTAAATACAATCCAAGAATGAAGTGAAATAATAAGAACAATATTATATTTATTTAATGTGAATGAAGGTGTCTTTCATTTGGTTGTTTCAGCTGCAACTCTTTTGGCTTCTTCAATGACATCTTCAAATGTTCCCTACATATAGAATGCATTTTCTGGGTATTCATCACCTTCACCATCAAGTAAAGCTACAATTATTATTTAATTATACCTCTGAATCCAGCAATGGTGTCAGAAAGTGATACAAATTTACCCTTTCTTCCTGAGAAGACTTCACTCATGAAGAATGGTTATGAAAGGAATCTTTAGACTTTTCTAGCTCTAGAAACAGTAAGTTTATCATCTTCAGACAATTCATCCATACCCAAAATAGCAATAATATCTTGGAGTGATTTATAATCTTACAATAATTTTTAAACTCCTCTTGTAACTGTATAATGTCTATTATAATTTAAATAAGATAAATTACTTTTCACCAACAATATTTGGGTCCATCATACGTGATGAAGAATCCAATGGATCAACAGCTGGATAAATACCTAATTCAGTTAATGCTCTTGATAACACAGTAGTAGCATCCAAGTGAGCAAATGTTGTGGCAGGTGCTGGATCTGTAAGATCATCTGCAGGTACATAAATAGCTTAAACTGATGTAATTGATCCCTTCTTTGTTGTTGTGATACGTTCTTACAATTAACCTAAATCTGTTGCCAATGTTGGTTAATAACCGACAGCTGATGGAATACGTCCCAATAAGGCTGACACTTCTGAACATGCTTATGTGAATCTGAAAATGTTGTCAATAAAGAGTAACACATCTTTTCCTTCCTCATCTCTGAAATATTCAGCAACTGTTAAACCAGTCAAACCAACTCTAGCTCTAGCACCGGGGGGTTCATTCATTTATCCATAAATTAAAGCACATCTTGATCCACCACTTAAATTGATAACACCAGAAGCAACCATTTCATGATATAAATCATTTCCTTCTCTTGTTCTCTCTCCTACTCCTGCAAATACTGAATAACCACCATGGGCCTTAGCTACATTATTAATTAATTCTTGAATAAGCACTGTCTTTCCTACTCCTGCACCACCGAACAATCCAATCTTACCTCCTCTAGCATATGGAGCCAATAAATCTACCACCTTGATACCAGTGATCAAGATTTCAGCACCACTACCTTAATCAACAAAACTTGGAGCTTCTCTATGAATAGGATATCTTATTTTTGTTTCAATTGGACCTCTTTCATCAATTGGATCACCAATAACATTCATAATACGTCCTAAAGTTTCAGGACCAACTGGAATTGTGATGGGACCTCCTAAATCTGATACTGGTTATCCACGAATGAGACCTTCTGTAGAATCCATAGCAATTGTTCTGACTCTGCTATCACCTAAGTGTTGTGCTACCTCCAAAATTAATTTGTGACTAGTGCCTTACACTTACAAAGCATTCAAGATAGGAGGAAGTGGTCCATCAAATTAAACATCAACGACAGCACCAATAACTTAAGCAATTTGACCTGTGGTTGTTTTAGTAGTAGCTTTTGTGGTTGTGGTTGTTGTAGCTGTAGTCTCTGCTTATTTTTTAGCAGCAGAGAATGCTATGAAGATATTAAAATTTCTAAATACCTGCACGCATCTATCTGGCTAATACCCTTGTTAGCATTTTATTTTAATAAAATAAATTTAGATATTCTTTAAATGGATATTTGTATTTAAATAGCCATTTTGCTTATCAAATCAATATTTTAGTGTTCTCTTAAATTAATTCATATTTTGATCATTATAGATCCTTCTATTCCATAAATTTAATACAAGCATATACACTTTAAGTCTAACTATCAAGATATATTTAATAAATATAATTATATCATTAAAAACCTCATACTTATATGGTGTGACTTTAAATACTAATACTATCTTTATTGATATAATAATATAATCTCATTGATCATATCTCATTTGACATCTGACTTCATCTTCTTAAGACCTTCGTTCAGAATCTATTGGAAGCCCTTAAAATTGCCTGCGTATTCTTCAAATCCCTTTAAGTATTTGGAAAACACATGACTATAATTATTGGATTATTTAATACTTAGAGAATTGGAAGAGCTTTGTCTATTTAGATTAAGCAAAATTAAGTCCAGGCACAACTTGACCATCTCTCACATCAAGCTATTTTATGTATTCTTATTACTTCTTATCTTGTACGAGCAGTGGCAAGGGATTAAAGAGCATGTTCCTAGAATTCAATATGGGCTCTGTATTCTGCAGCTTCCCTAATTAAATTACATTAATTTAGAGATACCTTAAACAAGAGATAGCATCATTGTATGATTTAAGGAACACCTTAGCCTCATAATATGGTTACTCGGTAAACATTATTTTTAATAAAAATAAATCAAATCAGTCTTAAATTAGGCAAACCCACGAATACAAAATTATGAGTATAGATACGCTTTTTTTCTATTTAAATTTCCTTCCAATTAGAAGTATCTTAAATTGGTTCAACCTTTGCACCTTTCTTAACTTCAATTGGTTAAGGTTTCTTATCAATTATATTTCCATTTTCATCCTCATATTTAATGATTGGAGCCTATAACAATTAAAAAAATATCAATACTTTATATTTCTATAAACAAGCAGCAACATAAATATCTTCAGTTAATTATTTAATTAAATTTTCAAATGCTCTTAGATATTCTACAGTTTAAGGAGACCATTATGTTGTTAATATAGTGCTAACATCAATAAGTGTCAAAAAAACAGAGATCTTAAAACTCTATTCTAAAATATGGGTTTTTTCTCCATCTGGATCCAAAGATGTGAATTTTTCTATTAAACTTTTTTTAGCATTCATCTTATCAAATATTACCCAAAACTTTGATGTGTTTATTTCTGAAAGATCAATTATTACTTTTGAAGATAAGATATTTAAAACACCAGGAGAACCATACCATATAATAGAAGAACCTGTCTAAGAGTATTTTTACAATTCACCTAATGATGCCAATCTACTTTAAGAAAAGGTCTAAAAAATAATATAAAATTAAATACTCCTTCAAATTTAAGTTAAGGTGTTGTTTTTTATACTTCATTTAATGTTTTTTATAAGTTAAATTCATCTAAATTTAAATCTTAATCTTCTGTTTTAAAATCATAAGTTAAATATTTCAATTTATCTTTTTCAATTCCTTTTTAACTATTATTCAATTAAACTTAGAAACCAACATTTTTTAATCTTCTCACATAAACAGCCATACTAAAATCTCTAGACATTGCAACCACTTTTTAAAATACACTCAATTATTCAACTGGATAATCAAAGAATTTAGGATCAAGGAATAAGACAACTGTATCTATTTTACCTGGAGCTTACTCTAAAGTAGATTCATATTATGCCAATTCATCTTTTCCAGGTTTTCCCTTAGTTTATTTACCTTAATCCTTTTTTGGAGGTGGAGCTTTAGGATCAATAACAGGTGGTGGTACTTCTTCTTATGTATTTATATTTTCATCAATCATTTATGAAACAAAACTCATAAATTATTCCACATCTTAACAATATTTACCATATTCTTTTTCCATATCATCTTCTAATTTAATGAAATCTTATTATTAAATAATAGGAGTCTTTATTAAATTATTTTTAATTTAATCTAAATTAATTTTCATTTAATTCATCTAATCATGACTTTTGGAATCAAGTGACAATCGTTATACCTTATAAACTGGAGATTTTGTATTATGTAAATATCCTAAATATAAACATGTTTTATTTTGATTCATCTGCATTATGAAAAAACCAGCACTTTATTGTAATTGTGATTATAATTCTGTTAATGGAAATATCATTAGATTATCCCATAATTTATTAGCTTCTGTTAGTAATTTTATTGCTTCTAAACTTAAATAACCACATTCTGTATTAATCATTTTAATAAGTCTAATATATACTATCATTTTATGTTTACCAAAAAATGATTGTCTTACCATATTAAACATTTATTCACAAAATGAAAAGTGTTAAAACTTACATAAATAATCATATGAAATCTCAGGACTTTTAATTCCTAATATATCTAAGGCTGATTCATATAACATTTTTAAGTAAAAGTTCATTTATTTAAATCCAAATATACTCCATTCTAATGGGATAGTTGTATTATCTCCTTTTGTTTTCAATACATTAAATCCTTTAGATTCTAAATCTTTAATTAATTTAAGAGCACTTTATAAAGCATCTGTTTTGTAATCAAACATATTATCTTCATCATTTTACTATTATATTTAATCTTATGATAATTAAGGTGTATCCCAAACATCATCTAATTATTGTTTACTGATTGCCAAGAATCTTTTAGCTCTTACTAATTCTATTTCAGCAATAGTATACCAAAATGAATCTTTTTTTAATTGTTTCAATGTAGATATCAAAATTGCTGTAGCTTTTTCAAAAGATTCTAATCTTTAAGGTAAAGGTTGAATTGCTCTTTAAATCTTAATAGTTAATTAAGTTAAGAATTTCTAGAGAGGTTCATAGTTACTTAATTATTCAATTGGTTTATCTTCTTATTAATCATTATTATTATCATCATCAGATCCTTATAGATCAGGTAATGATTATTACTTTCTTAACCATTTAATCAATCCCATTTCAATAAAACAAGATGCCATAATTACTCTTATTTTAGCTTATTAATCCATTATTGGAGATCTTATTGATTCTTATTCTTTTTCAATTAACAAAGTATATTTTAATAATGATCTACTTTATTATTCTAAAGGTTTCAATATAGAATTTTATAATTTTTATAATATTTTAAAATAAATTTCTACTTAATCTATTTTAGTATAGTTTCTATTTCTAATAAAAATTAGAATTTTATTGATTAAATTTATGATTAAATCTACTTAATGTGTCATAAATCCACCATGTTAAATACATTTTAATGATTTTTCTAAATTTTCTGCTATTAATTTAAAAGCATCATAAGAAAATTCTTTAAATAAGTCTTTTGCTGATATTTTTGATTATAAAATATATAAAGTTGTTAATGTTTGATATATCTACAATTTATTAGGTTAATAATTAGGTTTATTTAAAACTTCTAATAAAACTTCTGTAATCTATTTTAAAAATTATCTAATGTCATCATATTTTCCAAGTTTATATAAGGTTTTATATGTCTCAACAGAAGAGATTTCCCATTAACTAACATTTTTAATTAATTTATGGGATAGTTTATGATTTTCTATTGAATCTTTAAATTCACCTTCTAAAAATGCAATTTAACCTTATAAACATAAGATTCTACCCATTAATTCTAAATCTGAAACTATTTTAGCATGTTTATGAGATTCAGCCAATAATTCTTTAGCTCTATATATTTCTCCTTAATATATTAATTCATTTCCTAAATCTGTTAATATTGTATATACAAAAATTTCACTAATAATATTTGCTTAAGGAAGATTTTACTCCATTATATCAGCAGGTCTAGATCGATTCTATTATAAAACACTAGATTCAGTTTTAGCTAATAATTATTTTTTCTCTTATTCTGTAAGTTTAAATTTAACAATATTAGATTGTTAATACATTTAATCAGCCTCATTATGAAATCCTACTAAATGCAAACATTTACTAAATTTAACATCAATTAATCTATCTAAATAAGAATTATTCAATATTTCTTTAACAAAGAACTTCTAAAATACAAAGATTGGTATATTATGAATTTAGAGACCATATTTTTCAAAAATACCAATAAGATTATTTATATAAGTGTAAGTTAATTAAGCTTTATCAAATAAGTATTTACCCATAAAATTAAAGTCTTCATAGCTTTTTACTCTTTCTAAAAATTCTTTACTAAATTACAATTTAATCCAATCTTAAATACAAGTAGGTAAAAGATATCTAGGTGAGAAATCATCTTATTATTAAGGTTTAGGTTATTATTATTATTATTTACTTGTTTTTTCATCTATGATATTTGTATACTTAGCAGCATTTTCTTCAAATTCATTCATTGTTTGAAATGAGATTTCAATAATTTTTATTAAAAATACTTTAGCATCAATAGCAAATTGTATAGATTATTCCATATTATCAGCAATCATAGCTAACATAATATGAATTCTCATTAATCTTTCATAATGTGCACAATTTAATCTATTTGGATTAGCTTCTTCTTCTCTTGGTCTAAATATTTTTGATTTTTATTTATTGCTTTTTATTGTTGTTGTTCTAACATTTGCAGCTCTTGAAAATCTTTAATTACTTGATTTTTAACCAGATATTTATGATTTTTATTCTTTACTTTTATTTTATTTAACAGTATTTTTAGTAGTTTTTTTAGTCATTTTAGATTTTTATTTAGATTATTTAGAAACAGTTGATTTTTTACCTCTTGTACTTCTACTAAAAATTGTAGATGAATTTTATTCTTCATCTCCTTCTTCTTCTTCTTCATCATCTTCCATTTCAATTTCTATTAATGTATCTGCTGCTTACATTAAATTTTCAATTACTAATTATTTTTCATTTCCATTTCTAAGTAACCATTCTGAGAATTCTATTAAAACTTCAACAATTTCAACAGATGAATCTTTCTTTAATAATTCAATAGCTTTATTATATGCTGTATATTATTTATAAAGATTATTTGAAACTCTGGCTAATCTAATCCAAACTTTGGCTTAAAGAGATGCATCTGCTTCTTTCATGTTGACAATTGCTTACAATTCATTCTTACCTTATTTACTCATAAATATCATTTTGGCTTCCCAAATAGGTTTAGCCATATTTTTAGGTACTAATTCAAATACCATATCAGCTGCCATTTCTCCTAATTTGTAATCTTCATTTTCTAAAGCACTTTTAAATAATAATTAAGCTAATAATAAAACTAAATCAGGTTCACTTTTTTCTTTACATTCTTTTAAGTAATTTAAACAAGAATATACTGGTTTAATTAAATGTTTTCTATTTTAAGCACTTTCTTCTAATCTTGCACATAAATTCCAAACTTATTTTGATGCATCCAAAACTAAACTATTTATTCCAGCTTTTAATCCTTTATTTGCAGCTTCAATTGCATGAAACAAACTAGAAAATAATAAGGATTCTTAAGATTCTGTCTCTTGTGTTTCTGTATTAAGCATTCTTAATAAATTTTCACTATATATATATTCAGCTAATGAATACCACCTTAATCTTGATGCTGGAATAGTTGATAAATCAGATGTCAATAATTATAATGAATATTAAACACATCTCAATGAATATTTATACATTAAAATAGTTTCTTCATTTAATGATAATCTAGCTAATCTTGCCCATAATTCAGCATGTAATTCAAGTTCAGTTTCATCATTTTCTTTTGCTGTCCATCCAACAAGAGTTTCAAAACATTTCTTTATCAAATCTTAAGTTTATGCTTTATTGGTTGAATTTTAAATGATTTCTAATTATGAAACAACATCAAAAATAACACTATCAGAAGATGATTATTATGGTTATTTAGTTCCCTTCTTATCTTATTATGCTCCTGGTTTAGCTGCACTAGTTTTAGCTGTACCTGAAACTCTTGCTTTTATTGAGTTTATCAATTTACGAGTATGAGGAGATAAAGGTGTTAATAGAAGTGCTTCACATACTCTCATAACTTCATCATATTATGCTTTACCTTCCATTAATCTTGCATAAACCAATCCAATATTAGCCAATACTTAAATCTTTGTATCAATATCATAATCATTTATTAATTTTTTCTCTATTTCTTTTAAAGAATTCTTCATAATTTCAAAAAATTCTTTTAATAAATTTGTGATTTCTGGTAATAATTTACTATCATTAATAGGATTACGAAAGATTGTTAAAAAATTATTCCAAATATAAATAGCTCCATTAAATACTAACCAAGTTTATTTAATTGAATCTGCTAATTTTAATCCTTTAACAAAATTTGAACACATTTTTCTTTTTAAAGATAATACTTAATCTTTCTTTTCTTAACTTAATTCTTCCACATTCTCATTTTCTTCTACTCTTATAGGATCAGCAAAAGGAATTTCAAAATTATCCTTTATTAAATTATCAATTATCATTTATGCCATTCGATATTAACATTCTACTTAAGCCAAAATCATCTCTGAAGCATTCTTAACATCCCAAGTATCATTACATACAAATTCACATGCTTTAAATGCTAAATCATTAAATTCCCATTCAAATGCTAATCTAGCAATTTCAGCTGCTAATAATTTCTTTTATTTAAATTAATATAAATTCTCTTATTTCTTTAATACTTTTTCTCTATTTTATTCTTCCTCTACAAGATCTAATTTTGTATCATACCAATATTCTTATTCCTACAAATTTACAATAGTTCCTAAACACTTTTATAAAATATCAATTCTAAGATTTTCTGATTTAGCTGCTTAAACATTCTCTAACTAAGTAATTACTCTTTCAATATCATTTTTTGGTTCCTAATAAATATTTAATTTCAGTCTAATTTTTTCTTCCAAATTACGTAAATATTTATCATATGGTCTTTAATACAATCCTAAATCCTCTCCTTCATCATATTTAAATTACACTTTTCCTAATGGCACACTATAGTCAAGTTACAAAGCTTTCTTTATGTGTTATTCTGCTTTAACAGCTAAATCCTCTTATAAATCACTTTTAGCTAGTTCTATATGGAAATTCACTCTTAAAGCATGGTCAACACATTATAATTGTTCTAACAATTAACATGCCATGGAAAAAGCCTTGTAAACATGAACTCTATATTGAGCATTCAAAAATGGTAAGGAAATATTCCATATTAATACTGCACCTTCAAAGATAAGGTCAGGATCATTTAATTTTTTGTTTGTGACCATAACTTTTTCCATTGTTTTCAAAGCTTCTATTCTTCTTTCAACTTCTTACATCTTTATTTAAAGAGAATTCAATCTCATTCCTGTTTTATTATCAATAAGTGGACCAGCCTTCTTAATAAATAATTCTGCCTTATTGTATTCATGTAAAATGTATGCCTTCTAATGTAATTGTCTAACTCTACTTAAGAATGCAGTAATTGAATCTGCTATGTTGACTAAATTATACTGAAGTGCCACTCTTCCTGATTCAGCTAATCTTTCCTAAAATACTGGTGCCAATTTATTGGTTGCTGCAACTTCATTGCCTGGTAATACTGCACTTGAAATTGAATTAATTAAATTGATCAACTCTTTTTCTACTTAAGCTTCAGGGATTAAACCACTTCTCATTTTCTATAGCATAAATAAGGATTTCCAAGCTTTTTCTGATGGAGCAGATTCTGATTCTTTGAATGCAGAATCTAAAGCCTACTTATATTCTTTGCCAATATGAATTCTCAATCTTAATAATGAGTTTTAGAAATCACAATCTCCTTTCTTTTTGGTTGTTTCCCATAAACGATCTAATAATTTAAATGCATCAGCTTTCCTATCATCATACAAACAATAGAATAGAAGCCAAGTAAAACGACATCTCCAATCATAATCTGCTTCATCTACTTCCTCAAACATTTTGTCTATTTTATCCAAAATATCAACAAAAGATAATTGCCATTATGGTTTTAGCATAGGACGAATGATGTTATAAACACAAATGGAGGCATTATAAATGAGAAAACCATATTTTTATTTATTCTCAGGTTTTGATATGATATCTAAACCTTATTGCACATATGTGAGAGAAAGTTTTAGATTCTTTATCATATCTTCTGCTTTTAGTAGACAGTCATGTCCATTCATTGATATGAGACGAGCTTTAATAAATAATGCACGGATGTAAAACTGCCCTTAAGATGTGTTTCTTTAGAAATACAAATCTATGTATTGTTATGCAATATGAGCTTTATCTGGCACAATCAGACAAGCTTCACAATATTTGATGATCACTTCTTATGAAATATCTAGAAATGAAGATCTGATTAAAATTGATAACCATACCTGATATTTTTTTTAAGGATCTGATTGATTTTATCAATAGAATCCTAACTTTGACTAAGAAAGGTTTCATTATCATCTCTGTGATCAATAAAGAATCTAGCTTCTGTGATTAAGTTATCAATTATATACTCTTCATTACTCATTACAATATAAAATTAATGAAAAATATAAATTTCTTTATAGTTCTCTTTATGTAAACATTCATTTGATATATTTCTAAAGAGAAATCCTTTTGTTTCTTAATAGTTGTTATTGATGATATAATAATATAAATTTACATCTAATATTATCCACCTTATTTAAATTATTATAATAATTTTGAATTTACTTCTTTACTTCCTATATTTATAATTGATTTAGTTACTATTAGAAAAAGATATTCAAAGTTTTACTCTAGCAAATATAATTGTATCATTTAGAATATTAGATTAATGCTATTGAATTAGTATCAAATAATTAGATTATTTAAAGAATTGAATCTAAATATATATATTTATATTTTTAATATCTTATAATATTATAAATAATTATTTAATATATTAATATTCTTTGTAAATAATAAAATTTACTTAATTATATGAGTGAAATCCAACATTAATAATATGGATATGATAATAATAATCACATCAATGAATTGACCAGATCCTGTATAACATTAAATTCATTTTCAATATTTTTGACTCTATTATTTTAATCCTCCAAATGCTCTAGCAATTCTTAATTGTAATCATTAGGAACTTCTTATAGCTATTATTATAGTTCAAGAATAATTTAATCTCTTTCTTCAATATCTTATTCTGATTTACGTTTATATTCAATCATCTTTTTATTATTATTATCAAGTTCAATTTATAAGGCCATTAATTATTCTCTTAATTCTTAATCAACCATTTACTATATTTCTTATTCTTATATTCCCCTATCAGATCCTTTTTGTTCAATAGCTCTTTACAATGTATCAATTAAAGATTATTAAGTTGTTACAAGTTCCAAAATTTAATTGAATGAATCTATAATTGGCATTTCTATTCTTAATTTATTGTATTATACAAATTATTAATAATATGAAGAATTCTTAATTTTTTTAATACGATGTATAGCTATAATGATCCAAGTCACTACTTTGAAAAGTCTTTTATTTGGTTTAATTCTGAGATCTTATTACATCTCATTCAATTATTGATTTATTAGAGACAAATTTCTTTGTTAAATTAGAAATTCTTCGAACATTTAGGATATAACTGACATTACTAATTTTAGTTTTTGATCATTATATTTAGGTTGAGTAATCGATCGAACCTTTTCTTGTTTCTTATCTTTCTAATAAAATCTAGTATTAAATCATTCATACTGCTCTAATTCAAGAATTCTTTATTCAAAGAGCATTTTAGTTCTCTCATCATGCATGTTTGGACTCTAATTCCCAGAACTAGATTTGATTGAAACCTACTGCTATAAATGGAATTAATTTTACTAAAAATAATTGTATTTATATAAGTATACTTTAAGTTATTCCTTAAGTTAAGTTTTTTTTTATTATAATTCCATTAATTTATCTATCATTCTTGTAAACATCTCTGCTAATTCCTTTATTTGAGGCATTTCAAATAATTAAGAATTAATTTAATTGGCATTTTTCAATTAACTCAATAATTGGTTTAATTCTTTATTTAATAGACTTAGATTCTCTAATTGTTATTAAACAGTTTAAGCTTCTCGTTAATCTAATATTGTATGAGTAGCTAATAATTGTTCTTCTTATTAGCTATCATTTTAATCTGCCAAATGATTCTTGAAATTTTCCACTATTGCTTCATATTTCATTTACCAATCTTCATTCTATTCTGATAACAACATAATTTATTATTGAAATTAATCATAAATCTATTATTTTTCTATGTTAACTTATTCTAATTATAATTCATATTATTTTGCTTATTCTTATTACTCTTATACTTTAGTTGTCAAATCTTTTACTTTTAATTTCCTTTATTTAGATCTTTCTCTACATTTATTTGCATATTATATTAATTGTTCTTTTTCCACTTAGAATTTATTCAAACTGTCAAGTTATAATCTCACTTTCTCTTCATATTCCTTTTATCCTTTCTCTTATTATATCAATTTCTCTTAAAGAAGTTGATATTCATTCAATAATGCTGAATATTATAACTTTAGTTGTGTATTCTATTGAGTTAGTTATGATGAAGTAGATATCAATTATTATATTCGTTTCTCTAGAGATGCTTACTTAAATTTGTAACAATATTATTATTACTTTGATTTAAAATTCTCTTTCATAAAATTATAGCTTTCCTTCTAATATTTAAACTTATGATCTTAAATTAACAGCTTCATTATCATATTAATCTCCTATCTTATTAAAATCATTAAAAGAAGCATAACTCTTTGCTGCATCAGTTTATTTAAGAGTGGATTATTGAATAACAGGATTTTTTGGTGTTCCCATATTTACTTAATTAAGACGCTTCTCAAATTTATCCATTAAATAATAAAATTTAAATTGTTTATACTCAAAAGAATAATTTATTGATCAACATTTTAATACATATAAAAAAGTATTCTAATTAGTATATATATGTTAGATTCATTAAGTAAATACAATTTACTAAGAAATTAATTTAGAACTTTGCAATTATTATTATTAAACAAATCATAATAGATAACATTATCTACAGAATTTATATTATATTAAAAAATGTTTTGCTAGAATTCCAATAACATATATATAAATATAAATATATATATATTTTTGATCAAATCATTAAGATATTAGAAATTAATTTTATTAATTAGTTTAGATTTCTAGAATATAATATAATAATAATTATATCTTAATAATAGATTTAAGTATAAAACATATTTATTAATAAGTAAATACTAAATAATGTAAATAAATCTGGTATAATTATTGATATAAGATATTTCATGTCTATAATATAATAAAAATTAGAGATATATAATAAAAACAATAAATTGTAATATGTAAAGTGATATTAAAGAATACTTAAATAAACTTAGAATGAAGAATAATAGAAGATTGACAACAAATAAATTGAAAATTAAGTTTTAGTAATATAATAAATAGATATGAAGATTTTCATTTTTTTGTAAGATGCTAAATAATCACATGAAGTCTTGCAATTTCTTACTTCAAAAGTGTTTGTTCTTTTAGATAATTTTCTTCTTTTTGATGCCAACTTTCAGCTACTTTAATAAATTTTTATTTTATTTTCTCTAATTCTTCTGAATATTTTGGTTTTGATGCAACAACTCGAGATCCTCGTTTTTATATTAGAAATCTTTTTTATGAATCTGTAGCTACTATATATGTTCGAGCTGTTTCAATTTGAGTGTGATTACTAAATGATTTGTGATCCTTAAGAATTTGTTTTAAGTTGATCATTGGTTTTTAATGAACTATACCCATTTCAGTTTTACATCGAGAGACACTTTTCAAATTTAAAGAATATTGATCAAATTTAATGTTTTGCACTTTGGGAGAGAGGCTTGTTTAATTCATATATATATTTATTAATCAAAACTTTTTCCTTAACAAAGTGGATTAACCTGGTTTTTTGATTCTTTAGAAGTAATTATTGGCTGAAGGGAAAGCTGAAGTTTTAGATGTGGTAATTTATATAGGACTGCTTGATGGATTCGATTTTACAGGAGTAGCTGCCTTTTTTGGTACTTGGTTCTCTAAAATTTATTGAAATTATCTTTATAAGGAACGAATTGATTCTTTCTTCTCTATTTGATTGATGTTAATTATTTGGTAGTTGTTATTAAAGATCTAAACTTTTGATGGTTTAGAGTCGATAACTTTTTTATCTTTAGTAAAGCTATTATTAAGTTTCTTTTCTTTGATGTTGAATTCATGCACAGATTTAGATTACTTTTTGTGTTGCTCCATTCCACCAAAAGAGAAGTACTCTGAGTCTAATTAGATTTTAGGGGATTATGGCATTTGAGACAATTAAGATGCCTTTTCTTTGAATCTTGGAGTATCTATAGCAGGATGTTATTTAACAGGCGTTGGAGATTTTGATTTGACTTATTTCTTTTTCATATATTAATGAATCATCGATTATGCGTTTGCAAATACAGAAACCCCATAGAATTCGTATGTACTTTAAAGGAATGCACTGATCGAAGACTAATTTGCAAATCCTGTGCTTGGGATCATAAACAACACGATTCAAAAGTTCTTTAAATTAACGAATTCGAAACCATGATTACTAAGTGATTATGTGTCTCTTTATCATAGTGACTCTTTGGTTTAAAGAATATAAGATGTACAGAATGCAGAAGGAATCAACAACACCCTTGATTAATTAATACAAATTGCTTAAACTGACATAATGCAAATACTGAAAAAGAGATGCACCGAATTGAAGGAGAAAGTCAAGAAGCATTATAATCCATTTAATAGAACAGTTGAACACATTACAAACATATCTAAAAAATACTATAATTCATCAACTATAGATTCTTTAGTTAAAGAATTAGACATTAGCGACATTTAAGGTTAATTATAAAAAATGGAAGCCGCTCAATTTTAGAAGTTTTCTTTAATTTGTAAAGAAATTTTAAATTTATCTGATGCTTTAGACAAACTTAGAAAAGCATGTTAAGAAGATGCATCTCCAGAACTAAAAACTATTAGAAATTACATTCAATAAAATTTGGAATTTAAAGAAGTGAAACATAAAAGTAATAAATCTAATTATTCAACTATTAGCTTCATATGATTATGATTTAAATGACTACATCTAAAAGTCTTCATTATAGTAACAAAAATAATCCATACTAGAGAAATCATAAACACAATTATAGAAACAATAATAATAAGTTTAATAGATTTAATAAGATTACAAAAAAGTTCCTCCTCAACATATGTATTTATCTCATTTAGAGATTCTTAAATAACCAAAGTAATTACAAGAGAAAGCTTCCCCATACAATTATGAAAGAATAAAGACTGAACATTCATCCAATAAGACACTTTATGATTATACATTTATGAAGGAAGAAAAATCACAATAATTATAGAAATATCATTATTTAGATTAAAGCAAAAAACAAGAAGAATTAAATAATTAATTTAATAGTTTATCTAGTACTGATAGGATCTATCCCTTTTATTAAAGATAATCATCATAGAGCCTATATTCATCTTCAAAGAAATGATAGTATATATATATATATAAATAATGAATATCAATTATAATTTTTAATTCTTATAATTTATTAATGTTTTACTATATGATTATTCAATATATTGTGCTTTTACCATATCCTACTTAAACTTAACTAGTTTAGATTGTAGATCTTTGAATTCCTGATTAACTTAATCTTTAATTAGATTACTCTTATGATCTTAAGGTTTCAAGTTCAGCTGACATAAGGACAATCAAACATAATTAATCTTCAATGATTTTCTTTAATCTCCAAGATTCATCATCACCATTGATATTTAAATTTCGTTGTGATCCTTTTGATGATTTTAATTATTATTAATCAAAATTCATCTATTTATCCTCATATCCATATGTATTTTATTAAGAAATTAATTATTAAGACATTACTTATATTCCTGAAGAAGATACATTTTTCTATCTTGATAATTCCATTGATAATAAAGCTATTTTATTTTCATAATCTGTTATTTATCTTCTTAATTTTTCTAATTCATCAGTATTCATAGCCTTTCTTCTTGCTTCATCCAATTAGAATCGAAGCTAAATATAAAAGAATTATTTACATCATTAATTTAAGCTTACAAATCTGATATAGATTTCTTTAAATATGATATCTCTCCTTCAGCATTTCTTAAATCAACTAATACTTATTCATATTCTTAAACTGTATTTTTTAAGGCTTCATTAATTCTTTCATTTTCAGCTGCAATCAAAAGATAAGCTAATAAAACATCTTAATATTGACTCAACAATACTGTACTTTAAGATTCATCACCTTATCCAAGACCACCTTTAGTTCCAAAACTACTTGATTATCCTGTTCCTCCTTATAATTAATTATTAAAGGATTTGTTGATAACATCAGAACCACCTTATCCTGGTTATCCTGGTTATCCTGATTAACCTCCTCTTCCACCACCAACGACAACACTTGAACCAGGTAATTTTTTAATTTTAATTTCTTATTCTTTAATAGCCTTTTCTTTTTGATTCAATAGATCTTCTAATTCTTTAATTCTTGAAATTTTATTAGATATAGTTTTAGTTTATGAATCAATTTAATCATCTTATTCTGAAATCTTTCTTTTTAATTTTGCTATTTCATCATTTAATTCTTCAATTTATTCTTTTAGTGAATCAATTTCATTTTTTAATTCATCTATTTCTTATTCATATTTCTCCTTTTCATCATCATTTTAATTTGCTATTGAATTTAATTATTGTAATTATGCTTAAGAATTTCTTAATTAATCTTATAATTAATTAAGTTAATTTTGCATTTATTGTAATTGTTACAATAATTATTATTTTTCTCTCTCTAAATTTGCAATCTAATCTTTTAATCTTTATAATTCAGCTTTCAATTATTATATTTCTCTATTTAATGTATCAATTAATCTAGTCTTATCTTCTAATTATTGGTTCTTATCTCTTAATTATCTTTATAGATTATCTAATTCTTATTCTAATTTATTCACTTTTATTTATAATTCTTAATATTATTAAGCATATCTTTCTAATTCCTAAATTCTTTGATCTTTAACTTAATTATCTTAAGTAAGTTAAGTAACTTATTAACCTAATTTATTGCATTCAGCATTTTTATCATTCAATAATTTCTTTAATTATTCAATCTCTTTCAAAGCATCAGTAAGTTTCTTTTTAAGATCTTCTTAATCTTTTTATTATTTTCTTAATTTATCAACCTCTTTATTAGGATCATCTCCCAATTTCTTTTTCATATCATCTAATTCTTTTGATTTCTTTCTTAATGTATCTAATTCTTTCTATAAATCACTCAATTTAGCTTAAAGTTCTTTAACCAATTTCCTTAACTTTTCTAATTCATCAAGATCACTTAAAACATCTTCAAGATCTCTTCCATTTAATAATTCTAAATGATGATCATATTTTTCTGCTTTCTCTCTAAGTTAATCCAATAAATCTGATAAATCCTCCATTGATTGTCCATCTTTAGCTAAACTATCCAATAACTCTGCTTTTTATTTTAATGCTTCAATATCAAAATCTAAAATAAGAGATCATACTATTTAATTTACCACCATCTCCTCCTGTAATGTCCTCTAGTTTATTGGATACTATCAAGATTTCTTATTAAAAGTCTTAAACTTATCCCTCAAGTTATTGAGTTCTTAAATTAGCTTAATTTAGTTGGACTTTCAATTTGTCATTATCCCGTTTTAGCATATCATTTTCAGCCATTAATTATTGTAATCTATTCATCAAGTCTCCAATTTGTTTTTCATAATTTAATCGATCAACTCTAAGATTTGATATTTCCTTGACTTCCTCTTTAAGCAAATTGTTCTCTTGTACCAATCTATCTAATTCAACTGCCATAGCAAAACATACAACATCCATGTTTTTAGAAAGATCCTTTCTATGTTCAGAATACACTGAATTCCTATTATATAACAAAATTAATACATGTATCTAACTCGATCGTCTTACATTAGAAAATAAAATTTATATTTCTTGTAAAAAAAATCAAATATATGAAATCTAAAATAATTTAATATACAATCTATTTTAGATCAAATATAATAGGATTAACACATAAAGTGTACATAACAAAAACTACAAAAGAGATTATAACAGAGAAATAAATAATTAAAAAATATTCTATAAAATTTAAAATTAAATCGTTATGGAACTCTTATGTTCAATTTGTGGATAAGATTTAGACATTTGTATAAGATGGCCTCGTTTGATTCCAAATACAGGAGATACAATTTGTTAATTATGTGTATAACAAATAGTAGACTAGTCCATTGAGGCTGATAAGATTATACATTTATAAAATGATTTAACTCAAGTAGTGTTTCTATTTTTAAATTAGTTGTAACAAATAAAATAAAATTAATTGAAACTTGATGACTTTCCTCTTAATTAGAGTCTATTGAGAATTCTTTAATTATAAAAATAAAAGAATCTTCGTCCAATTAATTTAGAATCAAAAATTAATAATTAAACTTTTGAAGAATGGCAATCAGATGAAACAAGTATTGATAGTAATTTTTTGGATGAATTGGCTACTTCTGTTAAAAAACCTTAAAAATTGAATTTAAAACGATTTAGAGATTAAGAAGATAGTTTTGGTTCTCTAAATTATTCATCTTATAGTTCTGGTAAATTGTGTTAAACTCATCGCAGACAACTTGAAGTAGTATGTCTGTAATGTTAAACAATGATTTGTACAAATTGTGCTTTATTTGGAAGTCATAAAGGACATTATATTTATAGTGAAGAGGATATTATTTCACTTTTAGAGATGAAAGCATAAGAACTTACAGAAATGGTTGAAAGAATTCATAAAGAATCCTAATCTATTTCAAGAAATAAACATGAATAGGATTTCTAAGCTTAAGTTTAAGAAATGTAACGAATTGCTATTGATAAATTAAAAAAGGAATTTGATGAATTGAGAGATAAAATTGATTAAAAAGAAAAAATTGTAAGTATATATTATTCTAATGTTAGTTAGTATCTCAAATCATGATTGTTACATAAAATAATATTAATAAATTTAGTGATTGGTGGAATAATACTATTCATTTAGAAAAGGAATGTCAATCTTGGATTAAATAAGCATAAAGTGCATTTGAATAATTTACAGAATAAGTTAAATATTGGGAATTACTTAATCTTACTGATAGTTTAAGAACTAATGGACTTCAACTCTAATAGTAAGAGTATTTATTAATTAAATAAGAGAAATAAAGAAAAATTAATAATAGATAATAGCTAAAAGAGATTAACTAATTGGTTTAGATATTAATGTTAAATTTAATTGGAATGCATTAAAATTTGAAGATTTTTGTAAAATAATTGAAGGTTCTGAATTAATGATTACTAATAATAATAATAATAATAATAATAATAATAATAATAATAATAATAATAATAATAATTAATCTCAATAATCACCTTATTTATTGAATTCTTTTACTATGTAATAATCAATAGAAGAAACTGATTTATTAAATGATGTAAGTGCCACATTTGCAAATGAAGCAGAACCACCTATTAATTAAATCAAAAGAGTTTATAGGAGTGCTACTCCTACTAATTAAATAAATACTGAAAATTGTGATCCCTCTTTATCACCAATAGTAAATAAATAATTAAATTTGTTAGGAGAGTAATAGAGCTTCAATTTGTAGGAAGAAATCATAAGTTCCAATGAAATTATAATTGTATATGGATGAATTAAGAAAGGGGAAAATAGATGTGGCAGAATTCAATAATTTAGAAAAAGATATGTTAATAATTGTAGGAAATGAAATTAAAAATTGGAAGGTTAAAAGTGTAAAAATAATGAAATCAAAATTATTAGATGATCAACTCTTATAATTATTTAAGGGTATATTATTTATATATTTAAATTTAGCATTATCATAAAATGATAATATTTAAAGTGTGAATTTATCATAGAATTCTTTAACTGATAAAGGAATTGAAACATTATTTTAGTTATATTAAAATGGATTGATTGGCATTCATCTTAAAAATATTATAGTATCATAAAATAAGATAAATGCTAGAAATGTAAAATAGAAAATAGCTGATTTTAAAAAATTGGGTTTGATTATAACATTATGATAATTAACAAAAAATACTATATCATAAATCATACTATTAAAAATGTCTTCTTTTCTTTTATTTACGTTCTTCTTCATCTACTTCATACAATTAAATTTCTTTCTTTAAATTTAATTAACTGTATAATTCTTTTGTTGAATCATTAAAAGATTCCATTTCTTATTATAATGAAGAACCATCAAATTTACTCTTTTATAATTTAGCATGAGCTGTAGAAACTCTTTTTAAAGTTTAAGCAGTCATTTATCTTTCAAATCTAGATTATTCAACATCTTTTTTCTGATTTAATATGGTCATCCATTCAGCAGGTAAAGGTTCACAAGTACAATAATCAGGATTTGGTAATGAAATTCCAAAATGATCTTGTAATTTAATTCTTGTAACATTAATTGGTCCAGAATCCACAAGTCCTAATGTTAACTATATTATTGAACATTAATTACATTTAATGACCAACTTAAAATTGGATAACAATCTTTTACACTAAATACTTTAAGAAATTCTCTTCTTATGACTCGTTCAGATAATAAATCTTAAAGTTCTAATTCTAAAGTACCAATTCTTGTGTTGTCTTAGTATAAATACATAGGCAGTACTTTTAATTGATTTACATAATCCACCCAACCTTTGCGTTGATCACTAAAGAAATAATATAGTCGCATACGATTTAATGTTAAGAAATACCCTTTATCAAATAATTAACCTTATATTAAATCTAATTTGATTTTGAATTTCTAATCAAATATATTACATTCAATATAATAATGTTTAGATAAATCAACATTTTAAGGAACATCTCTTATGGAATGAATTAAAATCATAAATCTAAATCTATTCAAATTTTTGATGACTGTATTATGAATCATAGGAATAGATTAATTATTAAGTATTAATTATTTTGTAGCAGATATATTAAATATTTATTTAGAATCCTCTAATCCAGTCTTAACAGTTTCATTATTTATTTGATTTGCTTTAAGTGTTAACATTTAATTCATAGTATCATAATCACTAGGTAATCCTAATAATTTATTAAATTGTAGTTATAATTCAATTAGTTATTCTGTTTCTTTATATAAAGTGTAACATTATTTACAAACTTTATGTTCATGATAAAGATTGCTAACTTCTAGATTAGTTACATCAGATCTGTCAATCCAATTAAATGTTTTACCTCTCCAATATAAATGTTTATCTGTTTAAATGATCATTTTTAAAGTCATCTTATATTATAAATGTTATTCTGGATAAGATTACTCACAATATTTACAAATCTTTTATTTTTAACACATATCTGCAACTTTAGCTTTAGGAGTTGATATACGTTCTTAAATTATAGGTTATCCTTCTTCATTTATTTCTTCTCCATAATGAGTAATAGATTTCCACATAATCTTTTCTGGACTTTTATCTATAATGAATCCTTTTACATTTATAAACCACCAAATTCCACTTTCATCTTTTATAAAATCAGCTGAAAATTCTTTAAATGTTATATGTAAATGAATATATATGTAATTAAGAAGATTTTTAACATATGGTACAGTTTCATCAACATATTTACCACGACAAGTATTTACAATAGTACATGAATTTTATAGATTAACATTAGTAGCATATTTTGTCATTTCAGTTTTTGGATTATTTGATTATGAAAAGAAATCTTCTTTATTTGTTATGATATAACAATATGGATTTTTATCTTTTCTCCAAATAGTACGACATATAAATGCTTTAGGTCCATTACTTTTTACAAATTTCTGAATTACACAAAGATCCATACGATTAGAAAAGTTTACATTAATTTATGATTATAAATCTCTACAACAAACCAACTTTATTTCATTACCTACTAATTCCATGTTGCGAAATTATTATTTTTTAACAACTGCTACAAGTTCATCAGGTGATGTATAATTGGCTAATTTACTTATTACATTTTTAGATGTAAATGTATCTGTTCTAAATACATAACCTCTTGAATCTGAATATAACCAATAATTTGGTATTTCTCTATCATTCAGCACAATTGTATCTGGTACCCATAATTATAATCTATTGACTATTGATTAATTGGATTATTCACTATCTGGTCGACGAGCCAGAAATTTATAAAAATGAATAAATCTCTGAAAATCAACTGAATATTGACGTTCTTTTCCATCTTCATCATAAATCAAATTGACTTATGCTAACAATTATTCATATTTTCTTTTAACATCTTATTATCTTTATCGTTGTAATACATATGGATCTTGTAGATTCTATAACTGTTTTATCATTTCATCTCTATTTTACATTATATTAATTTTATAAAGTAAAATAAATAATTCATTGATCATCAAAATTATAATTATAATTGTACAATAATTCAAGATGTTGTTAACAATTATCTAAAAATATATAAATTAAATCATGATTATTCCATTAAAAGTTTATCTTCTGATAAATCAACAAAACTTGATTCTTTGTTCAAAACTGTTAATGATAATGAATTAAATTGACCTTTAATATTTACATTATATATGTACCTAATTATTAATTATCTTTCTTTTCTTTTCTATTCTTTTATATTGTTTTTAAATCACTAAGAAATACATTCAAAATATTATCAATATAAACAACTTCTTAATCCTATTATTCACCTTCCAATTATTCCAATTAACTTGATATATTTGTAACATCATGCAAATGCAACATTTAACGTAAATACTTATTTTCTGTTGAGAGACTAGCTATTATACCCTATTGACTAAAATGTTAATAGAATGATACTACCTCCGAATCATCATTCTATTTTAATTAATCTTATTAAACTAATTCAATAATCTTTAACATCTTTGTTTTTAATATCCTATTTCTCTCTTATAATTATTCATTACGTTTCTATATAAAATTATATATATATATATATATACCTTTTCTTTTAACCATTCCTCTTTGTAAAATCTTGTCTTTTGTACTTCTTTATCCTTTGTTATTAATTCTTATTTTAATTATCTGTATTTTTTCATCACTTCCTCTAATACCCTTGAGTAATCATTAGCAGCAGAATCATTAATTGGTTCTCTCCTTTCCTTATAAGTTGATAGATTCTCATTACGACTTCTGTTGTTACTCAATTGATTTTATCTTTTGTTTTACTCTTAATGTAAACTAATTTAAGGAGTACGAAAAAGAGTAGGTGAGCATGAATTATCATCTAAAGTATAATTAGAAATTAATACTTTCAATCTTTCCCTTTCTTTAATTAGGAGTTTATTCTCTTCTTTGATTAGGAGATGTGATCTAATTGAAATTATGTTACTACAAAAGAGGAGGCTCTTTCTTAATTTGAAATTGTAAAGTTTTCTTATTATTTATTGAACTAATACTTTAAATTCATCTTGTTTCTATTTAATTTGCTATACAAATAATTTGTTTTCTTAAATTGTATTCATTTTTTTTTGAATTTAAATTATTTTATTAATACTTTAAATATATATAGTATTAACTTTAATTTAGAATATATCTAAATAAATAAAATAAATAGAAGAGAATACTAACAATTATTATATATATTACATAATAATTGTTATTATTCTCTATTTTAATATATAATTGAATAACATTAATATATATTTATTGATAATATACATAATAATAAGATTTGGTTATTTTTGTTATAACAATTACATAATAATGATGATTATATAAAAATTAAATTATCTGAAATGCAACGAGTAGCCCCCAACACGGTGAAAGAAGCCATGGCAAGGGTAGTGATTCCAAAATAAACATCTCAGCCAAACATTTATCCAGAACACAATAACTTCTTCCACATCCCTCCAAAGTTTCAGCAATAGCGTTTGACCATTAAATAAGCCGTGCCAACTTCCAAATCTATTGAAGAGAAACGATATAAGCAATACAAAAATAATATCTCGGAAAATAATAACAATCGTACAAACAGCAGTTCTAAAAGTCGTGTCTCTGCTTTCGCCCCCATGTAAGTTGAAGATGACTCATTGTATGGATCTTAAAATGGACTCAAATTACGCAAATTAATTGGTGATAGTCACATCTTATCTTCAAATATTCTTTAATAACTGTATGTGTACACTTTATTATATAGATCCAAATAGAATCTAACTAGCAACCTCACGAGTGATTCTTAGAGTCCAGGTCAAAGAAAACCAGTAAAAAAGAATTAAGAACTTTGGAATCTTAACACTTAGATTTAAGCCTCTTTAATAAATAAAAAATAGTTCTCAAGATGGGAATTTCATAAAGAGCATTTATTAAAATAGCAAAAGAATATGCAATAATATAAGCAATAATTTGTTTCATTAAGTGATTTAAATGATGTCTAATAATCAATAATCAATAATTTATTTGAACTTTTAAATAGTATGTGTATACAAGTCTTATGTGAATAAGAGGAGAAGTTTTATGAGATGATTGATTAAATACGTAGAGAAAAGGATTTATGGTAAAATAATTATAAGTAAATTGAATAAGAAAGAGACATCTTATTAGAAACTGTTAAATAACTTAAAACACCAAAATAGATATAAAATAACAAAAATTCATAAAGTAACAATATAGATAGTATGGATACAATATAGTTAAAAGAAATGCAAGATATTATGTAATAAAAGATTCAAGAAATGAGTGAAAAAGAAGCAAAATTAATTAAATTGGTTTTAGCAATTAAGAAAAGTGGTGTTGATATTGAAAAAATATATAATGAAGAAGTATTAAATGATGATAGTGTTGCTGAATAAACAGAGAAATCTATTATTTAAAAACATTAACATTATGAAAGGAGTGTTCATGATGCAGATAATTCTGTTGTTAATGATTCTGATGAATCTAGTTTTTGTTTTCTAAATAGATTTGATAATGAATCAATTGTTGAAAGTGTTAGAAAATTTGAATATAAAAATACCAATATTCTCGATACTAAATCTAATGTGAAATTGAAATTTGATTTATCTAATATCTAAAAGAAAAATACATCTACTCAAGTAAATTAGAAATAATAGAATCAAAAATAAACTATTTAATAAAATTAATAGAAATAAATGTAAAAACTTAAGCTACCAGAACATTCAGATAATGTTGGTTTTCATTAAGAATTTATGTAAAAATTAAATGAATTCTCTGAAAGTTGGAGAATATAAGCATTAAAAGATGAAAAAAGAACTAAATCTTGAACAATTATATAAATATATTTTATCTATCATCTTTTTAATTGAATATCCTTTATTTAATGATAAATCTTTATTAAAAGATCTAAATTTTGATTTCTAAAAGAAGTAACATCTCTTTCACATTTACTACATTTATTATTATGACATCTTTAACAAACACTATGATTACAAGGAATATAAGTGAAAGGATTTGTAAATATATCTTTGCATTTTGTACATCTAAGACTCATTTAGAGATCATTTTCAATTTATTATAGTTTCTAATATATCTTTATTGTACAATCACCTTCCTGAGTCTTCATTACAATTTAATTCATTTTATTCTATTCNATGTGAATAAGAGGAGAAGTTTTATGAGATGATTGATTAAATACGTAGAGAAAAGGATTTATGGTAAAATAATTATAAGTAAATTGAATAAGAAAGAGACATCTTATTAGAAACTGTTAAATAACTTAAAACACCAAAATAGATATAAAATAACAAAAATTCATAAAGTAACAATATAGATAGTATGGATACAATATAGTTAAAAGAAATGCAAGATATTATGTAATAAAAGATTCAAGAAATGAGTGAAAAAGAAGCAAAATTAATTAAATTGGTTTTAGCAATTAAGAAAAGTGGTGTTGATATTGAAAAAATATATAATGAAGAAGTATTAAATGATGATAGTGTTGCTGAATAAACAGAGAAATCTATTATTTAAAAACATTAACATTATGAAAGGAGTGTTCATGATGCAGATAATTCTGTTGTTAATGATTCTGATGAATCTAGTTTTTGTTTTCTAAATAGATTTGATAATGAATCAATTGTTGAAAGTGTTAGAAAATTTGAATATAAAAATACCAATATTCTCGATACTAAATCTAATGTGAAATTGAAATTTGATTTATCTAATATCTAAAAGAAAAATACATCTACTCAAGTAAATTAGAAATAATAGAATCAAAAATAAACTATTTAATAAAATTAATAGAAATAAATGTAAAAACTTAAGCTACCAGAACATTCAGATAATGTTGGTTTTCATTAAGAATTTATGTAAAAATTAAATGAATTCTCTGAAAGTTGGAGAATATAAGCATTAAAAGATGAAAAAAGAACTAAATCTTGAACAATTATATAAATATATTTTATCTATCATCTTTTTAATTGAATATCCTTTATTTAATGATAAATCTTTATTAAAAGATCTAAATTTTGATTTCTAAAAGAAGTAACATCTCTTTCACATTTACTACATTTATTATTATGACATCTTTAACAAACACTATGATTACAAGGAATATAAGTGAAAGGATTTGTAAATATATCTTTGCATTTTGTACATCTAAGACTCATTTAGAGATCATTTTCAATTTATTATAGTTTCTAATATATCTTTATTGTACAATCACCTTCCTGAGTCTTCATTACAATTTAATTCATTTTATTCTATTCTATTGTGCAATCAATTGATTTTTTAAGATTTAAGATGTTATCAGGTAATTTATATTGATTTGAAGTATCCTTTAATAAATTAATTTCTATTTGTAATTTATGAATCTTATCATTACAATTTATATGTTAAGATTTAAATTACTCATATTATTATTTCTACTTTTCATATAATTCTTTATATTATTAAACTTAATATAGTTAATTTTCATAATCCTTATGAAAATCGATTATAATTTATTCATATTATTTCACTAAAGTAGATTATGTCATATTTTCAATTTAATTTTATTGAGTTTCTTACTCAATTATCAATTCAACTTAAATTTCTTTATTAAAAGTAATAATTGAATCAGTTTATTATATTTATGAATTTTGTTACTTTATAATTTATGGATTTAAAGTTGATAACAATTCTTCAATTTTTTATTCATATTATTTTTTGATCTATTTTTCCTGTTTTATTAATTGTTCAATTTAAGTCTACAATAAATCAAGTACCTTTGTACTTTATATCTAAGACAAAGTGTGCATTACTAATTTTATATTTTCATGACAAATGATTTGTTCTATTAAACAAATTCAATTTGTTTTTGTAATTGAACAACTTATTATTTCAATCGAGTGACTTCATCTACTCTTTTTGCATTTTCATCAGGTGTTTAAGCAATTTATTTGAATTTTTGTAATTAAGGTAAAGATTATTGATTCATTAATAATAATTATTAAAATGCTTAAATAGAGTAGATCAAAAGAACAATCTCTTGGTAAATTGGTATTTTTATATACATAATATTCAGATGAAGATATATGTTGCATAAATGCTACTCAATTCAGGTGTTAGTAGTTGTCAAGAATAAGGAATCAATCTTCTGGCTGAATTTTTGATAAAGGGTAATATTAATTAACTATAAAAAAGTGATACGTAAAGTGGGTTCCAATTCTAGAAGATTGTATGAATTACAAGGTAGATAAGAAGGAGATATTTTTCATGTATTAATGGCACTTGATTAATTGAGTGTAACATGTACATCTTTGTTACAGCATTTCAAAAAGAATAACAATAATAGTGATTTATCACTTAATAGATTACTTACTTAAGTTATGGAGTCAATATACAAAGAGAAATATAATTCATAAGAAATTGATGAACAAAATAATTTAAGGCAAAGATGTTAATTATCAATTTAATCATTGAATCAACCTTCAACTAATACATGTTCCTTAAATACATTATTATATGCTCCAGTTATTTTTAAGAATGAAAAAGTATAGAAATAAAGGAAGGAGTTGACTGAGAAATAATTGAAAGAGGAAAAGAGAAAATATTAATATCAATTAGATGAAGATTAATTTTCAAAATTATTGGGAAAAAATAAATAAAAAGAGCGCAAATAAGAACTTGACTTAAATCCATATAATGCTCCTCTCAAACGCAAATAAGCTATAAAAGCATTAGATTAAATGTTATGAATATGTCTAAATAAAAATCACTCAATCAAAATATATTTAAATTTCATAGATTTTAAATATTATCTTTAATTCTTAATGAATATTTCCATCTAATATTAACCTTCCATATATATTTTGATGTTTTCTATAAAATTCAAATGAACAGAACCCAACTTAATTAAAATATACAATCATTTATAATATTCTTTAAAAATTCTCATTTTTTTATATTATTCATTCTTCATTTCAATATATTTTTCTCTTTCATACAGTATCTATTATCTTCTTTAAAATCCAAATTATTTATAGCAGAATAGATCAACATATTATTCTTTTTTGGCTTATATTATATAAAATCAATTATAAACTATAAATAATTTGAGTGAATTAAGAGCTGTCATTTTATGATCTAAACCATATGTAATAATATAAAAATAATCTAATTTATAGAGAATGCTAAAGCTTAAAAAATAGAATTTATTTTTTTTCACACTTATTTTCATTAAAATAAAATGAATTATAATTCTCCAGAATGTAAATATTGGTATTGAGTATTTTAGGTTTTTTCTAAAATTTATTGCCAATAATTAATGAGCATATCAAATGTGATGTTGAATTGACAAAATTGAATCAATAGATAGATAGAAATACTTCATTTAAGAATTTATAAAATGGTTTTTATAGGGGAGAAAGTGATGGTATTTTCCGTAAAGGTAAAGGAGAATGGATATCTAAAGATGGTACCATATATAGGATAGGAGTTTGGTAAAACAATTCCTTACAAGGGAAAGGTTTATCACTATACTATTTGAATAATATATAAACATCTTAAACTTATTATGAATGCTATTATGGTTATTTTGATAAAGGTAAGCCCCATGGTTATGGAAAATTGAAAAAAATAAATAATTAATCATATGAAGGATATTGGGAAAATGGATAGATGAATGGATTAGGTACAATATATATTGAAAATTCTTATTATTGCAAAGGTTAATTTAAAGACAATATTTTATGTGGAAATGGAGAAATAGAATCATAAGATGAAACAAATAAATGGAAAATGGTTGGCAATTTTATAGATAAAGATAGTTTTAAAGGGGAAATCACATTTAAAGAAGGAAAATATTTTGGATAAGCTATTTATCATGAAAATTAATGGAAAATGCATGGAAAAGGAAAATTTATTTGGGAGGATTAATCCTATTACAATGGAAGTTTTAGCTATAATAAAAGAAATGGATATGCAGTGAGTAAATTTGGGAATGAAAATCAAGAAGTTATGATCTGGAAAGATGACAGGAAAGAAGTAAATGTAGAACACAATTGATTATTCTAAAAACATATTTTATATTTACAGCAGCATCCTCATTTCAAAATTAATATCATTATTAAAAATAAAATAACATATTAAATAACATAATTTAGTAATCTCAAAGATCATAGAGACTTAATAAAAGAGTATGTCAACTATTATAAAATTTAATTTAATTTTTCAATATAAATTTGCTTACTCTTTCTTAGTATTTCATCCAATTTTTAATAGTTAAGTATGGTTATTAAATAAGATTTCTAGAATGAAATCCTATTTTATTCTTTCATTTTATAAATCTATATAATGTCTTAAATTTCCTTAATATTAATGAATATATAAGTGTTTTGACAATTATAATCTATTATTTATAATAATAAAAAATAAATGGAAACTTTTCATAATGAATAATTCCTTACTTATGCTTAAAAGGGTTCTTTAGAAGAGATAAAAAGAGCCATAGTTTAAGGGAATGTTGATATCAATTATCAAGATAAAGAAGGTATTTAGTTAAATTAGATTTTAAGGAAATACTGCTATGTTCTTGGCTATTATGCACAATCATTTGGAAATTGTTAGATTTCTAATTTAGAATGATGCATCTTTGGAAGTGTATAATGCATAAGGATCAGGACCATTACATTTGGCAGCTGAGAAAATGAATAAAGAAATTGTTTTATTACTTGTTATTAATTAAGCTGATCCAAATTTAAAGAACCAATCAGGATAAAGGTAATTTAATAATAATATAAATAATTTAGACCTGGAGATGGAATCACAGAAATCAGAACACTTATTAATAATTTAACAGCAGAAAGTAAAGCCTTTAATGTTTTAAAATAATCTTAAAAATAAAAACTATAAGCAATTTTTGAGGATATTGATTATGATAATTCTAAATACATAGATCATGCTAAGGCAGTGAAATTTAATAAATATATTGAAGATACTATTACTGATAATTAAGCTGAAAAAGATGCTAAGGATTTCATTAAATCAGTTGCATTATGCAATCCTGAAAGAGGAGTACATTAACATATGTAATAATCTTTATTTAGGTCAATATTGATGAATGGCTTTATAGTTTTTCTAAACTTTTAGTTGTAGATCCAGCTGCCTTTGATAAGTTTATTGAAGATTATGATAAATAAGTTGAGAAGAAATAAAAATTAAGACACTAAATGCAAGATTGAATTTTAATATCCCAAAATTATATATATCTATATATAAATTATTCAATTCTATAAGGTATTGTGTTATCTTAAATAATTATTTAATAATAATTACTTAGCTTTTAATTTTTATATCTATTATGCTAATTTAAATGAAAAGAAATATCTAGATAATCTTTTTAATTGTTTATTTCTATTAAATTAATTGAATCTAAATTAAATTAAAATATAATATTTACTTATAAATAACAACATCATAATTATTATAAGGCAGATAGATTTCAAATAAGTATAGCTTTTCAAAATCATTGTCTCCTAGACTAAATCCAATTGGATTCTATATTATTATAAGTTATTTTAAATATACATCGAATCCACTGAATGGTTAAAATTGTGAATGAGCTATCGAGATCTTAGTTCCTGTTTTAGTTGATTTTTTTCTATTGGTTCCTCTTTTACTTTAGATTTCTGGACTGTCAGTATATTATCTAATAACTCCTGATATTGATCTAAAATATTTGAATAATTAATAGAAACCTTCTATGAAGACCTGAGGCTGATTAGGTATTATCATTTTATTTCATTTAAGATCTATATGAATTGGCTGTAATATTATTAGATGTTATAGGACTATAAGTTTAAGATCTTGAAGAATTCTATCGAATAGAAGGTTGTCGATTTTCTTATCTCACCATTGAATGATTAGATTCAGTTGCATTTCTTTAATATTGTTAATACTTGTTCTATAAATCATTCATTTGATTATCAAAATTATAATTGAATGTTAATTTTGGATCTTTATTTCTTTATAATTAATTAGTTAAATCCAAAGCATTTTCTAAAGATGGAGAATTTTCTGAACTTTCATTTTCTACAATAATATTTAATGATTTTTAATCTTTAATTGATTATTATCCTGCATTTCCAAATCCAGCAGTTGCAAAAGTATTTTTCTATTAATCCTTCCTTACTAGACTGATAAATTTTTCATCATCCATTTCTCCTTAATGTTATATATATTATTTATCAGTTGTATCTAAATAACTACTATAAAAATGATAATTGATATATTTTACACATCATTCATTATAGATTATTATTAATCATGTATTGATTTCTCTTTCAATAATGATGTACTTTTCAATAATGATTTTTCTCTACTTACTCTACTAAAACTTTAAGCAGATGCATAACTATCTTTAATATAAACATCATCATATGGTAGATTAGATTGACTAAATTAATTTGAGGATTGAAAATGATTATCAGAAAATAATTATAACAAATAATCTTGATTTGCTTCAGCATCTTTAACAAATTCATATGCTTTTGTATCCTTTCCCATTCTTCTTTTATCTTAATAATTTTTAGTATATTCATACATTCTTATCTCATATTTCTTCTAGGATATATTAAAGATTTTATAACTTTTTCTCTGTCTGGTCTAAAAGTTAACATAGGACATTTAGTAATTAAATGATCATAAGAAGAACAACAAAAACATTAACATGGTAAATCTTTATGTATAAGAATTCTGTCTTTCATACTATAGAAATATTACTATAAATTATAATAAATCTATTAATTACTTTATCACTAAATGTTAATAATTTTAGAAAGACATCTCTTCTTATTCTCAACAACCTACAGACTCCTTCACTTACAACGGTAGCAGATCTAGGCAATTGAGTATAAAATGAGATTTCACCAAACGTTTATTCTGGCTGATAAAATTATTTACTATATTACTCCCAAAATTTAGAGTTAGACTCCCATCTTGTTGACAATTTTAAAATTGCCTTCGACTATAAAGTACAACGAACAATCATCATATTCTGATTCTGTTACTATAATTTAATTAGGTTGACATATAAAATCTTCACTAAAATTAATTAAAGTTTATATAGTATGTTGATTATAATATTTAAAATATTTAGTAAGTAATTAAAATCTTTAAATTGTATTAAATTCTTATAATAATTAACCTGATAATTTGGATACAAATTAATTATGATAAAATTTAGGTTGATTTAATATGTGATTAATGATTTTGCATTTCAAATTTGAATCTAATTTATTAATAGCCAAAAATTCACTAAGTTAAGTAGCAAATCTTGCATTTTTAAATAGATATAAACATTAAGTTAATAAAAATGCAAAACTAAGGATTGAACTAAATGCAACACAACTGTAAAATATCATTTCATTCTAATCAATAGGTGTGTAATTTGAATTAAATGTATAAATAGAAATCACTATACTAAAAGTAGACATATATGAATCAAATAATATATTACTATGATAAAATAATCCATATTAATAACAAGTTATGATATGAATAAGTAAGATTATCTTAATAAGACTATTAATAATCTATAAATGAGGAGAGAATAAATTATATTCACTAAATAATATATTATTTACTTACAATTTTAAAAATATTTCTATCTCATAATACCTTCTAATTTAACTTACAAGTATTAATGTAAGTACATAGAATTTAATTGTTTATGGCAATGTATTCAAAAATATAAATCCTATTATTGTAAACTATTATATATATATAAATATATACTGCATCATAACACAAAAACTATTTATAGTATCTAAGCGATATTTATTTGAAATTTGTTATCAATAAACCATTCTAAGTGAACGAACTACATAATTATATTCCAACATCTATTAATTTGAATCCCACACAGATATAATTAATATCCTACATTTCCAAAGCTGTTGACAAAGGAATAAAAACCAGTATCACATGCAATAAAATAAAGAACGTAACATTCCAACATTACAATATTCTAGAAGATGGCAATAAGGTCCCTCTTTATATTATATTATCATTACAACTATAATCTATGAAATTGTTTTCTTAATCATATAAGTATTAAAATTTCTTAGCCATATTATCTATTCTAAACTTTCTTCTTAATCTCTCTACAAAGTTAAATATTTATCTGCTCTTAGTTCTTCTACGTATATTCTCTTATTATTTAGGTGGAAAACTTAAAACAAATGGACTCTCCTCTGGTTCACTTTTATAAGTCTTTGATCTAAAACTTAGTTATGGAGAGTTATTTTGAAAAAATGATTAAGAAATCCTTGATTTATCAACTGTTTTTAATGTTGGATCTTTAATTGAAATATCATCTTCAGGTTATATTGGATGTGCAATATTTTAAAGAGGTTCATATTTGAATGGACCTTAAGTAACATTTAATTTTTAAGTACCTCTCATATCATTTTAATAGAATTTGCTAAGCTTGTCAGGTTCAGTTTTGTTTTTCCTTGCACTATTTTGTGAATGTCTTAATGATCTAACACTCATATTTTAATTATTCTAAATATTGTTAAAATAGACAATAAAAATTTTGAAAAAAAACTTAAATGTTCCAAATAATATACATATTTTACTTTATTCATATCATTATAATTCAATTTAATCTGTAAGTATAAATACAATTATATTACAAATACTATTCTAATTAAATCATTTAAAAATTATATATCTATTTCACAAGTTCTAATCCTAAATTTCTTAATAAAAATACTATACTTGATAAATTTTAACATATATATTGATATTTTTAGAACATTCTCAATTAAACTTATAATCAAAATTAAATTCTTTTTTACAATTAATTACTTATCTAATTTGATGTTATTATAGATTTTAATAACAATAAAAATATAGAAAGTTAACATTAAACTAATTCCAATATTGTATATTTAAGTATTTCATAATTAATTTGAAATTTTATTACTAAGCTCAAGAATATTTTCTAAAAAATTTTAATTATAACAAAGCAATAGAAAAAGCCCATCTTAACTTAAAAAAACTTAAAATTCATTAAATTCTATCTATTTTTATTGAAATTAATTTATCATTCTATTTTACTTAAGAAGATAGTAAATTTTTTAATGTAATTCACAATATTAATAATCATAATATATATTTTACAATAATTATGAATAATATAATTATTTATATATATTTCGGGATTGTTAATTAGATATTGAGAATGTTAAAAAATAAGTTAATAAAAAGATTAATCATTTTTTTTAGGATACTTTCTTCATTTTTAAGTTTAGCTAATGCAATTTCATTTTCATTTCTATTTCTTTATTAATAAATCCTTTAACATAAATTGATTCATTTAATTTACCAGGCAAAAGTAGATTCTATTTGACATGATTCTTATATACTGAAGATCCTAATATTGCAATTATGCTATTTTTACCTCTACTAGTATTTATTATAAAAGATCTATCTGAATCAATAGGAATTTATTTTTATTATTGTTTTTATATTTATGAAGGTAATACGGTCTACTCTTCTAAAAACTTATAACCTCCACTTCTCCAATCATATACAAATTTGGTTACACTTCTATTTGATTAAATTAGAGGAAATGCAACCATAGATTTTGAATCAATTAATTTTGAAGGAGAAGCTCTATCCAAAGCATTATACCTATGAATTTGAGGTGTTGATAAATTATCAATAATATTTTTATTTGTTTTTTTGGTTTTGAATTTTTCTCTTGATTTAGATTTAGATTATGATCTAGAATTTGATCTTAATTCCTTTTTTGGAGTTTATAATTAAGGAGTCTATAATAATTATCTTGAAGAGCTTTATCTGTACAAGTAGGGTTCTTGGTTATTTTATTTATCTAATGAATTATTAAAATAAGTAATACCTGAAACCTTTGGGAGGATAGGATTTAGTTTAAATTAAGATTTAGTATTAGAAATTAATTGATTGTTTCCATCACTTTTAGTATAACGTTTGGTTGAATTTAATTTTTAATTTTATGTTATTTATTTTCTTTATTCTTCTATGATTCGATCTCTTAAAGTGATTTAGTTATTTTGAAGGGAAAGTATCTTCTCTTATTCTTGTTGATGTAATTAATAGATAGACTCTTTTGATTTGATTTCTTGTAATTACAATTTAAGAATATACTTTTCAATTAGATTAGTTAGATATAGCTTATCAAAATCAACTAAATTATTTTATTTGATATTCTATAATGAATAAAGATTATACATCTTATAATGCTTTCCTTTGTATAGTAAAATCATTAATTTATTTTTGTAACTTTTTAATTTCATTTTCTTGAAGATCAACTTTTTCTTAATCATTTTCTATTTCATCTTTTAATTGATTATACTTTTTCCTATCTTATTAATCTATTTTATCTAATAATTATTATTTGTCTTTAATATCTAATTTCATTTATTCTATTTATAATTATATTTTAAATATATCTTCTTGCATTTAAGATTCTCTATTAAAATGTTAAATGATATTTTTCTCTAATTATTCCTTTTAAATAATTTCATTTTATTTCTAACTTTATTTATTTAATTATTTTTTTAATTCTTCATTTTGATTAACTAGATCATAATTAGTTTATTCCATAATTATTTATTATTCATTTTACTAAAATACTTTAATTGAAGTCTAATTTACAATAGTAGTAGCCATTTGACTATATTCTAATGTTTGTATAGTATCTTCATAACCTAATATAGCAGGACTTACACATGAAATCATTAGAGTTTTTGAATTCCCTCCTAATGATTCTTTTAATAATCTAGTTAATTTGCTATTTCTATAAGGAATGAATGTTTGAATATTCTTTTTCTTTGCTTCATGCAAAAGTTAAATGCAATTATTGAGAACCTATAAAGAAATATTTTTTTTCTTTTATCCACCTCTCTCAACCCATCCAAGATCAGCAAATATCAATTTAGATACAACAAATTATCCTTCTGGATGATCTTAAATATAAAGTGAGAATATGAGTAATTCATGTTATTTTAATGATTTTTACTTCTTAGCTATTTAAATTAATTGAATCAATTCTTATGTGCTAGCAATCTCCATTTCTTTTATTCCATGAATAACTACACCTCTCTCTTAATCATCTCTAATATCTAGATTGGTATTCATATTATTTAATAAATCATAGAGTTACTCTTGTGAGATTTCCACATATGAAAATTTAATAACAATTTATCTTTTCTTATTTTAGATGGTTTAAAAGATTTTATTAATAGAACGAATCATTAATCCATAATCTTCAGTATACTTAGCTAATCTAGTATTTTAATATATATATTATACATATGTGATTTACCAGAACCTGATGCTCCATAACTCATTATAGTAAAATTAATTCCATCAAGTACTGAAAGGACCTAATATTCAAGTGTAGTTTCAAAGATTTCCTTTTGTGATATCATTCTATCAAAAACCCAATTGAATTTATATGTTTTTTAATTTTACTTGATTCCAGCTTCTATAGGAGGGATAGTAGATATGGTTTCTTTATCCAAACATAAGAGAGTTGTAATGTCAGAAATCTCCAATTCTCTATTTGTGAAGGGTCGAATACGAATGGCAACCTGATATATATATAATTACTACATACTTTAATGTTATCAAGTAACATATTTAATTAATGATTATTAATCAACTCTTTGAGAAACTCACAGAGTCTCCAAATTTCAAGAGCATATCATTAATAATCAAGCTTTTTAGACTTGCTTCTTAAGGAGATTAAGATGAAGAATAACCAGATTAAGTTATTACAAAGTATTGTAAGGAACCTGAAGATTACTCAAAAATTATAAGATTTTCTTTATTAGAACTTCCAAATATATTGAGAGATTTTTATAAAGTTGATTATGCTGATACATTTAAGAGAGAACATATTGAGTCTCATATTCATTAAGTTATCATAAGAGGATTTCTTATAAAATCAATGAATTTTTTGGAACATACTATAGAAACATAAGAGGCATAAGAGGAAACCATTCTATTTGTTATACGAGCATTAGAACATTTAAATGTTGTATTGACAGCTTTTGATAGTTTGTAAAAGAAAGCATTGAAATTATTAATATAAATATGGGGTGATCACTTATCATTATAAATCAAATTGCAATCATTTTTGTAGATAAGAAAAGTATTTTAATCAATGGCTGATCATTAACAATAGGATATTTTGAAAGTATATAGATTTATATATATAATATAGAAATTTTATGAGAAGTATTTGGATTCAGCTAAACATGTACTTTGGAGGAATTATGAAGCAATTAATTTCATGATTAATTGTATTACTGAATTATGTAATATGAATATGAATCAAGCTTATTAAGTAGTGTATTTAAGTTTATAAAAATTGGTGAAAAAGATTAGAGATGCTAGTGTTTCTAAGAATTAATAAAATGTATAATCTATATACAATTAATAAACTTTAAATGTCCTTAAATTATGGGCATAAGTAATATGCACTCATAAAAGAGAGAATTAATTAGCTGATTTAATGCCTCCATTTATTCAAATAGCTTAATCTATCTTAGATTTTTATCCTTGTATAGACAATTACACTTTCTAATTATAATTGATTGATATACTAATTAAAGTGTCTTAGATTTATAAGGTCAATTAAAATCTGTTGAATTATACACTTAGAATGTTGAATTGTGCAGAATTAAAGAGAAGAAAATTGAAGAGCAGTGTTAAGCCTTATGATTTTTAGATCAATATATCTATTAAACCTAAGTATAAATAATCTGGAACTTTTTGGGCTGACTTTTGTTAATAGATTGTTAATAAGATCATAATTTACTTATCAATATTCTCAAATGAAAAATGGTTCTATGAATACACTTTATTTTTAGAAAAATAATTGAAAAGAATTTCAGAAGATTTTGGTTTTGTGGGGAATAAAATAAAAGTTAAGGATTTAATTAGATTAATAGAATAACATAATAAAGGAGAAAAGGGAGAAAGTAATTTATAGAGTGAAGCTTAAAGATTGATTTATGAATAGGAGGAATTGATTAAATAAAAGGTTATGTCTGAGAAATAGAGATAATAAGCAGGTGAAGAACTTGAAGAATCAGAATAAGAGATTGATGATGAAAAGGAATAAGAATTTGTATTAGATGAAATAAGAAAGTATAAGGAGGATAAGAAAAAAGATGATGTTGCTTAAGAAGATTATGAAGGTTTAAGTGAATATGAGGGAGATCCTGAAAATTATTAAGAGGAAGTAGAGGAATAAGATAATTAAGATGATGATTCTGATAATTGAATTTTGTTTATAGTAATTAAATCTTCAAATATATATATATATGATAATATTAAATATTTTATTAATAAATCTGCAGTTGTAAATGAGTATTCATGGAAAAAATAGTGGGATTCAAATAGCTTAACATTAAAGTCCTGCAAGAGTAATTAAGGAAGTTTCAGATATTTCCAAAGAATTTACAGCTAGAAAAGTTTTGGAAAGGAGAATCTCTGAGTTGGAATTGAAATTGAAATAATAAGAAAATGTTATTTAGAAATATTAATGCTAATTGGATGAAGCATCTTAGGAGACATATAAAATAGGTAGATAATTTGAGGATGCATTGAATGATGTTAGATAGATGAGATTATTAGGAGAGAAGAAAGATCAGTAAATAGGAATATTGTTGGAGGAGAATGATAAAGTAGTGTAATTATTAGAGATGTAAAGAAATAATTAATAGATGGATATGATAGATACTATTTAGAAATTGGAATAATAAGTACGAGATCGTTTTATTTGTGAAAAAAGATTAAATGATGAAATCTAATCATATAAAATCAAAGTAATCAAATTAAAGTAAATAATTAGTTACATTAAGTTGAAGATTAACTCAAGGATAGAAATCATCTTATAGAAGATTTAAGAGATAAATTTACTAATCTAGAAAAACAATGTTCAACTGATGATTAATTAGGTGTACTTGAAAATAAGAGAGGAAAGGAGATTGAAATTTTAACTCTATAAAATGGTGATTTATAATTGAAGATTTAAAATTTAACAAGCAAAATATAATTACTCTTGGAGGAAAACGGTAATTTATAGAAAACAATAGGAAATTAAAATAATGAAGTTAAATTTTAATAAGAAGATAAGTTTTAAAAAATGATTAAAATAATTAATGAAAATCATTAGAAAGAGATATAAAAATTAAAGGAATAAAATAAATTGGAATTATAAGAGAAAATAGAAATTATTGAAAATTTAAAGACAAATTAGAATTTGAACAATCAAAATAATATTTAAGTAGATGATTTAAAATCAGCCAAAAATACTATTTCAAATTTATAATCTGAAGTATCAAAATTAAATTTATCAAAATATAAGTCGCTTTAAGGAGAAGTAGATGACATCCATTTGTAATATGAAAAATTGCTAAAAAAAAACAATTAGTTGAATGAATAGAATTTCTTATTGTAATAAAGAATAAGAAAAGATGAAATTAATAACAAAGAGAAAATATCTGAATTAGAATAGACCAATGTTAAATTATTAGAAATTCAATAAATTAATGAAACTAAAATAGAAGAGTTATAATAAAAATTGAAATAACTACCAACTAGAGTTAGAGAGAAGAGTATGGATGATCTAAAATTAAGAGTGGAACAAACCAAATTAACAGAATAAGATAATAAAATTAAGAAATTATAAGAAAAGATTGACTTATTGAATATAGAAATTAAAGAGAAGAATTAAAAAATAAATCAATTGTAAGAATAAATCAAATAGGCTATTTATGAGAAAGATAATGCAATTTAATAAATTAAATTAGAATGTGCTTAGGAAGTCAAATAAGTTCAAGATTAAATGAAAATGGAACTTTTTAATTAATAAAAACAATTTAATGAAAATTAAAGACCATATCAAGAATAAATGAAGAGTTCATAAATTGAATAAAATAAGTTAAAATCTCAAGCATAAAGATATTAAAATGAAATTAAAGCTTTGGAAAATAAAATTGCAAGTATTAATAAATCATATTTAATAATAGATTTGTTAATTGAAAAAGAATAGATTAATAATTAAATGGAGAAAATAAAAGTTACAGTAGAGAATTTAAAGAAGGATAAATAATTTTAGGAATTGAAAATTTAAGAGAATTTAAGAGAGATTGAAAGTTGGAAGGAAAAATATGTAAAGAGTGTATCAAATTGTGAGAAATAAAATGAGAGAGCTTAAAAGGAATAATCAAAGGCAGAAGGTATTTGGATGTAATAAAGAAATTTTAAGGTTATAAAGAAGAGATTAATAAATTGAATGAACAATTGGAGGATATAATTGAATAAAACAATAATTTAGAGGAATAATTATAGAAAGCACAATTAGAGTCTCGAAATCTAAGAAATTAATTAATGGATGGAGTGAGAAGAGAAAGTGGTTTAGAAAATTAATCTAATGGGTTTAATAAACCAAATGAATGAAAACTAATATCATATAAGAATTTTAATAATTAATTAATGAATTAAGACACAACAAATGTCATTTTGGTTGTTATTACAAACAAAACTAATAAGACATTAAGTCATGATAAATATTTTAAAATATTTAGTCCATTTGGTACAATACAAAGAGTAAAGATTACATTTATTCTTACTTTTAGATGTTAATCTTTGAAAGATCATTAACTTGGAAAACATTTATAGAATTTGAATTTCCTGAATCAGCCAACAAAGCAAGATAAATCATGAATGATTAACTATTTTGTGATGATCCACAATTACCAATGAATGTCTATGCTAGCAAACTTACTTACATTACATTCTAAGAAAATAACACTGGTGGCATTGGTATTGCCATAAATTTACTTTAGATTACACATAATTAAGAAAATCATAGTAGCCATCATCTAAATCATAATAGTAATAGATGCCAATTTAGTTGTTATAATCGCAAATGCAATTTTAAAATTAAATGTCTTAACAAATTTCATAAATTAATTAAATAATGGGATAACTTCAATAAGTATGTGCTGAAGGCTTTTCCATTCCTACTGTGTCATCCATTGATCTTTAATCTCAAATTGAAAAATAGTAATAATTTCTTAATTAGATATATGATTATTAAACCAATTTCTAACACTTAACTGATCAATATCAAAATTTTCTACATGGAGTCAATAAATCTGATGATCCATAATCAATAAATGTTTAATCAAAATAATCAAACAGAAAAAAATTGACATTACCAGCTGAATAATAAAATAAAAATGATTAAATAGAATTTTTGTAAAGTTATCAAGAGAACAATAATGCAGATACTCTCTGTGATTGCCATGAAGATGATTTAAATTTTCAAGGCTTAGGTTTGAGAGAATCAGATGATGATATTATAGGTTCTGAAAATGAAAATGAAAATGATAAGGAAGAAGAAGAAGAAGAAGAAGAAGAGGAAGAACAAAATGAATTCTTACAATATTTTGATTAAACTTCGGAAAATAAAAATTAATTCAACAATTTTCAATAGGCTTTCGAAAAACCATATCAAATTTAACAAATATAATCTGTGTAGTAGCCATATCTATCATCTTAAACATCTTATAAATCTAATTCGGATCAGTTTAAAAATAAAATTATAAGAATGCCAGTCTCAAAGAGTGTAACCTTATAATAAGTAGACAAATTACAATTTGATAAAATGCAATAAAGTGCTGATAAAGTGGATGAGTTCTCGAATTATAAATAACTTTAATGTATTATTAATATTAAATCATATAGAAACAAAAAAATCAAAAGTTATCTACGCTAGATGGTTTGATAAAAAAGTTGTTACTTCGCAAATGTTATATAATTTATTTAGTATCTATGGTAATATAGATAAAATGATCTATCTAAAAGAAAGATCAAGTGCTTTAATATAGTATATGACATATGATTATGCAGCTATTGCCAAAGAATCTCTCAATGATATCATGTTTTATGGACAATCAATTAAAGTATCTTATATTAATTAAATAAGATCTTTTTCTCAAATTATGATGAAATATCTTTGAAAACTTAACCTAGCAAGCCTGGTGAGTATACTTAAGATCTTAAAGCATAAGAAGAATATTTTTAAGGAGGAGAAGAAACTCATCGAATTAAACCTGATAGCACTTATACTCTAGCACCTCCATGTGACACTATCTAAATATCTAACTTAACTAGGAATTCTTGCTAATTAAATTTACTTTAATAATATTTACAAGAGTATGGATTCATCAAATAATCCAAAATCATAACAAATGCTATGAAATACATGGCCATACTCAGATTTGCAAGCACTGAAATAGCTCTTACAGTTTTAGTTAAAAATAATGGACTGGAATTAGATGGAAAATCTATCTAAATAAATTTCTCAAAATAAAAACTAATCTGATTATGTATTAATATATTCATTATTATAAATTAATTATTTGTTAACAAAATCAATAGCTCATATATTTTAACTGTGTTTTTAATCTCTCGCTATATAAGGCTCAACTCTAAAGTGGCTTTCACCTCTATCTCTATTTTTCCTTTCCCACTCTACTAAGTATCCATTAATGGAAGTATTAAATTTAGCCAATTCAACATTTTATTTGAATTGAAATACGAAAGGATTTCTCTCAGCTCTCTCTATCATTAATTTGGTAGTCTCTGATATTTACACATGTCCTTCACTTCCAGAACTCTCCATTTTATTAGCTATACTAACATCCTATCCATATATATCATAACGAACAATATCGGTTCCTATAATTCCTCCAATTATGGAACCTGTATGAATACCAATTCTCATATTTAAAAGTGGAAAATCAATTAATTTTCTAACCTCCATTATTATATCAATCATTGAAAAACCCATTTTAACAGTATTAATGGCTTCTTGAATGGGCTAATTTTTAATATATTTATATTACATTTCTTTTACTCGCTTATTGAAAACCCATAACAACATAACAATCACCTATTGTATACATCTTGTACACATTATATTACAAACATAATTTATCAAACTCAGTATAGAGATTTCTTAACATTGTAACAACTCCTTCTGGGGTTTAAGTGTGAGAATATTCAGTGAATCCTTTTATGTCTGCAAATAATAAAGTAACATCATCTAAATCATCGATAAATTCTGATCTATTATAAAGTGTGTTATTTTTCATCTTCAAATACGAATGTGTAGGTAATAGCTAACTTACTAATGATATTTATTTAGCTTTCCTTTATTCATTCAACTAAAGATTATTATACATTTCTATTAATTCTGACATTCCCTTATAATAACCAATTAAACATAAAACTATAGAGGATAACAGAAAGAATATGTATTAATGGGTTATCTAATTATTATCGATAAAAAGAGCTAAAAAGGAAGTAAAAACCAATATCATGAACATTAAGATTTAAACAAATGTGAATATCTTTAAAGAACAAACTACAACTACTAAATATATCAATTCAACCATAGATATAGTTGAAACTAATTAGTTATTAGCTAAAAATGTTCCATATACAATTGCAAAGGATCCATATAAAAAAACAACATAAAATATCCAATTTATGTAGATATTTTTATAGGTTTATTTAATAATTGGTAGCAAAATTATTAAACAAAGCAAAAATAAGGACTAATTATAATAATTTATTTTTACCCTTATAAAAAATATATCGTATGATTAACCAAAGAATTGTCTTATAATAATGCTAAGCAATGTAATAACAAAATAGATAATCCAAAGTGTCAACAAACCAAAATAACTTTCGTATTATTGTTGTTCATAATGTATATTGTAAAAGCTATTCTTAATTAGACTTTAACTCTCTGGAATCATTAAGAAAATATTTGGCTTAAGTAATCCTTTAAATTTATTTTCATCATCTTAAACATGTTATTGATCATGTATTTAAGTCTCTTCACTATCTAAAATAGCTAAACTCTATATTGGTATAGTATCTAATTAACTATGTCTACGTTGATCAGGCAAAGAAGGAACATTCATAAGGGATTATGCAAATTAAGTTTTTGGTGAATTAGATATTTTTTAACTTCCCCAACTATTATCATGTAAATTATTTAATGAATTTTAAATTTTTTATAAAAAGGTTTCTTTTTAAACTTCTCCTGCTAGATTTCTACTAATTTTTTATTACTTTATGACTAATTTTGCTAATTATTACCATCTTAATTAATTGATTGGTATTTAGTAATTATTTGGCTTAATTTTAAATACTTAATATGTATCAATCAATCCTAATCCTTTAGCTTCTTTTTATTTTTTATGATAGTATTTGATTCCCTATTTGGCTTATTTAAATGCCTCAGCAGATAGTGTAATGGCACCAACATCTCCAGTAGAACCAACTCTACTAGTTTAATTGACTGGATCACCTATCAAAGAAAATTAAGGTTTATGATGTCCAATAAGACCTGCAATAACTCTCCCTACATGTATACCAATTTTCATTTCAATTTAATTTCCTTTACCATATTGTCTTCCTTTAATTTGTTCCATCATATCAAATGCCATATTGACAAGTCTCATTGTTTTTTCAGTTTTTAACATGTGAGGTGAGATATTAATTTCAGATGCCTTAATACCAGTTGCTGCCATATATGTATAACCAACAGTTTCAATTTTTTAAACTCCATGTTATAAACATAAATTATCAAATATTCTAAATAAAGAGTCTAGCATTAAAACAACATTTCTTCCTTCTTCTTTCATTATAGAATCAAAATCACAAATATAACAAAATAGAATAGACACATCATTTTAGGCTTCCTACATATGTAAACTACCAAGTTAAATTTGATTACGGACAAATTTGGGTACTAAAATAGATAGTATGTCATTAGCAGCCAAATTGTCTTATTCAATTTAATATTTGGCTAAGAAATCTGTTCTTCTATGTTATATTGTCTTATATAATGTGTAGAGTAAACTGAAGGTTAAACTTAACATCAAAATAATAGATGTACTAGATCCATAAATAACAACTCTAGTATGATTATAATAGCCTAGAGTAGGTAAGGATGAGTCAGCAATTAAAACCACAACAATTCTTACAATTAATTGAATGAGATAAATGATATTATACACAAAAATAGGTATAATGTTAATGTTCATTGTGTTATTGGTTGTAAATAAAACAACCAATACAGATGACATAATGAAACTTAAATCATCACTTAGCCAATCTAAGGCAATCTTTATGATATAAAACACTATAAAGATCATATGTGAATGAGTATAATAATTCTATTGAAAATGCTTGCTCATTATGTATGTGATAATGATGACAAATATACAAAACATGGATAAATATTGTACACCAGTTTGGAGTCGTTAAAGACTAATAAAATAATCAATGAAACAATAAATTCCAAAGTAGATCAACAATAAGATTAAAAATAATCTATAATTATTAAGTGATTCTTGCAATTTGATAGAAAGAAACTTCTATTCCACAATTAGGTCATTTATTTTAAGTGTCAATTTAGATAGTCTCATTTCAGTGATTTTTGTGTCACCAGGATTTAATATTTCTTAAATATAGGGTGATAAGACTTTACAATCTTTGAATACTTAAGATATAATATGCGAAATGTTTCTATTATATCATAATAAGTTTATATACATTTATTAATCTAAATGTTGATTGATAATTTACTAACTGTTAATTGATTCACTATCCTATTCATATCTGAATGATAATTATTCATATACACTTGGAAAAATTCTCAATCGAATACAATCCTAAAAAATGTATTTAATAGTAAATGATAAAAATAATGAGATAATTATTGAGATTATGCACTAATAGCGAGTAAATATCTGATATGTTTCATTTTAATATTCATCTGAAAAAATGATTATTAAAATTAAAATAATTATTAATTTTAGTTACATCAATTTCCCAAAAGTATTCAAACCCTAAAATACTCTAAATATTATAACAATTATAAAACAATATATAATTCCTAATGAATTCATTTATAAATCTATAATTTATCCTTAATCATTTATTGCATAATTGAATTAGTAAGTGATCATATAAAATATAGAAGCTGCAGTTAGAAAGGATTCTATCATGTTTAACAAAAATAACTTCCAAATAATTTTTACTCTTATCTGACCATCAATATAGAGTGAAGGGTATAGTTAATTAATATAATAAGAAGTTTATTTTGAAAATAATCCAATCAAAAGGGCATTTATTCCTATGAATATTTATACATAAAAAAATATAATTAGACTTTAATGAAGACTTGTTGATGTGAAATAGCAAAACCAATTAAAAAAAAATAATGACATCCCTAATAATCCTGCAGCATAAAAACAATACAATACTAAATGATGCAATTTCTCTTAATAAATTTTACCTTATAATAGTAATTCTTTAATTTCACCTAAATATTAGACCTTTATATCACCAGTATTAATAATTGATTGTTTACATTTATTATTAATAACTTCAATAGATATGTTAGAATATTGCATCATTAATTGATCATTGAATCCATCTCCAACAGCAATAACATGTTTATTAAGAGAATTTCTAATAATTTTACACATCATCTCTTTATGTTATGGATTCATATTATATCCAATAACATTTTTACATATTCCTGCTAAGAATCTAAAATGACTCATTAAATCATTATCACCCTAAATTACACTTAGAGCATTTCCATTCACTAAAAGTGTAAATTTGAGCATCTTTTAATAATTAATTCCATCATAAATAGTATTACTAGAATTAATTAATGTATTAAAATCTTCATTACATAATTATTATTTAACCATTTCTGATTATATAATTCCAATACATGTATTTAATTAAAACCATATTTTTTCATTTTCTGTTTATGATATTTGAAGATATTTATTATAAATTGATTCATTTATTTATAATGCTTATGCACAACTAATAGTTTATGCTTCTTAATCACCACTTAATAACCATATATGTATATTTTAGCTTTTTGTAGCTTATATAAATTCATGTGCATCTTATTTTAATTCTTCTTTAAATCCAATCATACCAATAATAGATAATTGTTATTCATATTGTATAGCTAATTATTCTAATTAATCATCTTGGTTAGTAAGTGAGTTTTTTAATAAATTAAATTATTTCTTATATTCTTCTGTTTCTTTTTCATTTAATACTCTAGTTCCATATAGAATCATTCTAACTCCTCTCATTTTTAAAATTTATATATGTTATTCTAATTCTTCTTTTTCTTTTGGTGTCAATTATAATTTAGTTTTGATGGCATCATAATCACCCTTGCATATGAGTAATGATTTATTTTTAGAACCTTCACCACTAAGATGTGATATTGCACAGGAATCCCAATCTCCTATATCTCCACTCTTTTAAGATTAAACAACAATTGAATTAACATTTCTATTTTCTGTATATTAATTTAATCCCAAAATATCATATTATATCTTTTAATTTCTTATTTTACATAAATAAGCATCAGGACTATCAAATTTATTAAAGGATTCTAATTGATAACCACATAATCTAGCAAATCCTAATGCAATTTCTTCATTTTTAGAGAATGATTCATATTAAACATCATTCAAATATACTGGTCTAGCTTCATGACATAAGATTAGACATTTCATAAAACAATCATAATAAAGTGCATTTTCATTTTGTAATTCAGAATATTCTAATTATGGAGATTTATGTTTATATTGATTTATCATTTACAGAAACTCATCATTATTATTATTCATCAAATTTTAATGTTGATGTAATAAATTTCTCTTTTTATGTTAAAATAACATAGATTTTCTTAAACTAATCATATCATGAAAATCCTAACTTCTTACACTATTAGGTTGTAATTAATATTATTATTCAAGTACTTAATTAAATATTTATTGATTATTATCAGTTGTAACTGATTTCAATACTTTTTTATTGATATTAGGCATTAAATCAATAACTTAACTAGTTTTACGATTAACTGTATCATATTCCATTGGTATATAGTATTCTTAATCAAATATGGATGCAAATTTGACAACATCTTCTTCTTCATCAATTCTTTTATTTTTTGTTAATTGATTAAAGAGTTAATCATGATTTAAATTAAATGTTTGTGATCCAAATTAAAAATTATCTAATTTATAATATGATGTAGTAACTGTTCCAGTTTTATCCAATAACATATAATCTAAAGAACCTAATTCAGAAAATGTTTAAGGTCTTTGTAATTTAAATCTGAATTTGTTTACAATATTGATTAAATCTAAAATCATAAATATATTTGCAGGTATGAATTAACTATAAAGGATGAGAAGATTGAATATCTTCATACCATTCTATGTATTCTTATCAATTCTTAGAACAAAAGTTAAGTCATCTGATCTAGCTAACAATACTATTATTGATATCTAAAATTATAAATGAAATCAATATACTAAACAGAAAAATAGAATTAATGTTATCATAAACAATGAAATGAAATCAATAAGATTTTCTTCATGTGAACATTTTGCTTTATTCTTTTTAGAACTCATAGAATTCTTTGTTTTAGAACCAACATAAACAACCAATCCAAATAACCATGATGTTTATTTTATAGTTGATCCTTAAAGTATGAGATTCTCTATAGACAAGAATTCAACTTTAGGGTCCTTCTTTAATTTTAATCTACCTCTAAAAATGTTTGCATGTCTATTAGGTACTTCATATTCTAATCGACCAGTTAATAATTTTCTATATTCAGCAAATTATGATTTCTGTCTAGTTCTTAATACGATTACTTATCATATAATGATACTTAAATACATTAAGTCAAATAACAACTCTTCTTTTTTGTAAATGTACTCTTTCCATCACAATAAGATGAATCTACCATACAAACAGCTTCTCTATCTCTAACCTATCCAGTGTCCAATACTATAATATCAGCTGGCACTATATCCCCTTTATTTAGGATTAGTACATCTCCTATATTAATGTCTTACCATTTGATCTCCTCTATCACACCATTCCTTCCTCCTCTTTTTGTAGATTATTAATTCACTAATTTGTCAGAGTTTCTTCTTTACCAATCACATAAGGCTTCATTACAAATAAACACAATCATTCCAGCTGCAATTTGTACTATTATAATCCAATTATTGTATGGAGAAAGACTAGGATTTATGATCATTATCAATGAAATCGTAAGTAGGAATACATTACTGATTCTCATAAAACAACGTAAGAATGTTTTTGGTATGAAATTTACTACCTTTAATGTTGAAATGAAAATACTGTATACTCTTGGGAACAAAATACATTCTGTTCTTGAGGTACACTCAAAAGAGTCAAAATGCCTTTGTTCATTTCCATCGTGATCATTTGTGCATTCTAAGAATAGAAATTTTGAATGAATTATCGAAACCACTCCACCAATTTCTCAGCTCTTTCGTTACTATAAAACATAATTATTATTAAATCAAATCAATTCATTATTGTTTCTTTTTCAATTAAGTAGTTTTGTCCATTCTTTCTCATTCTCTTCTAAACATTTTAATGCAACAGATAATCCATTATTCAAAATAGAAGATGTCAACACATATAATGGTTAAATGATATTCTAATTTATTATTAATCAAATACTCTAATAAATGACAATTCTTATTTTGGTAAATTTTAACATACTAAATGTTATGTAACTGGTAATCCTAATAATCTCTCTTCTTCAACTTAATTATCAAATTCATTCTATATTCTTATTGACCATTTCTTTGTAATTTCAAATCTCTTTGTAGGTTAGGTTAAATCACAAGTATGAACTATTAAACCTGATAATATTCTTTTAGTTTCCATATTAATAATATTCATTTCTCCATTTTTATATTTAATCTCTAATGAAGAAACTAAATCAAAATGTTTCTTCATATCTGTTGCTAATATATTGGAAACCATAAATCTTCTAACTTTTTAGAATTACTCTTGAGAAAGATTAGATAAAATATTATATTTCTCTCTCTACATTATTTTAAATGTCATTGCAGCATGATGATTCTCCAATACACTTTCATCATTATATCTTACTGCCAATTTAGACATTCTTGCAACTTCAAATCCATTTGTTCTACCTGAATGATCTATATCATGACAAAGAGATGATAATATTGCTGCAAATTATTCAGTTTAATCTAAATATTCATCTAATAGTTTATTCTTTATCATATAATAACATGCATGAGCCACAGTAAAACCATGCTCAAAATTATGAAAGGGATTACGACGACTGTTGTATCTCTCTTCTATTGCAACTAAAAATTGAAAAAATGTTTCCTTATACATCTGGTATTTATCAAAATAGTTTAATAAATGAAACAATGCCCAAGTATAATGCTTTATTTGATCCTTCTAAATTGTGATATCAAAACACCAATTATTCACATTTTCCAAATCATCAGGTCTTAATTAAAACAGTTCCATTTCTATGTTTATTTAGATACTTTTATACTTTTTGCATTAGTTAATTATTATTCTTAAATCAATGTTTTAGTTGCAAAAGGAGTATCAGATTCACTTATTGTTCTACGATAAGTTTACACTTATTCAGAGTTTCTGTAATATTCTAAGACATAAGTTTATCTAATATCTTCAGTTATTTATTCTTTTTATTCAATAATTGTCATTAATGCATGTTCTTTTAGCATATCTATTATTTCTTCTGTTTATAAATTCAGATTTAATGATTCTTGTAATACCAAACATGCTTTTTCTATTTTCTCCTATTTTAAACTTGCCAAAGTTTCTGATACTTTTATTTCACTTTTTGAGTGACGTTATGATTCAAATCTTTTTTTTGGTTAATCAAAAACAATAAAAAATTAATTAATTTCATTTTTTTCATCTTTTTTTACATAAATTGCTATATCTACATATTTATCATGATAAATTATTTAACCAGCATCTATTGCACCTTTTTTACTTTATTAAACTTCATCTAAAGATGATAGTAACATAGTTTTGTAGATTTCTTCCATTTTGATTTCTGTCAAGTTTTAATAACAATCAATTTATTAATTACTGAGATCCAAAAAATTCCATGAAGATGGCACAGAACCACTTTAATAAATAATATTTAGATGTAGATCAGATGCGATTACTAATTTGGTTGGTGTACTTACTTCAATTATTTAATAAAGAAATTCTTTATCCTTTAATTCTCTTAAGCAATGTTTAAAATGCTACCATAATTGTGACATCTAATTTAGATCAGATGGATAAATACAAAATCTGCAAAAGTGATTATATCCAATGAGACATTCTCCATATGCAGATAGAATTAAACAGCATGATTCGACATAACTGGAATAAAACACTTTGTTTAATTCTCTAAGATTGCAAAACTAGTGTCTTTTGAATTTTTGGTTGATTATATAATTTCACTTTTAATATGATTAAACTCTTACCATTTTGTGTTAAGTTTTCTTTCGATTTCATTTCTAATGCATTCCTAAAATAAGATTGGAGCATTTTTTATTGAAAATTATCCTATGGCTCTTACTGAATTAATTAAGTCATCTTTACTAAATGATATTGAACAGAAATGTTTACTGGTAATTCTCATTTAAATAGTCATAACCTATAGTAATAAGTTGATCACAAATCAATTTAATTTGATGAGGTTTTGATAATGGTAATATGGCAAATTGTTATGCTTCATATATAATGAGTGAAGAATGAGTTTAAGCATTCAATTTTTAAGGTACTCTAATGACTTATAAAGAACTGCTTTTGAATATCTGTTGTAATTGCCCAGTAGGTTTGAAAGTGAGGATTTCAAGTTGATCACCACGGAATTATTAATAGAGTTATAATTTTTATTCTTATGTGAGTTATTGCTATTTTGAATATATTAAATTACTTCAATAAATTCATCAGTAGAGACACTCTCTACGGATTTTTCTTAAAATCGGAGCAAAGTAAAATTGTTGCTACCCAAAATAATATTGCTTATTTGACGAAGCACATTCTTCATGGTTGTTTTATTCATAGTTTAATTCAAGATATAGAGAATTAGTTTATCCAAATAATTGAAATTAGACTTGATTATATTATTATATGAGATACTGTAATTGATTCCATTTTGGATTCTATTATTGAACATAATTCATCTTGGATTTATAGATTAACTGTTACTGCTTTACTTAGGTATTATCTGAAATTAATCTTAAATTGTTACTTAATTCTACTCTCCTCTGAATAGATTGAATTGAGAAACTTACAATCCTGAAGTCTGGACTGTAAGTGATGTAATTGTGCTAGATCTTTAAGAGTAAGACTAAGCTTAATCTTGCCTGTTTCAGTTTCTCTTAAAAGGGTATCCAATTCTTGAATAGCCCTCATAAACCGTTCTTACATTAAATCAATTTATTTATTATATTTCAAATATTCTCAAGTATCCGTCACCACCTGAAAATGCAAATCTAGAATCTTTATGTGCCCAGTCTACAGTATTAACTTCCCTACAGAGATCATGGATGCATATTTAAGCATTATCAAAATCTTGGGAATCAAATATTCTCACTTCATTCTCTCCTGATCCTCCAGCCAATGTTAATTGATTATCAAATTATCTTGAGAATTATCCACTATACAATTAACAGGGTTGATTGCTAACCTTTATTTAAGAATTCCAATCAAAATTACAAATAAGTTTACAAGTTCTTAAATCCCATGTTTATAATTGTTTCTCTTATGACCATGAAGCTGTCAATAATTGTTAACCATCAAATGATTCTCTCATGTCTATACCATCACCACAAATCAATGGACCATATATCTAATTAGCTTCTGGCTTCTTTTATCTAATATCCCATATTAATACTCTGTAATCCCAACCACCTGATATTAGCATATTAGGATTTTAAGGATGAAATTTGACACAATAAACTATTATACATAACATTTAAGTAATATACCTCTATTATTATGACCTGGAGGTTATGTTTATTCAACTCCTAATCTAACATCAACTACTCTTTTTTCTTCATCATGAATACGTATTATTGGATTTAATCCACATACTGCCAATTTTGTAGCATCTTAATTATAATCTATACAATAAATATCAGAATTATCTTCCTTCATTGTTCCCAAACATTTTCCACTAGTCATATGCCAATGTTACACTTCACCCTTTGTGTTTCCAGTTACAAATATGTTCCTCGTTTTAAATTATTATGCTTAAGGTCTCCATTTAACATATGAAAATGGAATGTTAGGCATTAGAGAATTTATCAAATAAGACAGTTACCTTTTCCTTACATTAAAAATTCTAACTGTTCCATTTTCACAAGCACAAGCAATATATTTATCATCAGCATCCCATTTTACACTATAAATTTTAGTTCCTGGCACTCCTAATACAAAACTCTCCTTCTCATCCAATCTCAATTGAGTTTTTGAATTGTATTTCACCTAATATTTATCACTGATAGGTTTCTCCTCTTTGATTACATGTTAAGGTTATTATTCTTCAGCATTTTGTTGCTCTTTAGTATTAGCCCTAGGCTTTGGTCTCATTTCAATTTTATTATTATTAATAATATATATATATAAATACACAGAAATATTATAAAGTATTTCATTATTATTTATAATGAATAATTTACCTTAATAGAATTAAAAGTCAATTCCAAATTAAAACAATAACCAATTTCAGCAATTCCAGAATCAAAACCCTCAGCAATTCCAGAATCAAAACTTTCAGCAATTCCAGAATCAAAACTTTCAGCAATTTCAAAATTAAAACTTTCAGCAAGTTTAAAACTTTCAGCAAATTCCAAATCAAATTCCAATTATAAAACCTCAGCAACTTCCAAATTAAAACCCACAAACCTTTTAACAACAAATAAACTAACCTGTAAATTAATTTATCTAAATCAATAAAAATTAACTTCCAGCTCCCATAGGTGTTTAAATTTAGCCTCCATCCTCTGGAATGCAATAAATGTAGTCAGGATCATAACCATAAGGAAATACTATTTAATAGAATTTATAGAATTAATAGAATTTATAGAATTAATAGAATTTTTAAAAACCAGCATTGGTTTAAGCTTAAGTCTAAAAAATTCCAAACCAAAATATTGATCAATAGTTGAATAATAATAATTAAACATTTTAACCCAATAATTAAAACTTTTTAAATTTCTAATAATTAAATTTCTAATAAAATACTCAAAAACAATTACCAAATCAGAATCTGAATTTCAATAATAATTAACCATTTATTTAAACAGGTTAAAATCAAAATAACCATATATTTTAAAATTAGAATCCTTAAGTGCCGTCACCTTTACTACAGAAAAATTAAGATTTATAAGGCAATAGTTCAATGCCTTCTAATGCCCCAAATATTATGATCCCTCCTATTTAATAACCTGTAAAATAGTTTTCTACTCAAAAAGTATAAGAAAATTCATATTATTTAGTAGTATCAGCCTGTCATAGTAAGAAATGAAGATGATAAAAAACAATTAGTGAAGAATTTAAATGAATACCTTAGTAAAGGAGAATCAGATTTTGCAATAGAATGTCTAAAGTAGATCTTAGAGAATGATATTAGAGTAAAGCTTCCAGAAAATTTCAACAATAATAAATGATATATATATAGTAAAAATTAGACATATAATTTCAAATATGGCTTTTAAGATTATTAATAAATTTTACACATTTATTGATTGTATTTAAATTAGTATGTCTATTAAGTTTCTATCAAAACGAGGGAGTTTTAATTATCTTATTAATGTTAAAACTAATACACAATTAGTAATATGAATAATTTAGAAATTATAAATAAGCAACCAAATTCAAAATGGATTATACGAGTATTTTATTTTAATGAATTTGCTGAATCATACAATCTAACTCTTGCAATAGGCTTTGTAGAACTTATAATAGATGTAAGGAAAATAGGAGATGAAAGAGATTTTACCTTAATTAACTCAAGTAGTAGATTCCATCCCTGAGGAATTTAAAGAATTGGTTCCATATTAGATGGAAATCTCTGATAAACATCTGAATCATCGACAAAGCAAAGAGTTCATAATCAAGACAGTTGAATAATTTCGATAGTGGAGAGCAATGGAATGTGTGAAAGCAGAAACTTTTGAAGAAGTAATGGCAGCTCACAATTAATATTATTACAGAACTTTGAGGTAGCAAATTTATAGATTTATTGTAATAACAGATGGATTTCGTTATTCAAGAGGAGAGGCTAGAGAGAAACTAGCTCATTGTCCATTTTGTAAGTTTTAGAATATTCTCACTTACGTAACAGCTCATGTTCTTAAAAAGCATGCTAATAATTATTAAATTTATAATTGTTCAATTTGTAACAAAGATTTCTAATCACATCGTTTATTGGTCATGCATATACATAATTACCACAAAGAGGGAGTGATTCCTAAAAAGAGAAATGGTATTCCTCCTAGGAAAGAATCAAGTGAATAGGAAGATGAAGATATTATATTTGAAGAAGCAGATTCACCACAAATATCATTATGAGTTGAATAATTGCATATTTATTGTCGAATTTCTATTTGATTATATCAATTGTTATTCTATTTATATAGATATATATATATATATATATCAATTCAGACTTCCATGAACATTTGATTTTTATCTAAATCTAACCAATAGTTTCTTTCTGCTTATGCTTTATGAACATGATGCTGTGCCATTTGTTTTAATAATTAGTAATAGTTTTTCTCTTTTTCTAACTTAAAATAAATCTATAAGAAAATATACTTTGTATCTTGGTAAAATAAAGTACCCTATTATAATAGTTATCATATCACATAAAATAGTCAATTATTCAATCTCTTTTTAAACCTAGTGAATATGTATTAGAATAGATTTACATTATCAATTTATTACTATGTTTTTTATATGAATTCTTCTTTATTTGAATTGAAAAAAGATTTTAATGTAGTTTTACCATTTTCAATGTCTTTTTTCTCATTGCTTAAACTACATAATTTAGTCAAATAATTTTATTTAATCTATTCATATTTATCTCTTGATTATATAGCTTCAAGAACAGCATCAATATCTCTTGTTTCTATTTTAATAGACAATGCAAAATTATCAATAGCACTCTTTTCATTTGCTGTTCGCTAATAATTATAAATGTTAAAACATATTATTAGTATAACTCTGTATTATGTTAAACAAATACAAGTTTATTTTCAGGATTTACAACATATTCAGTTAAACAATTCTTTTCATATTCTGGCATTAAATAATCTAATAAAAGATTCATATTTTCTTAACATTGAATTCTAGTATAAATATTAAAAATGTCTACCTTGATTAAACAAGTAATTTTGCTTATTATTAAAATGTTTCTAATTATGGTTGAATCCTCTTTAAGAACATAGAGAAATTCCCAATCTTAGATAGTAATTGATCATTAATTTCTTTTCCTGAAAAATCTTTGAATACTGTTTCATATTTATAAATGATATCACCTGGAGTTGGTTTTTATTATGCTAGTAATTACTAAAGATAATATGAATATATATACTTTTTCAATATCACCATTACCTTTAATGAAAAGTTTACATTCATCAGAATACCATAAATGATGGATGGTTGCCATCTTCATCATAAAGAGATTAAGATAATGCATTCTTTCATCAATAAACTTTTAATCCATATTTCCCTTTTGATAAAATTAGAACACTTACAACTGGTTTCTTGATTGGTAATGGTGGAATATAACATCCAGGCCATCGTATTTGAAGAGTTGTTCTAAATATTATTTAAATTATACCTAAAACAATCAAATTCATTGAATCGACGAACTACTTCAAATTAGCCATCTTTATCAGAACCTTTAAGTGTGTAAACTACATAATTTTTAAGACCATCTTTCTTTACTATAGGATCACACACTTGAACTTCAATTCCTAAATTGATTTCGCCATCATTTTATTAATCCATTTAATATTTTAATAATCTATATCATTATGAATATAAGCATTTTTTCATTTCTTCAGGTTCGTCACTATCAATGCTTCTTAAGAACTTGGATATATTAACTTTATTTCCAGAAATCAATTCTTTGTAGTAAGCCACAACAAAAATCCAAATAATTGCCTTCTTTAACAATAATTTAATTCCATTATCACTTTGTTTAGATTCTTCATTTTTTAAAAATGTAATCGTAGAAGCCAACTAATTTAGATACAATTCTAAAGGAATTCCACCTGTAATATCTAGATCTCCAATCTAATATATCTATTCAAGATAATACTGATTAGAATTCTAATAAATAATTATTGTATTTGCTACTAGTCCAATTGTTTAAATAATTAAATTGACTAATATATGATTTTCTAACTTGATTTCTATCATGTTCAATATCAATTATCAAACATTATACACTATTAATATAAATATAATTAAAACTTTTGATCTTGATAAAAGTAATCCCAAACATCTAAATCAATTCCCTCAAAATCTACATGATCCTATTTAGTTAATATATCAGCTCTATCTAATTTCTCTTTTAAAATATGTTATTATTAATATCCTTGTTTAAGTATGTAGAATATATCATATCTACAAACTTCACTGAAATTATTTTAAAGAAATTCACATAATTTGATAATTATCATTATGCCATTTCTCATATCATTGATTATATCAATAATCTTTAATATCTATTAATTAATTCTCTCTCTTTTCTAATTTTCTTCTCTTTATAATTTCTCCAATGCCAATCTTTATTTCTCTACTTCTTCTTTACGTTATCTCTCTTCTTCTTCCTTTTATGCCTTTTTTATGTCTTCTTCAGTTTGACTATTCTCACTCTTTAAGAATTACTACCAAAATTGTCTCTCCTTCTCTTCAATCTCCAAATATCTATTATCTTTCTTATATTTCTAAAATATTGGTAATTCCAATATCTATTTAGCTGTTATACGCTATATAAATAATATTTATTATAATTTACCTTTGATTTATCTTTCTCTATCATTCTTGGTAATAAATCCCTAATCTCTTTACAACATTAATGTTGAGATCCTAATGTGTATTATTTACTTAAGATCTTTTGAGACACTTCATATTGACTATTTCCAATAAAGTAGATCTCTCCAAAGAGAATCTCATGAAATAATAATCCTAATGCCCAAATATCTACTTGATTTCCATCATATTAATTAGAATTAAAAAATTCAGGAGCCATATATGGATATGTTCCTAAATGAGTATTGTATAATGATTTTTGACCTGCAAATCCAAAATCTCCTAATTTATATACACCATCTTTGATAAAAACATTCTCAGGTTTGATGTCTCTATGTGCAATATTATTGTCACACAAAAAATCTAAGGCTTATACTAATTAGAAGAACACAAATATGGCCTCATCTTCAGGAAGCTTACGAGTCTTTTTTATTTTATCAAGTAAGGTTCCTTGATTGCAAAATTCTAAAACTATATATATGTTATTTGAGGTTTCAAGACATTCATAAATTTTATTTATGAATGGACACAAAGTCTTTCTCATTGAAAGCATCAAAGATTACAATATACTGACTTCCTGATGAATTTATTTGAGAATGTCATCTCTTTAAATAAATAGTAATATTATCATACCCATATTTTGCCAAAAGTGATCTTTTAATAACTTTAATAGCAACTATTTCACCTGTCACTTTGTTTTTGCCTTTGTACACTTCAGCAAATGCTCCTTATCCCAATCTATTTTAAAGTTCGTATTCGTATTTTTATCCTACAGTCTTTTTTGACATTCGTATTCTATATTAATTTATTTTAATAATATAATCCAAACAATTTATCAATTTATGATTATAAATTATTGAATATGTCTATTTATGTGGAACATAACATCAATAAAAAATGAATTTAAAAAAATGTAATTCTAATATTACTTTTTTATTTAATTCTTCTTTTAATTTTATAAGAATTAAATTTAATGTATAAATAAAATCCCAATGAAAAGGAACCTTATTCATTGTTTTCACCTTCTATCAATCTAAATAAATAGACAGATAACACATAATCAGGTCTTTTTAATAGAGATTAATAATCTGTATAATAAATGAGAGAATAAATAAGACAACTAAAAATGCAACTCAGTAAAACAAACCTTGAGAAGGAAACTGCTATTCAAGAGAATAACAAACAAATAAGAGAATTAGAAAGAGTCTAAATCTATGTCACTTAATTAGAAGCACGTATTAAAATGCTTGAAGAGTCGTTAATAGCTTAATAAACAGAAGCAGAAAGGAAACTAACTTTGTAAAAGTATGTTTTTTCAAATATATTAATAGATAGCATTTTGAGTATTTAAAGTAATCAACTATTGAAAGATAATAAACAGGAATGTAGAGAGATTTCAATTTAGAGAAAAATGATTTAGAGATACAAATAAAATTACTAAAATAAAGGATTGTAGAATTAGAAGAGTAATTATAGAAAGTTACCTCTATTGATCATATGTCTGGTTATGAGGATTTATAGAGGTAGATAGATTCACTTACTTTATAATTGTAATAATAATTAACTTTATGATTATTAGAATGAGTTAAAAAGGATAGGAGAGATAATTTTTTGAAAAAATGTAGGATCTTTAAAAATAATTATAAATTAGTACTTCAAAATATGATTAATTAGTTCATTCGTCTAAATAAGAAATTGAAGAATATGTATATACAAATAATTATAAATAGATTGAGAAGATTACTCTTATATCTAATTAATTAAAGGAAAATTAAGAATATACAGAATAATTGGAAGAAGAAAAGATGACATAATAATTACAATTATCACATCAGTAATTCTTTATTTTTAATATTTATTAAGAGTATTTCTGGCTTATAATGAAATAGAAAGATTGAATATTAAGATTTTGAAGATTAATAAGAAAATGAAATTTATTGAAGAATCTCATGTATAATAATTAGAAGATCGTTAACATTAATTTGAAAATTAAGTATTAATATGAAATGTATTCTTAGTTTAATTTAAGATAATAAAATTTATAAAAAGGATCAAATGAATTAAAATTATCATATGAATTAAAATTATAGAATTTATAATTGTAATTATAAGAAAGAGAAGAAATGATAGAATAATTAAAATTAGAATTGAAATAGAAATAATAGAGAATAGATGAATTAACTAAATAACTTGATTTAGAAAGATAAAAAATTAAATAATAATTTGAATCATTCACAATATAAATTAGAGATCATAAAAATACATCTGAAAAAGCTTATACTGAATTATAAACTAATTCTAGAGATCAAATTATAAAATTATAATAATAAAAATAAGAATTAGAGTCTATATTGAATAGAATTAAAAGTGAATTGGAAAATCAAAAAAACTAAAATTCTTAATTGCAAAATTAATTAAATTAATTATAATTAGAATATGAATAGATGAGATAATAGTATGAATAATAAATAACTAATTTAAATTTAGAGATTAATCGTCTTAAAACATAAATGTAATAAATATCAGGGTATTTTTATTATATTAAATTAGTAAATCTTAGTAAAGTCTTGATGAATTGTAATATTAATTAGAAGCATCAAAATAATAATATTCTTAATTATTAGAACAATAATAATAATTATAAAATAGTGTATCTAAGAAAAATGAATTATATGAAAATGAAATTAAATAATTAAAATAAAAATTAACATAAGGAGCAAATGATATTAATAATCTTAAAAATGAATTAGATAAAGAAAAGGAAGAATATAATTTAATCACATAAGATTATCAATAATAATTTTAATTATTGGAAAAGAGACTAAAAGACAAAGAAAATGAATTATTACAATTAAAAAGAACATTATAATAAACAACTGAAAGTTATAGTGAATAAATTACACAATTAGAATTATAGATTAATCAATTACAATAATAACTTTAATAATAATAGTCTTAATTTACAACACAATTAAAAAATTCAGAAAAGGAAAAAGAAAAACTTAAATAAACAATAAAAGAAAGAGAAAATGAAATATCTTAATTAAAATAAACTATTAAGACTATGGAAGAAAATTCAAATACTTCAATTTCATAATTAGATATTTAACTTAGCAAATTATAATAATTATATTAGAGTTTATAATAAGAATCATAATAACAAAAAAATTAATTTTAAAAATAAATTTAATAGATGACTTAAACAATAAATGAATTAAAAGAAAGAATTTCAGAAATGCAATTAGAGTATGAACAAAATGAAAATAATTTAAATGAAAATATGTTAAAATTATAAAATACTAATAAAGATTTACAAAGGTAAATTCAACTCTTTTAGAAATAGATTTAAGAATATGAAATTAGAATTAAATTTGAAGAAAATAAAGGATCTGATTTAAATTAATAATTAGAATCACTTTAAGAAGAATTAGAATAATTAAAGTTAGAAATTAAAAATTAAGAAAGAGATAAAGAAAAATTAAAATCATAATTAAAGGATTTATAATTATAATATGAATAATTACTTAAATTAAAATAAGATTTAGAATAGAAATTATCAATAGTAACATAATAACATGATGATTTAACTAATGAATATAATGAATTTTATATGAATTCATAATAATAATAAGAATAATTATAAGGAAATATTCAAGAAAAAGATAAATAAATAAAAAATGCTAATTAATAAATTAATTAATTAAAATAAAGAATTTCTGATTTAGAGAGATAAGTAATTTAAATGACTCATGAAATTGAAGAAAGAGATACTAAATATAGTGAATTAGAATAAAATACTAATATGAAATTATAAAAATTAAATAATGCAATAGATTAATCAAAAAAATAAAATTAAGAAGATGAAAAATTATGGAAAATGAAACTTACTTAATTATCTGATTAACATGAAGAAAGAGAAAGAGAATTATAATAAGAAAAAGAAGATTTATAATAAAAATTAGAATTTCAACTTAATTAATTGAAAAAATCAAAATAAGAAACAGAATAAAGATTATCTTAATTATAAATTAAACATGATTAATTAGAGAATAGTTATGAAGATATTTAAAGAGAATATAATGATCTTTAAGATAAATATGTTATAATATAATAACAAATTTAAAGTTTAACAATAGAAATATAATTATTATAAAAATTTAAATTAGATACTAATGATAATGAATTAAAATTTTAAGCATTAAGAGATAGTTTAGAATCATAATTAAAATTATTACAAACTAAATATGATTCTTTATTATCATCTGAATAACATTTATTAGAAGAGAATAGAAAATTAGAAGAATAAAATAATATTAGAATTGGATAATTGGAAGAATTTAGATTGAAATTTGAAACATAAACTGTATCTTTAGTAGATTATTAAACTATGAAATAGGAGAGAGATGAATTAACAGCTAAAAACTTTTCATTAAGTTAATAAGGTCTTAAAGATAAAGCTGAAGTGTAAAAGATGAAAAGGGAAATTGAAAATTTAAAGGAAGATTTAAAAACTAAAGAAAATGAAGTTGAAGAAGCATATAATTTTGCAAGAACTAGATAGACTACAGGAGATAAACAAAAAAATGAAACAGATATGCTCAAAATTGAAAATTAAAAACTTCAAAATTAAATTAAAGGATTTGAAGCTAAAATTATAGTATAGAATGAAGAAATAGATAAATTAAGAAGATAAAATGAAGATTTGCAATATTAACTTTAATAATAAAAAGCACTTGTTATAAAACTTGAGTAATAATTGCATTAATGTAATTCAGAAAATTAGAAACTTACATAATTATATGATTAAGTTAAAGCCAAATATGATTAAGCTTATGAAGGAATGAAAAATGAATCAATGTTTAGGGTAAATAATTTTATTACTATTTAGACTAGGGAATCAGTTATGAATAAAGTTGATGATGGTAACTATGTAAAACGAGTAGTCCAAACAACCACATTAAATTCAAGGATGGTTGCATCAAAATATTAAGACTAAGAATTTAATTGAAATATATAAATAATGTTGTAAACTCTATTTATTGTCATTTTGATCTTTTTGCTTCTAACTTTTGTAGGATTATATTTGAGAAAATTTTATAGAAACAAACCACTGACAATCTAAAATTAAGGTTTAGGATAGATATTTTCTGATTAGCCAATAAGTTTCTGTGAATAAGTAGTTTAACATAATTTTTAAGAAAAAACTAATCAGAAGTAAAATATAAAAATGAAAACTTCTAAGACAACAGTTACAGTCAGCAAAAATACTAAATCTAAACCAAAGAAAATAAAATAATAAGATTAAGAGGCAGCATTTTAATTTGATGCAGATAGTGAAAATGAAAATGAAAATGAGAGTATGAAGAATTCAACTCTTGCTGAAAAATAATAATCATTAAATTCAAAAGACTAAGAAGGGTTTAATTTTTAATAAACATCCCATAATCTCTAAGAATTAGTAACTCCTACTTAAGGAATATGTTAGGAAGTTTGAGTTTATAATAATTATCATTCTGCAAATTCAAAAGTACCTCAATATATAATTGTATGATTATATTGTTTAGTATTTTAACTATTTTTTTTATTATTTTATAATATTGATTGTAATATCAAATGTTTTTTTTAAATAGTTTTATCTTTAGAATAATTAATTCACTAGATCTATATTATTTAATCTTAATTCAAAACAGTTTTAAAGATTAATTAATATTAATTATTTTAATGTACAATAATATAAATTCTTTTCATTTTTTTTATTCTTATAAATACTTTTAGACTAAAATTGATGATAATCCAACTGCTCCATTTGATACTACAAATATCATGAAATCACATAATGCAATATTTTTTATATTATTAAAATCAAATGATTCTACTCTGTTCAATGATATTATACATTAATATATCAATAAATAATACATTGGTGATCTAAAATTATATAATATTACATATATATTACTTGGCTAATTTCATACTTTTAATTCCCCAATTTGATTTTAAGCTACTTTCATCATTATAAGTCATTATTTTAGTTTAGAAATATTGAATTAATGCAAAATATAACAAATCAAATGTGTTATTAAATAATTTGTTAAATACAATTTAATGACTAACCCTTATTAATGACAAAAAAGGTAAAAGTCCATAATAAATATGAAAAAGTATTTATTATTTTATTGAATTTGCTTAAGGATTGTCTAAAAATTATTATTTAAATTCTCCATATGCATCTTATATGTTTAATGATCCTATGGCCATACCTAGAAATATTCCAACCAATTAAAGAGCAAATGATATTCCTATTGTTAATAATCCACTAATATTAAAATCTTAATATAACAAAATTACTATCTAAAATATATTAAATATTCAAATACAAGTAGAAGATTTTAAGATAAGAACCAAAGTAACCTTGATTTTCTGTAAGAAGTACGTCTAAGCTTAACTAATGCCCACCAAATTGAAATTCCATTAATAATTGAGGATGCAATAAAGCAAATTAATAATGAAAATCCTGACATCTATTGTAAAAACAATGCAAACAATAATTATGCTGTATTAGCAATAGTACTAATGAGTATTAATAATGTTGGATAGCTAATGAATAATTCAAAATGTATTAGAGTATTGTTATCTTATATTATTATAATATATTACCTTATTAATCATCATTTTCTTTATAATTTTGGACCAATGAAATTATTAGTATTTTTTAAGTAATGTATAATATGGTTGTTAAAGATGCAAAATTAAGGTGATGATAAATATCGAATTGATTAAATAAATAATTCATTTAATTAGTAATTATACTAATAATTCTTTATCATGAAAAAATATATTATTCAATAAGATAAATTAATCATTTTATGATAAAAATAGAAACATATAGTTAAAAATATATTTTCTATGATTTGTAGCATTATTTTTATTTATATTTTAGTTATAGGAATTGAAGAATTATTTTAATTCATAAACAAATTAATTCTTTTAAGATTATGTGTTAAGGTAATTTAAATTTAGTAATCCCGGCAATTTCTAATGTTTTAATAATATTATTAAGTACGCATTATCTTTAATTTATATAGTCTGGATTGGCTTTAATAATATTATTAAGATTTTAAAATAAGATATTAATTACTTTATTTAAAATGAATTAACAAATTTCATATGATGAATTTGATAGCAATCATTCTACAAAGAGTTGGTATTATACATATTTTATAGATTTAGTGAAAGTATTTCAGATGAATAATTGGATGAAGTAATACCTTGCAATAAAAAGGATAAAAAGATTTCCTACAAAGTTAAAGTCAAAACTGAAGTATATTTGTTAATAAATCCTGTTTAGATTTGTAAATATTGGGCCATTGAAGGATATTGCCCTTATGGTTAATAAGTATTATATAAAATTAAAAGTTAGTGTGCCTTTGCTCATGGAAAAGATGAAGTGAGATAAAAAATCCATGTTCCCTCTAATTACAAGACTAAAACATGTAAAAATTATACTTAAGATGGGTATCAATAATAATTTATATTATAAGTTATTGTTGTTATGGAGAAAGATGTCAATTTAAACATCCAGAGAAGAAATCTAATAAATTACCAACTATCCCTTACTAAATATTATTAGCCAATATTAATCTCTTGTTTGCTTCTAAAAGGTAAATATATACACTTATTATAGTAAATTATAAAAAAGAAGTAAAGGATTACCAAAATTAATTAAAAACACTAACAATCCTTAATGATTAAATACTATATTTATATGTTTTGTAAATAATATACAATTAAAATATTCTCATTAAACATTATATATTTTTTATTATAATATAGATCTAGTTTGTTTATATTCAATTTAGTATATAATCTATAAATTCAGAATATTTGTTATTCTAAAATCATATTTTCAGGAAAATATATCACTGTGATTAGATAAATAGACTATAATATGAAATATATTAGATAATGTAAGAAAAACATTAAAATTTATAAATCCATTAAATAAATATATATGAAATTTAAAAAGAATATCAAAAAAGTATTCTCTTATGGATTTCATAAGTAATATTTGAACATTTGTTTAAGTGTTAATTGTTAAATATTCAAAATATAAAATATTATTATATAATTATATATTTTCTATAATTTACACTCCCAAAAATCCTAGTTTCCAGTATTAAATTCCTTAAATAATTATTGATTAAATTATATTACTATCATTTAATTGATAAATTTGTCTAGTTTTAAAAATATCCTTATTTAAAAACCACAAATAAAAATTCTATCTGGTTATAGATAGTAGAATCTGCAAATAACCAGTGGAATTTCTTATAAGATTCATTTCATAATAGGTTTTTGTTATGTATATATATATATATATATAATATGTAATCATAAGTTTTATATAAGGGTTTATCAATCAAAAATCTAAATTCTTTATCCTTTAGCAGAGTCATCAATATCTCTTTATCTTTAATCTTCTTCGTCTGTTTGAGGTTTGTTAGCTTTGAAGAGTAATTTTATTTTTTCTGAACTTTTTCCTATTATAAATAAATATAATCTACCTCTTATTTTTAAAGCAATATATACACAGGATAGATCAACTAATGTATCTATGCCAAGAAGTTCTGCTGCTTGAATAATTTGAGATATTTCTTGAAAGTCAATTGAAGTAATAAAATTAGCATCTTTAAAATTCACAATATCATAGCTATATTTAATAATATCAAATACATTAGATTAGATTTGAAAGGTCTTGATATTTATGGGATAGAAACATCATCTTAATGTATTTCACAATATTATATTACTTTTCTTAAAATGTTACTGTTTATGCCAGCAAATTTAATTACTTCTAAATTAGTGTTACTAACTTTAGTACAATATTTTAGTGCTTTATTATTAATCTAATTCGGAAAAATATTTACATTAAATGTTAGATCATCTTAAGAAATAAATTACATATTTTTTATTTGATTTTATAAATTTAATTATTGATTTATTAAAGTATTAAATATAATCAATAATATTATCTATGAATTGTCAATATAATATTCATGACATATCCATTTAATTAATAGAATTTTATTCCATATATTTTGATTTATGATGATCTGATAATTAGAAAACAGAAATATATGAAACCGATTAAATTTCATTATCATTTTCTAAATTTGCATCTTAAATCAATTCTATATGATTATCTATTATTTAATCTAAATACTCTGTTACCATTTTTTGGATAAATAGATTTAATTAATTTTCTTAACCTTATGTTTTAATACTATTTTCCTAAAATGATAATGATTATTTCATTTCATAGTCTTGTTTTGCTAGAAGTCCAGGAGAAAATAAAGATAGAGTTTAAGATTAATTTAATTCAATAATTGACAATCTTTCCATTTCTTATCTAGTTTTTGTTATCTTTTATAACACAAAATATATGCACATTTCATTAAAATTTTTTATTAAAAAATGAATAAAACCTGCTAAATTGTATCTTAAATTATTTATTGCAGCATTAACATAACAGAAATCTCTTACTTTTCGAGCATCAATATAATTATCAAAATATACCCATTTCAATTTTTATTTCTAATTTTCAAATGCCATTTTGTATTCTTTCCCTTTAATATCTTAAGTCATTATAATTTCAGGTATTAACTCAACATATTCTAATAATTTCTCAGAAGAAATATTTTAAGATTTTAATTTTTATTATATTAAACCATTTTTAGTTATTCTAACTTCTCTAAGTAATTTTGAAGATGTAAATTTTGAATTTTTTATACAAGCATAAACTTTATTTATTTTATGAGTGTAATTTGAATTATTTATTTTCTATGCTTATCCACCTTTTTTAGTAATTATTGCAAACATTTAATTCAAACAATCATAGTATGATTCAGAATATATAGGATTCTAAAAGAAATACTCTTATATTTCTAAATATTCTCTGAAATATTCACAGTATATTTTTGAATTTATATTATTTAGTTAATGGATCATATTCTTAAATTTCAATATGATTATTTATTATTCTAATTCTATTGAATTAAATGATTACTAATAAATTTTAAACCTTCGTTTTCAAGAACAGAAAATATACATTTCTTGAGCTTTTAGGAAGTGGCAATTATGGATAAGTATGGAAAGTTGAAGATGATAAAAAAGAAAAATATGCTTTGAAGATATAACAATAATTAGATAAACGCGAATAAGAGATTACTGAAATACTTTCAAAATTTTCTTATAGAAACATTGTTAATATAATAGGATTGGAAAAATTTAATGATAAATACTTCTGTATTTTAATGGAATGTTGCGAATAAAACTTATATGAGAGAATATAATAAAAAGTATTTGATGAAAAGGAACTCAGATATATTTTAGTAAGTATAGCTGATGGACTAAAAGTGTTACATGATAATAATATTACACATAGAGATTTGAAGCCAGAAAATATTATGATTAAAACTATTTAGGATTCTACGAATCCTCAAAATAAGTAACAAATATATAAAATTGCAGATTTTGGCTTATCTACAAATAATGATATCTGCTAGACTTAATAAGTGGGAACTTGTTATTATATGGCACCTGAACTGATTAATAATCAACCCTATAATAACAAAGTTGACATATGGTCTTTAGGTGCAATTATATATGAACTACTTACAAATCAACCATTATTTAATGGTGATTCCTAACAGCAAATCCTAAATCAAATCAGTAATTTCTACAAAAAAGAAAACTAAGATATTTTTCATTAAAAAATATCTTTTATTAAAGATAATCAATACTAAACTCTAATAAAAAAGATGTTAGAACCTAAATAAGAATATAGAATCAATATAAATGAAGTATTAAGCCTGTTGAGAACCAGATATAGCTCTCCACCAAAAATTTAACCGTTATTCTAACCTAGAATTGAGGATACTAAGAGTAGATTATTTAATCATCGTATAACTTATGAAGAAGATAAAAAAAATAAAAATTAATTTAAATAGTTAATCAATATATAGCAGTTTAATAAACCTAAACAAAACAATTTACCTAATTTTAATTAGAATTTTGATATCCCAAGAATTTTTACGCCTAGAATTGTTCCTCAATTCCAAAATGATAATCAAATATAAAATGGTAGTCAAATACAAAATGGTAATCAAATATAAAATGGTAGTCAAATACAAAATGGTAATCAAATATAAAATGGTAGTCAAATACAAAATGGTAATCAAATATAAAATGGTAGTCAAATACAAAATGGTAATCAAATATAAAATGGTAGTCAAATACAAAATGGTAATCAAATATAAAATGGTAGTCAAATACAAAATGGTAATCAAATATAAAATGGTAGTCAAATACAAAATGGTAATCAAATATAAAATGGTAGTCAAATACAAAATGGTAATCAAATATAAAATGGTAGTCAAATACAAAATGGTAATCAAATATAAAATGGTAGTCAAATACAAAATGGTAATCAAATATAAAATGGTAGTCAAATACAAAATGGTAATCAAATATAAAATGGTAGTCAAATACAAAATGGTAATCAAATATAAAATGGTAGTCAAATACAAAATGGTAATCAAATATAAAATGGTAGTCAAATACAAAATGGTAATCAAATATAAAATGGTAGTCAAATACAAAATGGTAATCAAATATAAAATGGTAGTCAAATACAAAATGGTAATCAAATATAAAATGGTAGTCAAATACAAAATGGTAATCAAATATAAAATGGTAGTCAAATACAAAATGGTAATCAAATATAAAATGGTAGTCAAATACAAAATGGTAATCAAATATAAAATGGTAGTCAAATACAAAATGGTAATCAAATATAAAATGGTAGTCAAATACAAAATATTAATCAAATACAAAATGGTAGTCAAATAAAAAATATTAATCAAATACAAAATGGTAGTCAAATACAAAATGGTAGTCAAATAAAAAACGATCCTCCATTTTTTCCCTAGAATAATGTAAACAAAAATGGAGTTACCTATAAATAAAATTACTAATAAAATTAAATGTTGATGATACCTAAAGAATTATAATAATATGGAAGCCCTACCTATTATTCTCCTTAACGTGAAAATAATTATGGTTTATAGGATTAATAGGTTAGATCTAAGACACCAGAAAATGAATTCAATTACTCATAAGTAAATTAATAAAAATGATCTTATGAATAAATTAATAATATAAATGAATACCTAATTTGCATCAATCATAAATTTAGATAAATTAAGTTTATTTTTTATAATATAAAAAACAATATAATATTATAATAGATTAAGTCTATTGTAATAATAACTATATTAAAAAATAAACTATCATGATTCAAGCAACAATTTTATAATGTTCTGCACTATGATTACTTCCTCTTGATTTATTAGCATATTATGTTAATGGATATTTAATTGGTGATTTTGATGTTGGCTAACTTTCTTTTGATTAAAATATTTTTGCAATAGCATATAATTTGTCTGTAGAAACAGAATAATTAAACTATAATTCTTTAATTTTACTCAATAATAGATGTCTGTTGAAATCTTCTGTCATTTACTATATTATCATAATAAATACTTATTATTTCACATTTTATTATTATGATGTTTTATTCATTAATGATTACTAACTAGCAAGATTAGATACTGCAATTTTAGGACTGGCTAAATTATCTATTTGTGAAATCTTTTACAAAATATTGGTGCCTTTAATTTAATTTAACAAATTAATACTGTTTTTTGAAACAGATGTTGAAACTATTCTTGGTGAAGAAGCTGCAGTAATATTTCTAGCTACTTATCTTTAACTTGAACTTTATCTTTCATTTTTCGAAGATGTTAAATCTTCATAAGTCATTCTATTTATTAATGTATAAATTTTTCCATAATCCAGAGGCTAAGTTTATAATAAACTTAAAAATTATTCCCAACTCTCTGATATGTATGCTTATTAATTTTAGGGATAATTTATCAAATTGATTCTAATGAATTAATCAAATAGAGCAAAAAGAGAGTCCATTTTAAATTATTTAACGATTAAAAAAATTCTGAAATTTATATCAGTCATATTAATAATATATATAAAAATAGATAAATGATTCTTAATCTCTCTATAATATATTCTATTAATCTACATAAATATAAATAGTAATTATAAACAAATCAAGAAGAAATACTCTTTATAATTAATTAAAGTTATAGAATAAAAATAAATTAAAATCACTTTTTCCACTTTTATTAGTAATAGCTATATTTAATATTGTGATTTTAATTAAAATTAAGTTATATGTTTTATCCATTAATATTTTGGATTTCTGGAATATTTTAATTCAATAATTATTATTAAATCGGAAAATTGTTTGGTATCAAGTCAGGTATAAAAAAGCTCCTTTTAAAATTGGTAATCTTATGTTATTATTATTGATTGGAAGCTTCAATAATATTACAACTTGTACTCCTATTTCTTATTATATTTTCATCTTTATTCGATAATTTGTTAATAACTTAATATATATCATATCTCTCAACAGGATTATATTTTAACATATTGGTTACTAATTCAAAAAAACATTCATCTTCAATAATTGAAAGTTTTTCATTTAATAATTTTTAATTCTCAGCCATATTTGAGTTTTTAATTTTTTCATAGATTTATTAAATTGTAAAACCTTCAAATAATGTTTTTCCTTTAATTAATTCATACACAATAGTTCCCAAAGACCATATGTCAACTTTATGGTCATAAGGTTAATTAATATCATTAATTAGCTCTGGAGCCATATAATAGCATGTTCCTATATATTTAGTCTAGGCTTATTATTATTACAAAGATAAACCGAAATCTGCTATTTTATATATAATTTATGTTAATTATTCATTATTTTTATCTGTCAGGGTTTAAATAAGTATATTTTCAGGCTTTAAATCTCTATGTATTATTTAATGAGAATGTAAAAATTATAATCCTCTTGCAATACTAATCATAAAATATCTTAATTCTTTTTAATCTAATAGTTTGTTATTTATTTTTTCATATAAATTCTATTCACAACATTCCATTAAAATAAAAACCTTTTGGTCTTGGATAGAAAAGTCTAATATATTGACAATATTTTTATGATGATTTTTTTAAAGCCACTTTGTTATTTCTAATTCTTTTTCAGACATCTAATTCACAATTTTTAAAGCAAATTTATTATCTTTATTTCGTTCTTAAACTTTATATACAATTCCTTATGTTCCTAAAGGAAAAACTTCTAAAATTTTATAAACTTTCAATTTAAATATCAAACATTATCCTTTCCCAAATGTAGCATCAAAATAATTTTTCATAATAGAATTCAAATAATTAAATAAAATTATAATTAATTTTTGTTTATTTTTTATCTTTAAATAACTAAAATAAGAAAAAATCTTTATAGATTGATAATTTATCATCAAAATATCCATATCTCAATGAATTATAAAGACTTAGTAAATTTAGATGATATTTTCCTTATGAACTCATTTAGCAGATTATGAATATTTGAAGTTAAAAGAAGTTGACCCTTAGAAACCTAAACTTTCAAAGTTAAATTGAAATTTTCATAAAACAGCATGAAAATTTGAATTTTATAATAAAATATGAGGTACTCAATAACAATGATTGTAAATGATCAGAGAATTTTAATCATAAAATTAAATAGAGATTTCAATAATTTCTAGAATTCTTAAACTGTTATTATAACATTCTTTGTTTTTACTTAAATTTTAATAATAATAGCATTTTCAAACGGTTTAATTTAAAACTATGGAAATAAGTATCCATGATTGAATTTTTCATTTTAAATTATTCTACAAATTAAAATAGATTTTATTTCTAAATTAATGAAAAGGATTTAATTAGTATAAGATTCTTATTATAAAACTATCAAATCAATTTATTAATTCTAATTCTGAATTGAGCATTTGTTAAATTCTTTCATAAATGCCCAATTCTTAAAAGAATACATTAAATATTAAGATATTCGTAATATCAAACACACAGATCTATTGAAATTCCATAAATATTAAAATATTTCAATTTAAAAATAAAGAAAGATAAGGTTTAGTTAGTTCTTTTTAGAAAGACAAAAAAATATTTTACTAAATTTAAATAGTTCTAATAATTCAAAGACTACTAGATAAAATATTAATATCTATACCAATATTTAGAAATAGTAGGATTAATACTGATATGTTGAATATATCGGTAAAATAGTACTAATGGTGAACCAAAATTAAAATTAATTAATGAATTAAGAAAAAGAATGGAATCTGGATAGTTGGAAAAAATATCCAGCATTGTAATAGCCATTATATTAAGATTAATATTTATAGTAATCAGATCTATTATAATAGTTAGGAGACTGTTTAAAAATTAAGAAAACTTCCAGGAATCTTAAATTTTGAAGAGATAAATAATTTCAAGAATGAAATGATAAAGGTAAGTAGAGGAGATTAATTTGTTTTGCAATTAGGAGATTGTGCAGAAGTATATAATGAATGTACAGAATAACATTGGAAAGAGAAATTTAGTTTTTATGATGTATAAAATATAAATAATGAAGAGTATGGGTTAAATAATAAATGGATTAGTAATAGGAAGAACTTGTGGATAATTTGCAAAACCTAGAACATAATTACATGAAAAAGATGGAACATTAAATTATAGAGGAGATTTAATAAATTCATTAAATAGAGATGATAGAGATCCTGATCCTTTGAGATTACTTTTAGGTGCACATTACTCAAAAAAAGGCATAGATACACTTCGTAAATATGAAGGTAAATAATTATGGGTGTCACATGAATGTTTGCATTTAGGATATGAATCTGCATTTATTAAATAACATGATGAAAATCAATATTATCTATCAAATACTCATTTTCCATGGATAGGTGACAGAACTAGATTGTGTGAACATGCTCATTCTAATTTTGTTAAGGGAATCTATAATCCAATTGGAATTAAGGTATTATATTTATTAATTATAGATTGGATCAAGTATTAATAAAAGTGAGTTTATTAATGTAATTAAAATATTGAATCCAAACAATGAAGATGGTAGAGTATTTGCTATAATAAGATTAGGAAAGAGTAAATTAGATAAATTAAAAGATATTATTAATTGGAAATAAGAAGAAAAATTAAATGTCTCATTTTTTCTAGATCCTATGCATGGTAATAGTTTAGAAAAGAATGGTTATAAAATTAGAAGGATAGAAGATATTATGTTTGAAATATAATAGTTTTTTAATATACTTGAATAAAGTAATGAAAAACCAGCAGGATTACATTTGGAATGCACTCCTTATGATGTAAGTGAATGTGTTGAAAATGATGAGGAAATAAATCCAAAATTATATAATACTGCATGCGATCCCAGATTAAATTTTAGATAAACTAGAAAAATCATTGTTTTTGTTAATACTCTTTTAAAAAAGCTTAAGAAAGAATAATGAAAATTAATCTTTATATATATAAATTAAATTATATTAAGGAAATATATATATATTATTAAAATTGTATAGAATATACTCATAAGCAAGATACTATTACAAGTTAATGGCCCTCATAATGCATCCATAATTAATCCAACTCTTTATCCGAAATCAGAGTTCTTAATTCTTTGAACAAGTTCTGGATATTATTTCAATATGCTTTTTAAATATTGTACAGATGGATCTCCACTAATCAGCACTTTTTTCATCACATAATTACCAAAAGGATTGATAGATAAATTGTAAAATACAAATCTAAAATATACTGATTTAATTACTAATCATTTGAAATTGAACATAATATGTTAATAATTTAATTAGGCCCAATAATATCTATATACTTTTCCACAGTGTTACTTCCAAATTTATTTATACTTAATTATTCAAAATTATCCTTAATAATCTAACAGATTATTTATTTCTCTTTTGGAGGTCCACTCTTTAATAGATATTGTATGATATAATTTCCAAATTCCTAATAACATAATTAAGATGCAAGAGTCATCAATATATCCATAATTCTTTAGGTTTATTCTACTGGATATATCTCTAATACTTTTTAAATGACTCTACAACCATAAGTTTGTTTTGACATAAATTACAACTACAATAAATTTATTAACAAATTACCGAATCTTCTATCATTGGAATAATAAAGATTAATTAATTTTTGTTAAACAACTCAAAACATGATAGGATAACATAATTTCCATTAGGATCATTTAATAATGGATTAATTTATTAATACAAAATTTGTAAAAATATCTCTAATTATTCTGGATAATCTCTTTTAATTAATAATTTAGTTACTTTATAAATTCCATCATTTTCTAAACTACTCTACATGCATATTAATTTTTTGACAATTCAAAGATGTGATTAATTAATAGATTATATATTCTTTATTTTTAATCTTGACTTCCAACTTCAAAGATCTTTTGAACTGTATAATTTCCAAACATATCTTTTGAAGCTTTTAAGCATATCTTTTCTACTTAATTAAAAATCAATCTTTTTGTATTAATATCATTGCTATCCAATATATTTTGCAATTTTCGATTGATTAACTAATTTCCACATATTTATTCCTTTATATTAAAAATTATCTATTTACAAGATCTGTTTGACTCAAAGATAATTTACCATCTATACATTAATCACTGGTAAAGATTAATGAAGGATTTTAATATTCAATAGGTTGCATAGTATGATGCTTCTTAGTTGATTATTTTCTTTGTAACTAACCAAAGGAATCAAAGGCTATAAAAACTAAAAAAATAATTATACATTAAAAATGATCATATGAACAAGTGTTATCTTAATCTGCAGTTTATTGTAAAGCACTAGAAAATTAAGACTAACTATTTATTTCATTATAAACATATATATACATTTCTATTGATGTTTAAGTTTAGAAAAATATTCGTTATTTCTAATGTGATTAATATCCTGTAGATAATATGCTTGCATTCGAAGTCTGAAATTCTTGATGTTTTGGATGAATTTGAGGATCGAATTCTTTTGATTTCAAAGATAAGTTCTTTCTTGCTTTTTTTGGGATGATTTCTTGTTTGTCATCTTAATCTACAATAACAAATTCATCATTACCACTTAATATGGATCCTATCAAGTCTTTCTCTTCACTTTAAGAAGCCATATTAATTAAAATTTTGTTTATCAAGTGATTAATTATAATATCATATTAAGAGTACTCAAATCTAACTTAATTCACTCTAATAAATAATACTATTATGATTAATGCTTTTAAATATATATTATATTACATTAATGATACATTATAAAATAAAAATAATTCAATTTAATATGTTGGATCAACTTTTTGTTTTTCTAAAACTTCTTATATAAATGTTCATATATTAATAATCATATATGAGTGTTCATAAATTTAACTATTAATACAATAAATCTTATAATAATATATTATATTTACTATTTGAAATCAATTAGAAAACAATTTAGAACTTTGGAATAAAAATTATTAAATTTACATTGTAATAGGTTATCCAATAAAAACGAAATGATAAATTTATATTTTTGTGTCTTTTATTAAAAAGACCTAAAATTGCAATATATTGCTAAGTGTATTAGAATTTTAAATATTAACAATACAAATAAATATTTGAATTTTAAATTTTATGAATAAAGGACCAAGAGCAGTATAATTAATATCAGTAGATGAAAATAAATGTAATAATATACATAATATAATCAGAACTTAAGTTAGAATAGGAAGCTATTGAAATAATCTAATCATTTAGCGATAAATGCAAAAATTTTGCAGTTGTAGTAGTTGTGGGCAAATATAGAACAGGGAAGAGTTATTTAATTAACTAAGTACTATTACAATAGAATCAAGGATTTAATGTGGGAAGTACAGTCAATGCTTGCACAAAAGTATTAAAAGGATATAAAATATTAATAGGGATTATGGATGTGGAGTGAAATTATTCATTTTGAATCTGGAAGATCTAAGGAATCTATTCCTGCTATTTTAATTGATACAGAAGGTATAGGTTCATTAGAAGAAGAATAAAATCATGATGTTAAAATATTTCTATTGGCAATGTTGATGAGCTCATATTTTATATATAATAGTGTTGGAACTATAGATGATATGGCATTATAAAATTTAGGATTAATTGTATACATCTATTTACTATTAATTAGGTTAATCTAACTAAAATGTTATAAAAAACTGATGAATCAACTCAGAAAGATCTCTTTGAGACATTTCCTTCATTTTTATGGATTCTTAGAGATTTTACATTAAGATTAGAAGATGAATTTGGAAATAAAATTACACCAAAGGATTATTTAGAAAATGCATTAAAACCATTAAAAGGATTTAGCGAAACAATAGAAAATAAAAATAAAATAAGAAGACATATTACATAATTTTTTTAAGAGCGTGATTGTATGACACTAGTCAGACCAACATAAGATGAAAAAGATTTATAGCATTTGTCTTAATTGAAATTCACAGAATTGAGAACTGAATTTTAAGAATAATTGACTGCTTTAAGAAAGAAATTTTCTTATAAGATTTCATTAAAATAATACAAGGGAAAACCAACTACACCCTATAGTTTTGTTGAAATGTGCAAGTAAATATTTATTATTGATTATAGACATTTTGTGAATACTATTAATGAAGGTAATATGCCAGTTATTGAAACATAATGGTAAATGATATGTAAATAAGAATTAAATAGAACACTTATAGGAGGTTTAAAAATTTATAAAGAGAGTATAGATGAATTATTACAATAGAATGGAATTTCATAAGAATAATTAGAGAAATCTCATAATATTGTAAAATATCATAATTTTATATATAGTTTTTGAGAAAAGTAAAGTATTATTTGGAGAATAATTGTTTGGACAAGGAAAGTGAAGAATTCAATACAGCAAAGAAAATGATTAAGTAATAAATTTAAGAATTATATGTTGATGCATAATAAAGATTAAATAAGAAACATGAAGAATAATTAGAGGAAATTAAGATATAATTTTTAAATAAATTAAATGAATAATAATAATAAGATAATATTTGGGAATTAGTAGTTGAATGGAATTAGAAACAAACTATGATTTGGAATAGTGGGGCTAATCAAAATTTATAGATTGATTATATTCAATAGATACAATAAAATGTAATGAATAAGATTTAATTTGAATTCAAGAAATTAACATTATAATTAAAGTAATAACAAATTTATATTTAAGATAATAATGTGATAATGGAAATTAGATATAAGAAGATTTTAAAGAGTAGAAATAAAGATATAAAAAATAAGAAGATGATTTATATGAGAAAATTACATAAATAGAAAAGGATAAAAATTAATTAAGGATAGAATTAGAATCTGAAAAAAATAAGAATTTAAGATAACAATAATAAATTTTATAATCTCAAACAACTGTGGATAATAAAGTAAGTGAATATATGAATAAATTGAAATAAATTGAAAAATCATATAATGATTAATTAAATGAAAAAGATTCACTTATTTAAAATTCAGAATTGAAATAAAAATAATATTAAAATGAATTAGATAAAGTTAAAGCTCTATAAAAATAATAAGATAATTTAAATCAATAAGAAATAACTAATTTAAGAAGAGAAATTGAAAGATTAAAAGATGAGATATCAGATAAATCAGAAACTATTACTAAATTAAAATAAAGTTTAGCAGAAACAGAAAATGTTTCTTAATATTCATCATTATAACCAAGCAGAAGAATTAAAAATTAAGATGAACATAATACATCCACTTTTAATAAAGATTTATATGAATATTAAATTTAAACTTTATAAGCATAATTAGATGAATAAAAGAAATTAACACAAAATCTATTTGATGCTTTCAATAGTTAAAATAATTTATAAAAATCTATGTATGATTATATGTCATTATCTCAAAATTTAATGAATAATAATAAACTATATTAATTTTTGACTGTCATTCATTAATTAATAGGTTTATATGTAGGAAAATCAGATGAAAGAGAAGGAAAAGATTTTAAATAATTAATTTAAAAATTATTCAATCTTTTTGAAGATAATGATAATAGTTTCATAAATAATAATTTAACAGATAGACCAAAATTAAAAAATAGTGATAGTTAAAGAATTGAAAAAACAATGTCCTCTGAATCTCCTAAAAATTCAAATCTCAGCAATTGTTAAAATATTAATCCATTTAGATCTCCAGATTAACCAAAATATTAAAATACTAAAATGACTATTATGTAAATGTTTATGTAACACAAAAATAAAGAAAAAGATTAAGAAAAATTAAGAAAAAGTGCATAATTGGAAAATGTATTAAAAAATAGAAATAATATGCATGTTTAAAGAAAACTGTATTGATTTTAATTAGTGCAATCATCTATTATTATAAATAATTATAAAAAATATTCTTATTCTTATTAATCATATATTTTTTTAATAATTTAATTAATATTTATCTATATATAATCATTAAGTAATTCAAATATTCTAGAATTATAGATATTATGTAAGGTTGTAAATAATATTTAAATCTATTTTTTTCATTATTCACAATATAAATCATTTAATAAATTTATAAAATTAATAACTTAATTTATTTCAGGTTAACAATGCAATTATTGACTAAGAACGTTCTAAAAAGATTTACTAATATGCCTTTTCTTAGTTTTTCATCTAAGAAAGATCTTTATGGTAATCTTTATTAATTTAAACCAAGAACTATTGGGAGTACCAAGAAATGCTTCCTAAAATGATATTAAGAAAGCTTATTATGGATTAGCAAAGAAATATCATCCAGATGCCAATCCATCCAAAGATGCAAAGGAAAAGTTTGCAGAAATTAACAAGTATAAATAACATGAAATATAGTGCATATGAAACATTATCTGATGACAACAAAAGGAAAGTATATGATTAGGTTGGAATGACAGGAGATGAATAAGACTAGGCAGGAGCTTAGGATCCATTTGCAGCATATAGTAGTTTTTTTAGATAAGGAGCAAGAGGAGGAAAAGCATAAGATTTCTAATTTGATGAATCAATTTTTGGAGATTTTGCATCATTTTTTAATATGGGAGGAGAATCTGAGAGATAATTAAAAGGAGCTGATATTTTTATTTAATTGGAAATATCATTTATGGATAGTGTAAATGGGGCATAATAGACAATATAATTTGAGAAGATTGGAGTTTGTTCTACTTGTAATGGAACTAAATGTAAACCAGGAACAGCACCTGGAAGATGTACTAATTGTGGTGGAAGAGGTTCAATTAATTACAGATAAGGAGCTATGACTATATAAATGGCTTGTACTAAATGTAGAGGAACAGGAATATCAATTAAGAATCCTTGTAATCTTAATTTATAATAAATAGGTACAACTTGTAAGGGAGCTGGAATATAGAAGTAAGCTACATCTGAAGCCGTAAATATTCCAAAAGGGATAGCTGATGGATAGAATTTAAGAGTAACTGGTAAAGGAAATATTGGAGAAAATGGGGGAAAGGCTGGAGATTTGATAATTAAAATTTAGGTTAAACCAGATTCATATTACAAAAGAGATGGATATGATTTAATTACAAATGCTTATATTTCTGTTGCTTAGGCAGTACTTGGTGATTAGGTTAAGATTAAAACACTTAATGGAGAATAGTAAATTAATATAAAGCCAGGTAGTTAGGATGGAGAGAAAATCAGATTAAGTGGATTTGTAATTTATATAGTTAATTTTAGGGAATTACTAAATTGGCACCTAATTCTAATCAAAGAGGTGATTAAGTTGTGAATCTTAAAATTTAAATTCCTACTAAATTGACTGAACAATAAAGATAGCTTTTTGAAGAATTAGCAAAAGTATTATTTTAATATATATATTATATAGTTAGAAAAGGGTGAAACATAAGGGACATCATCTGTTCATGAAGGTGTCTTTGAAAAGGTTAAGAATATCTTCAATAAATGAAATCTATATCCAATTGTTTATAAAACCACTTATTTATTATTTTATGTTAAATATTAATACTCAAGGAGAAAAACTAAAATAAAGTGCCAATTATATTAAAGTATAATTTAAACTTCACATATTTAGACTCTTTAAAAAGAAGTCAGTGAATTCAAAGAAAAAATCAATAATCTAGAATTTGAATTATCAACTCTTAAATTCTTAGAATAATATATCTAATATGAAATACCAAAACAAGATGAAATTAATGAAGATAGAGTAATTAATTGATTGAATTTAGGAAAGAGAAAAACAAGAAACCTAAACAAAATTAAATAAATTACTTAAAGAGATAGAAGATCTTAAAGATTCTAATTCCGATTTGTAAACTTAAATAAAAACAAAGGATTAATAAAAATAAGAAATAATTGAAAAACATAAATTAGAGCTATAAAAAAAGCAATAGGACTATGAGAAATGTTAAGCTGAATTAGAAGCTAAAAACAAATTATTTGATGAAATGAAAAAAAAAGAAGAAGAAGATTATGCAATTATTTAAGAGGGTTCTACAAATAATTCACCTATAAATGAAAGAAAAATGCATGATATACAAAAATATTAAATAGAAAATTAAAGATTAAAAAATGAATACTAATAATTGAAAAAAGAATATGATAATTTAACTAATATTTTTAATGATTTAGTTAAAGAAAGACATAAATAAGATGAAGATAATCAATAATCTGTGAGAGATTGGAAAACTAAATATGATTAAATAGCTAAACTTCGTGATTCTGATAAAGAAAGTTTTTAATCTTAATTAGAAGATAAAACTAAAGTTATTGGTAATCTTTAATAAAAGCTTTACTAAATTTAAAAAGAAACCAGTACTAAAGAAACATAAACACGTTTCTTAACAAGATAAAAAGATAGGTAAAATTGATTTAATTTCTAAGTTCTGTTTCATTTTAATGTGATGACGAATAAATAGATGTATTAGATAAAACCTTAGCTATCATATCAAATAGTTCAGTTTAATAAATTATTACTTTATGTTAAACATAGGGAGAAGAAAATGATTTATTAAAAGAACTCAAAAGAGTAATTGAAGAAACAATAAACATTGTACATTAAAAATTAGCAACATCATTACCTTCTATTATTAAAACATGTTGTGAAGTGAAAGATTCTTAATCCATTTCATTGATTTTATGAAATATATATGCTTAAATATTTTAAATACTTTATAAATAGATTAATTGTCAATACTCTATTATTATTAATAAAAATAATTGTAAATAAACTTGTTAATTTTCATCTTTTGATATGAATTCATTAATTTTTATATATATGTTTAATATTATTAATCAATCATTTTAACTCAAAAATAATGCAACACCAGCTATGATTTTATCATTCATTTGACCAGATTGTAGTAATTTAATTCTGCATAGTAATTTCTCTCTGCTGGCATTTAAATAAATTGGGAAATCCTAAAAATATTATAAAATATTAAAATTACCCCTAATCCATTCTTTTCTGGTTATGATTTCTCCACATATGAGATATTCAAAGGAGGTAATTAAATAAATTCCGAAGTTATTTTCATATCATCAATCAATTAACCATTAGAAAATCCACAACCTTATAATAATAGATTTCTTAATTTAACTACAAGAGGATGTTTAAGATTGTCAAAATCTGCTTATAATTTTAATTCATTTAATGGAATATTTAATTTTCTAGCAGTTTTTTATCTAAGTGCATTCATATATATTTCAGGATGGAATAACTCACTTAAATCAACTTCATCTAATTATTATTTTCTTTATATCTTTTCAATCCATAATTTAATAGCATTCATTTTCTTAATAAATATTTTCAACCATAAATTAATATCATCAGGTCCTTCCCAGAAATTACTCCATTTCTAAGGAACAATATCTTTGATAAATAATAATCCAATATCTATAATATCACTAGTCAATAAACCATTATTATATAAGACATTCTTCAATTTATCAAAGGAATGATTGATGATCAAATACAAATTCCATGTTTATTATGCTTCTAAATAAATAAATGATTCTATGGGATCTAATGATCCTAATTATTAATTAGAAATTTAGATAGTATCTCTTATTTTTAATTGATCCCACATATTAATTAGAGGACTTAACAAATTAGTCCATAATTCTTTATCAAACTTAATTTCAGATCCTACTATATTAGTCATAGATTTCAATCCACTGACAACTCTCTATATTGTATATCTTTAAACAGCTTTATCAATATTATTAGGCAAACCAAAAAACTCAGGAACATCATTTTCAGGTAATTTATTAATTAAATTAATTAGATCTTTAACTTAATTAGTTTAAGGTATTTATTAACCGGTACTAAGAGTTCCATTTTATAATTTATTCTAATTGAAATATGTTTCTAAATACGCTCTCAAAACCTTTATATCTTATTCATTATCTACTCTACCACCATAAATGGCATTTTCATATAATCCATATAAAGTTTACCAAGAAATTGTTTAAGACTCTTATAATAGATTCTCAATTATTTATACTCCTGCTTTATAGTCTGCATATGAAAATTCATAGAATTTACTCCAACCTTATGGGATATAAGTTCTTCTTTCTTAAACTAAAGCATGGAACCAAGTTAAGATGAACAGCAATTATGTTTAATAAACAGATTATTTATTATGTGTGGGCCAACTAGTTAAAATTCTTTATAAGTTCTTCTTTAATCCTGGAGGTGCTTCATATGACACCTTATAACAAGTTTCAAGAAGAATAGATGGGAATTTCAAATGAGCTTCAGTTGTAAGCCACAATTTGAAATTAGGATGTGGTTTTAATTATTTAATGGTTTTTTCTAATAAAGGAAGGAAACTAATAACTAAATGCAAATTCTTCAAACATACCCACTAACCTTTTTATGCAGCTTCTTTTATCAATGTTAATGCTAATTCATTTTGATTACCTCCCATAGACATTTCTTAAAAGTTCTATTTGCCTATTTGTTATTCAGCAAATTCTTCAAGTTCTTTAGAAGGATCACTACCAGCTGAAACAACAAATAAACATGGAATTTAAGCTGTCAATTCTTCTTAAGCAACAGTTTAAAAATTAAATGTCTAACCACTAACACTTGGTATATCTAAATTAGGACAAACGAATTCATTCAATGCACTTTAAACCCTTTCAGGTCTAAATGTTTATACAATAAGAACTTTTTAAAATGGTTTTAATTTAGTAGATTAAGGAAAGCTTTTTTCACATTCTTAATTATTATTCCATTATTCCCATTCACTTGAATTAAAATTAATATTTAATTTAAGATTCTATAATTATCCAAATATTTCCCTTCTATCTTAAGATGCCCATTTTGGAAGTTGAGCACTATCATTAGGTATTTAATTACCAATCATAAATTACCATTCTTCTTCCTCAATTAATTCAGGTTTACATCCTTTTACTAAATGTAAGGCAAATATTAATCTATCTTATTTGAACAATGAACCAGCTATTTAATTGAAGATATTTCTCAATAAACTTTATCCAGCAAATTCTAATTTCTTTTATTTTGAATCAAAATTCTCTTTAATATCTAAAGTCTTTTAAAATATTTAAATAAAATATGCTAATGAATACTTATACATATTATTTAAATTTTATAAACTTTAAATTAGAATAAAGATTTGAGCACCTTTCTAGGATAATGGTCTATAAACATCTCTTTATGTATCTAAATCTTACTACAATTTTGTTGATTCTTATAAACTCTAAGCAATAACTTATGATTTTGATTTAGTTTAATTTAAACTATCAATTAATACTCTATTCTCTAAGATATTTCCTTATGAATTTGCCAATTCATCTAAAAGTGTCTTTTCCAAATCAGCTAATTGCATCTTCAATTTTTCTTCATTTTCTAATAATTATTGCTTTTTCTATTCCAAATCTGGTTATTCTATATTTATAATAATGCTCAGTAATTTTCCTTCCAAACCACTTCTAGTAACAGTATAATTTATAACTTAAACTAAGGATACGGTATGTGGAGGTAAATGAATAGATGAATTTCTGGTTGTTAAATACATAACAAAATTTTCATTAAAATCTACAGATTTTTCTCCTATCATTACTATCCATCTAGGACCTTAATGTAATAAGTCTTTTCTTAATAATGGAATTAATAATCCTTCTATTTAATCAATTTCTTAAATCACTATAGTTTTACCAAATCTAACTGCTAATTCTAGTTGATTATTGAATTTAGGATCTGTTTGATTTAATATTTCTGCTCCTGATAAAGTTTTCTTTAACCATTCAGTAGCTTAAGTATTAGGATCAATTAATAAAGAAACCTTTGAAGATGAGAATACCATAACTGAATTTTCTATACTTAATTAATCACCTGGTAATCCTAGTGTTTTCCATTTCAATATTTGACTCTCATTAGACATAAATTTTAAGAAATCATATTATTATAATTTTGTTAAATGAACCCATTCTTATAATGTCTTAGATCTAACATTTTCATCTTATGATGATAAATATGTAATATAGGATGCAGATAATAAAGAATCTAAAGGAAATTGTTTTAATTCTTAAGTAATTAAATCATGTTATTATTACCATCTAACTTTTTCTCCTGATAATTTATCTAATAAATTAGATGCCAAACTCACTGTTTGTTCTGCTTTTTCTAAATCTCTTTTAAGTAATTCTGCTTCACTAGTTTTAGATGCAAAATTATTCTTTAATTCTTAAACTTTTTAATCAAGTTAATTTAATGCATCTTAACATTATTTCAATCTATTTCTAGAGGAATCCAATTTTTTACTAATCATTGATAATTCTTTTTCTAATGGTGCTATCTTCTCTAAAACAGTTGCATATTTTAATATTGCTTTTACCCATTCAGCCAATGGTCCTGCTGCCATTGAAGCCCTGTAAATGTTTTATTTTTCAAAAGAATTTGAATGCTTTGCAATTTCTTCTTCAACATCCCTTCTAATATCAGCTGTTATCATATGAGGATCAAAGTCAATAATTTAATCAATTACTTATTTATTACCTAAGAATTTTTTAATTGCTTTCCAATTTATTTCTGTCTACTTAAATACTTTCATAACAGCACATAAAACATCATAAATTGCAGCAGGAGGTTAAGCTAATGATTTCAATTCATCCAAATGTGATTTTGATATTCCTTTAACTGCATTCTATGCTTCTTATACTAAAGGATTAACATCTCTTAATTCATCTTCAACTTTATCTTTTGATACTTTTATTTTGCCTTCTTCTTCTTATAAATATCTTTATAATTATTCTGTTTCTTATCTACGTTCAGCTGCATCTTACATAGCTTTTGATATCTTTTATAAAGCATCATCTGCTTCTAATTGTTTTTTAGATAATAACACTTTCTTTTCTTAAGCTTCTGAAGTTAATTTATTAACTAAATTATTTGCTTCTTATAATTTCTCAAGACCTTTTTGTAAATGATCTGCTTAAGATCCTTTTGATTACATTTTCTTATCCATAATTAAACTATAAGTTTATGTTAAAGATTAAAAGCTTCTTGGATCAGCTTTTTAATTTCTATGTATTTCAACTGCATAACTAATTAATTATTCACTAACAGTGCTATTAGTATTTTAAGTTTCTAATTATTTTTTCATAAATTATAACAAACTCTCTTTTGATAATTAATTTTACCATATAATTGTAGTATTTGTAAATAAAGCTGGATTTTAAGCACAATTAGTTTAGAATTCATGATTAGTGTTGTCCATCACTAAAGCAATTTTCATATTTCTTTTTACTCTTTCATGAAATGCTTCATAAAGTGTTTTACCATAAAATTCTCTCTTTACTTCTTCTGGATTTTATATCAATCTATCTATTTCATCATAACCAAATAATCCTGGAATTTCTCCACTTGAAATTAAGGAATTAACAGTTTCTAAGATTCCTTATTATAATAACACATGATCTTCTAAAATTAATAAACAATTTTTTTATTAGGCTGTTTCCATATATGATTTAAGATCTCTTTTAAATTCTCTAATTCCATAATCTCTACATGTATATGGTTAGAGTACTTCTAAATTGAGCATTGTAGACATTATTTATAAACACATTTTTCTTCCAATACCATTTCTGCCAGCTAATAAGAGTGTTGTTTAACTCTATGAAGATAGGGCTCTGTTTAAAGATGTTAATAGAGATAGTATTTCTTCAATCATTACAACATTTAATTCTCTATTTTCTCTCGAATAAATTTAAACAGCTTAAGAAATTAATTAAATAAAATCTTTTTTTTCAATTTTTGAGAGTGTTTAGAGATTCTAAACAGTTGCAAAATATTATTAAGATTGAATATCTTTGTAATATTTTTTAAAAATTGGTAAAATCGATTAATCGAATTTAAATTACTAATCTTGAGAGATTAATTTATCTCTAAATATTTTATTGAATTCATTGAGTAATGCTTCTGGGAATACTGACTATATATCATTATATCTTTTTAAGGCAAAAATGATTTAAGTGATAGTTCTTGGAGTAAAGAGATAATGTCTTTGTTCATCAACAGTGAATTTAGATTTGATTTATGTATAACATTCAATTAATAATTGAGCACCTTTTTTACTTTGATTATTATCTTTAAATATCAATATTTTCAGATATTCTTAATAGATCTATTATAATTCATCATTAGATGGTTATTCAATATAATAGATTCTAACATTTGCTGTGAATCTAGTAGACAATTAATGTCTACCAATTGTTGAAGGAGGATTCATTGAAGAAACAATTTAGATTTTGTCATCCAAATATACAAATTCTAAATTTTCATCATAGAAACCTCTATGAGTAATTAATTATTAGAGAAAAGCAATAAGTTAAATAGTCTAATATTTATCAGGTTTAGGAAGATTAATATCCTTTAAATAAAGTATTAAACGACTACAATCTTTAGGTTTATATACTCTACCTAATGCTGAAGTAGCTTTAGCACAAATTTAATTTAATTTTTAAATGATTTAAGATGCACTTGTTTAAGCATTACAATTGATTGTGGCTATTTGAATTTTGATAGTCTTTTTAAGTTCTTTAAATGCACTTTAGATTAATAGATTCTTACCACAACCTTCTTCTCCAACAATAATAAATGGATCATTATTGAGAATCCAAGATTATAACATTTAGAGATCTTTTTAATGACCAATAGTTTTGATAACTGGAGGATCATTAACATCTGAGAATTAAGATTCATCAATATTTTAATTGACATATTAATATTTGTCTCCATTTTCATTTAATTCAAGGTTTGAATTAATTAATGTCTAAAATTTCAATCTGATTTCTGGTTAGAAGTTGGAACACAACCCTTACAATAGGAGATAATTGAATTGTTATTTATTTGTTGGTATTCTCTATAACTAAGATAAAATGTTCATAATTAATCCAACTCTAGTAGTTGGTACAACTTATAATTCTTCATAAGAGAAAATTTCATCAAGTATATTGTATAAAGTAGATTCAATTTGATTCAATAACATACTCTTTTTGTCTTCTTCACATTCTAATTTATTAATCCATCTAGTAACTAAAGATTACATACTGATATCTTCATTATTCAAAAATATCATTCCCATTCTACTAACAGTAGCAGGTGATGCATATTATAAATCAGAAGTTTCAAAGATAAAATTAACATTATTCTAAAATGAAATACGTTCACCAGTAGGTAATGTTAATAAATGATTATCATCTAAAACAGAATTTAATGATTCAATCCATTCAGGATCAATATCTCCATCACAAATAATCCAATTTAAAACATCTACTGATTCTTTAACTACTAATCTAGCTGATGCTGTTAATACTCCTTCACTAAATTCTCTTGTGTCATTATTCATATTTCCTAATAATTAACTTCTAGGCATAGATTTAGGATTCATAACATGAGTTTTAACTTATTATCCTAATTTCTCATGTGCTTTCTTTAAAACCTTCCATATTGTAGTTTTACCACAACCAGATGGACCTACTAAAACTACACCCATTCTCTATTTGGTTGCTTCATAAAACTATAGAATCTTTGCAATTTGATTATCTATTTCACTCAATTTCATGCTTTATAATACTTCTTTTATTGCATTAGTTAATTTCTCATAGATAATATCTTAACTATTGATACTAGGAAAAACATCTTAAACCAATTAAACAAATTTCTTTGTATCATGATAAGTCAATTTTGACATTGTATTAATTCTAATAGATTTAATTAGTAACTCTGATTCAATTGTTTCATTAATTGCTATTCCCTATTTTCTTTCTTCTTATATAATTTATCCTGCCACTGTTAATATAGTTTTAAGTGCTCTTAATCCCCAATCATAATGTTATTATGGACTTAATAATTGTCTTGATAATGTAAATATTGTGATTATTTTCTCTGCTAAAATCTTAGCATTCTTGAATCCTTCAGAATATAGTAAGACTTCAGCAATCAATTCATTATCTGGTATTGACATAGCGACAGGTCTAAATAACTACTTTAAATTATCTGGTAATTTTGATCTTCCTCCATAATTCTTACCTGCAGGATTCAATGTCACAAATATACCTGAATCNAAGTAGATTCAATTTGATTCAATAACATACTCTTTTTGTCTTCTTCACATTCTAATTTATTAATCCATCTAGTAACTAAAGATTACATACTGATATCTTCATTATTCAAAAATATCATTCCCATTCTACTAACAGTAGCAGGTGATGCATATTATAAATCAGAAGTTTCAAAGATAAAATTAACATTATTCTAAAATGAAATACGTTCACCAGTAGGTAATGTTAATAAATGATTATCATCTAAAACAGAATTTAATGATTCAATCCATTCAGGATCAATATCTCCATCACAAATAATCCAATTTAAAACATCTACTGATTCTTTAACTACTAATCTAGCTGATGCTGTTAATACTCCTTCACTAAATTCTCTTGTGTCATTATTCATATTTCCTAATAATTAACTTCTAGGCATAGATTTAGGATTCATAACATGAGTTTTAACTTATTATCCTAATTTCTCATGTGCTTTCTTTAAAACCTTCCATATTGTAGTTTTACCACAACCAGATGGACCTACTAAAACTACACCCATTCTCTATTTGGTTGCTTCATAAAACTATAGAATCTTTGCAATTTGATTATCTATTTCACTCAATTTCATGCTTTATAATACTTCTTTTATTGCATTAGTTAATTTCTCATAGATAATATCTTAACTATTGATACTAGGAAAAACATCTTAAACCAATTAAACAAATTTCTTTGTATCATGATAAGTCAATTTTGACATTGTATTAATTCTAATAGATTTAATTAGTAACTCTGATTCAATTGTTTCATTAATTGTTATTCCCTATTTTCTTTCTTCTTATATAATTTATCCTGCTACCGTTAATATAGTTTTAAGTGCTCTTAATCCCCAATCATAATGTTATTATGGACTTAACAATTGTCTTGATAATGTAAATATTGTGATTATTTTCTCTGCTAAAATCTTAGCATTCTTGAATCCTTCAGAATATAGTAAGACTTCAGCAATCAATTCATTATCTGGTATTGACATAGCGACAGGTCTAAATAACTACTTTAAATTATCTGGTAATTTTGATCTTCCTCCATAATTCTTACCTGCAGGATTCAATGTCACAAATATACCTGAATCCTTATTAACTATACAGGTCTAACCCATCAAAGTCATAGATTATGAATTCTCTTTAATAGCATTTTAAATTATTTAAATTTATTAAGATATTGCTGACAATTATTCTTCTAACAATCTATTGAATTCATCAAAACAACCCCATGCTCCACATTTAACTAATCCCATGAATATACGTCCCATACTCTTGAAATCTATTCCTTCATCACAATTGAAAACCAACACTTATCTACCAAATAATTATCCCAATGCTTTAACAGATTCTGTCTTACCTGTACCTGCTGGACCATAAGGATTACCTCCATAACCCATAGACATTCCTTAAGTCAATGTTAAATAGCATTTATCTGTTAATGGTGTATGCACTAATTTTTAACCATTTCCTTGATATTCATATGTATAATCAAATCTTGCTTTACACATTATTATTTGTGCATCTTTTTAATATTCATATTTTAATTATTTATACCAATACCAATCTGATAATACTGAAACCTTATTGTCATTGAGTTAATTTATTATATCTAAATGATGAATAAGATCTAAAATCAATGATTTTAATTTTAATTGTAATAGAAAATTATTTGAAGATTGTGCATTCAATTAAGTATATTAATCTAATAATTTTAACTATGTCTATTTGAATTAAGGTAACTTATTTGAATTCAATGCTGATACTGCTTATTCAGTGAATTTAATTCTATTAATATTTTATATATAGATTACTCCTCTGACAAACAAAGAATTTAAGATGGGAATTTATTGAAATCCATATTCTACTCTTTTAAGCATTATTTTAATAATAAACTCAATGTCTCTTTCATATTTGATGATAATACTGATAACCAACTCTCTACAATATCATTTACTTAAATAGAATTATTAAATTGAACTTATTCCTTTTAAGATGATAACATAGAATAAATTTAAGTATTATCCTTACTGAATTCTACAGAATTTATTCCAGCAAATAATTTCTTCAGATGCATCTAAATGACTTGAGGATTCTATGATTGACCCAATATTTCTAATAAATCATCATCTCCCAAAAAGTAAAATCTTGGAAACTTGCCTCTTTTTTCTTCTAAATAATCATTCAATGCCTTCTAACATCTTTCTAATTAATCTAAAACTGTATCCAAAGTATCTTTGATACCTGGAATACTACATAAAGAAACTACCTTTTGATCTCTTTGAATTCCTAACATTATATTTCTGAAATCTTCATCTAATCTTCTAAATCTTGCTTATTCTTATGGTAATGCTCCTCTTACAAAAATAGGCTCCAAATACACCCATTTTCTTTAGATAATTTATAATTTGGATAAATATTCATCAATACCACCTAATTTCAATTCAAATTAATCAACTTAATCTTTGAATCTACTGATGAATTTGGATTCCTTTAAAGATGCTAATAATGATTAATTATCACTAACTTTTGTCATTAATTCTTTCCATTCTTTAATTAATGGAGTGACTCTGTTATTATTAGTATAATCAGTTAAATCAAATTCTGAAGTATCACACCATGTTTTCAATTCAAAGATAGCTTCTCTCAATGTAATTTCTCCTTATGCTCTTGCTTATAATTCTCTAATATCATTTTATTTATCTAATATTAATTTATCACAATTAAGTAAGTCTTTGAATAGTAATTTTTCTTTTTTCATTTCCTTTTACTTAAGAATCATAAACAAATTAGTCCAATGTTCAGGTTCAAATGCATCTCCAACTATTAATTTTAATAATGGATTTATTTTGAGATATAATTCAATTTAAGAATAGATATAATTGATAATTGCCTCCTTTTTAGTAAATGTACCTTTGTTTAATTCTGCCTTTAATTATTCTTATTCTTGTAATAATAATTCTTAAAACATGTATAATTTAGTTCTAAAACTCAACCAATCTTCTTTTCCTAAATTATTAATATTTTATTAAAATTTATCATAATAACCCCATACTACTTCTGATTCTGTCATTTCAACCTTAACCTTCTCATATTAAGTAAAGGTTGGAACTTCCATTTCGAAATGTTAATGATCTTTAATAAGAGTCTAAATCTTTTCATCTAATTATTTCCATTATTATCTCCATTGTAACATATTCTCTGCTAATTCATTTGCTGATTATCTATCTAATTCACTTAATTATTTTGGTTTAACAGCTGAATATCTTGAATAAAATTTTTCAATTTCACTATCTACTTCCTTAGCTCTTGCTTACATATCCTTTTTTAATTGTTTAGTTTATTCAGCTAAAATTGAATCAAAATCTCCAATTAATAATTCAAAATTCTCCCAATTTTTATTTATTTATTATAATTATAATAGTATGGGATTCTAGGCTTGAGATTATGAACTTAAAGAATTAATTAATTTTTATTTCTATTAACAATCTTGCATTTTTTAAGTCATTTCAAATTTCTATGCTTTTATATCAACATATTTTTTTTATGCTTCATTCATTTCATTCATATTTTATGGTTTTTATGATAATTTCTATTATGTTTCACTTAAAAATAATTCAATTTCAATTATATTATTTTTAATTTAATTTTTTAATTCATTTAACATATTATCTACTAATTTAGTTAATAATTCATCAATTTATTACTTAAACATACTTATATTAATATTAAAGCATTCAATCTTTTAATAATCATTAATTTTTTCTAATTCTTTTCTTCTCTATCTAACCTCTTTCATGAATTTTTCCCATTCTTCTAAATTACCCAATTATAATTATAATTGTTCAGCATCTAATAATGCAACTACTGACCAACTCATATATTGACTACTTAAACTAATTAATTTTTCAAATATCTATTCACTTTTCTCATAAACTTATATAACAAATACAGCATTCCTTTCTGGCATCAACATATAAATATCATTATTCCCTCCAACACCTATAAATTAAGATGGATATTATATATATTTTTTTAATTCATTATAGTATTTTTCTCTTAATTCTTCAATAGATGGCTTATATACAACCTAACCATTTTTAATAATAAGATCTGCTTATATCTCATTAATAGCATGATCCATTTCTTAGAATCCTTTCTTATATTAAAATTCTAAAGCCTTATATAATTAAAAATCAATATGAGTTCTCCATCCAACTGTAAATTTACCATCAATATTATTGCATGTCTAATCAATTATTTTTTTTATTTAATCAACTTTCTCTTTCCATAAATTCTTTTATTTCAATTCAATCTAAAATAAAATACAAACATTATCAATTATTTATTAATGATTTTTTCTTAATCTTTTATTTTCTTACATAATTTCATTAGCAGATTCTTAAACTTTTTAAACATAATTTTCTAATTCTTGAGTGTTTTCCCAAGTGATACTATTTTTTTTTTTTGAATTTTTTACAGTATCTTCAAATTTTACTGCTTAATTGATTAACATAGGTTTTTAACATTCAATAATTTAATCAGACATTTAATTATAGAAACTTGCTATAGATTTCAAAGTAAGAGCTTCTTTATAAAATTTCTTTCCTGTTTCTACAATTGTATGTATTTCATTTGATATATTTCTTCTATAGCCAAGTTCACATAATTATCTCACTTCCTTTATTAATTATACTAATTTATCTGAATAATTAACTCTTACTAAACCATCTTACATATCAATTTCCATCAATTTTCCTGAAATCTGTAAAGATATTTCATTCTACTTTAATTATTAATCAATTTCTCTTCTCCATTAATCAAATAATTCTTATTCAAACTATTATACTTATTTTATAAGATTTTAACACATAACAATAAATTGAGCTGATTTTTTAATATCATTAAATAATTATTAAATTAATTAAATGATTCTTTTAACTTTACCAATCAATGATTTACACCATACAATTTAATGTATATTTTTAGTGAATCCAATTTAATAAGGTAATTTCTCTTCATCTCCATCATCAAGAAAAGCAGCTCCTGATCTAGTATTAAATTCTTATTCAATTTTAGAAATCATATTTGTAATTGAAGTTATCAATGAATCACGTTCTGTTAAAAAATGTTTCTATATAGAATTTCTAGATAATAATCCAGTCCATCTTTGCATCTCTCTAATAGTTTATAATGGATTCTCCTTCATTACTTATTATTTAAAAATCTATTATCTTAAAAGATTTAAGATTTCTTATTCAGCACTCTCTAAATTATTAAGTACTTTTTTGTAAGCAACATTAAACAAAGAATCTTAACCTATTGACATAAATGGATTAATCTCAAATAGTTCTTTAAAGAAATCTTAGTCTAAATTGCTTCTCTTTAATTCTTCATAAATACTTTTCAATTCAATTAGATCACTCAATCTCTTCTCTATTTATTCAAATTCATGCATATTAGGATTAATTTTCCAATCATATTCAAAGTATTTCCTTAAATTTTCTCCGAACATTCTAATCATTTTTTAACATTCCAATAAAAGAAGTTTTTGTTATTAAGAATTACTAAAAATTTATTATCCTTATGGTATTAAGTGTTATAATTTGATTATAATCTAATTATAAATAGAGGATAACATCACTTATAGTTTTTATTCATTATATAACTGTTAAGTGAATAACTCATCAAGACATACCAAAGTTTGATCCAACAGATCTGAAAATTTGTTTATCTCTAATTATTTAACATCTTTCCATAGTTATGTAACCTTTTAGTAAATCTGACAAATTTGATTTGCTGTTCTTTATTAACTTTCTGAACTTGTTGCAGATTATGAAATTCTCAACCATTATTCTATTTCATCAATTGGTCGACTAACATTTCTCTATTCTGTTTATATATTATCTAAATCATTATCTTAAAGTCCTTATAACACTTGCCTAATAATTTAAATCTAATTTTATTACTTGAATCCTGATAACTTTTTTTTAATTTTATCATCAACACCAGCTCCCATTAATGGTTAATAGATCAATGATAAATGATTACTTAATTCTGTTACTACATTAGGTGATAATAATTAGACTGTGAGATTAGTAAAATAATTATCCTCAGTTATTACATCTGTTTCAATTTTAGTTATGGCAATCAATTTAGTTTATGGATTTAATTCATCTAAATATTGCATTTCATTTTACCAACTTTACTAGGATTAAATAATTTTAATCCTTAACCTTACATGTATTAAAGAATTAAACATTGTTTCTCTTAACCAATCATAAATTTATCTAATGTTTACCCTGTAGCTAAACCTTGAGGAGTTTGAGGCAAATTAAGAAGAGCCTAAACACAATTAACTAAATATTATTTTGCCGGGTCCATCAAATAATAAAATAAATATTAAAATTCAAAGTATTCTCTACTTCTAATATATTAATTTGAGTTTCTAAATTTAATTACAAAAATGAAAATAAAATAGAAATCATTTCTTATGAATTTAAAATATAGTAGTAATTTAAGCACTTAAACTATGATATTTTTCAGATAATAAGTTATCTTCTTTGTAATATTCATAATCATCAAATTAAGTTGTTTTAAATAATGGTTATGGTTTTTTCAATTAATCAGGCAAAGTTTATAAGTATATCTTATTGTGACTTTTCAATTCATCTGGAATTGGTTCTTAAACTTCCTCACTAATTTCCTCTATAGATCTCTAATAAATGATTCCCATTGAATTATATATACTTAAATTTTGATTCCCACTGCCATAATTACTATAACTATTTTATTAGGATTCTTATTTAGTTGTGGGAGGCTATAATTATTAAAATTTTGAAGGAGTTTAAGCAAGTAAATTATTGCAATTTAATAAATTAGAAGAAAACTTTTCATATTACTTTTGTGGCAATTCATCAATTTATAAAGTTCCATATCTATTCATATTTTTATCATAATTAAACAATTAAGTTTCCCATTCATACTTATGATCCATAACAATATTAGCATGTTTAGCTGCTTATTAAATCAAATTCACAATTGTCTTATAATCTGGTTCAGATGCATAATTCAATTTTCTCAAATACCTTAATATGGTTTAATTTTGTTACTCTTAAATTTTTATGAATTCAATTGGTAAATCTTTAAAAAGTTCTTTAACTTCTATATTCTCTTTCATCTATCCTATTTTTTAAGTCTTTTAATCATCAGGTACATGCTTTATGTTTTGCCATGGTAAATTACTAAACTAATACTATTTTCAAGCTGATACCCTTTTAAACAATATAACATAACATAAAATAATGACTCTAAATCATCCTTTCTTCCTAATTCAAATCCTTTATGTGCTGCTATTGAAGCATATCTTGAAGTACCTATGAAAGGAAGTCGATCCTTAAAAGGCCTTTTTTTCATAATTTAAGATAATACATTAAAATTCCATTTTTGCGAATATAGATTTTACTTATTCCAAAATCAATTAGATACACCTTATTTTTATCATCCAACATCATATTCTCAGGTTTTAAGTCTCTATGTAGAACACCTTGTTTGTGTATTTATTCTAATATTAAAACCAGTTCTATTGATAGTTAGAAAACAGATTTTAAACTAAATTTTTTCCTTTATTTAAGGATGGAAGCCAGATCTTTCTATAACAATTCCATGACAATAACATTATACGAATCCTCCCAACCATGATAAAATATTTATGGCACTCCTATAATATTTGATAATCTTGATAAAATTTCAATTTCCTTATCAAGAGAATGTAAGTGTTCATTTTCTGGTCTTTCAACCTTTATAGCTACTTAATTTCCATTTTTTTAATCTATTCCTTAAAAAACTATTCCAAAGGACCCTTAAGAAATCTTCTTTTAAGTGACGAACTGATTATTAATTTTGAGTTATTTCATACAGATTATTTTAATAATTTATGTAAGAATATAATTAAACATTCCATGCTATAAGATAATTTTTGAATACATCTCAAATTTAAATACTCACGAACCTACTTAAAAAACAGAAGAATCTGCAAAAGTGAAAATCATTTTAGGATAGTCACTCAAAACGATATTAATAAATAAACCCTAACCTTTTATTTAAACTTCATATCGGTTTCCAAGAAAATATTTTTGAAATTTATAATAAGAAAAACTTTTATATTGTGTAATAATTGGATTTAGGCTAATGAACAATAAGTATTTGATTACAAAGTTTTTTATTGGAGCAATCAATTCCTTCCAAATCACATTCAAACTCAAAACTCATTTTGATCCTATAAAATGAATTTAGATTTCAATACTAAAATAACTTTAGTTTAATTTAAGATAATAGTAATTTATAGATTAATCTTAAGCATAATTGACTTAGGAAGAAGAATTATATTAGAAAATGAAAACATTTAAAAGAATTTAGAAGCTAATTCCAAAATTAATTGAGCTTAAAATATTTAGAGTTTAAATTACAAAAATAAGGATAAAAATTAAATCAAATAAAATAATATTTTTATGTTTTACAAAAGAAAAAAAAGGTTTATTTTGACTTTAAATTATCTTAAACTTAATAGAAATTAAATATAATGAGATTTGTTATTCATTTCTAAAAACCTCTTTATAAAATGTTCAAAGGATTTTAATAGAAAAAAATATTTAGTTCTTTTAATTAAATTATTATTAATAATATTATTTGTTTAAAATTTATATATTATAGATATTTATATTAAGAAATTTAGATTATAAAAAACAATAAATTACAATATATATTAAATTTATTCAATTTCCTTATTTAACTTTTCTTCTAGTTCCATTTAATGATCCATCTAATTATGTTAATGAACCAATAATATTAAAAATCATAAATATTAAAGTACTTACTAGAAAATAATAAAATTATTTTATGTTTCCTTTTCCAATACATTTTCCTGTCCATGGACAATGATGATCCATTTCCTAGATACATAAATCACAATCCCTACAATGAACTGTACCATGCAATTATAATAATTTACACACACTACAATACCAAGTTTTGCTATCATTTTCTATGTTTAATTATTGTGAACATCTTGGTCTATTATCCATAGAATTATTTTTATCGTAATTAATTACTCCTGGGTTAATTAAAGCTACCCAAGCATAACTCCAACATTGATTGACACAAACTATAAAAGTTGCCCATTTTATAAATTCAGATGATGTACTTGTAAAATGCCATCCTATTAAAAAGATACTAGCTGCAATAAATAAAGAATATGCAAAAATAAACAATGGCCCTATTTAATAATATTTAAAATATTACAATGAGGGCCAATAACAATTTTTGGAATATTGTTTTTTATAACTAATGGGTAACAATTTCCCCATCTTATATCAACCGGGGTTTAGTAAGTTTCATCAAGTTCTAAAGGTTCAGGAGCTATAGATTTTAATCCAGTTTCTTCATCGCACTTTTAAGACGAATCCAAACTCATAATTATTTAGTTATTTTATTGAATAAGAATTGTAATAAAAATGAAAACATTAATAAATCTAAAATTATCTATTTTAAATACTATTATTCTTTAATTTTGACTTAGAAGAAATTTAAGTGTCTTTTAAAATGAGTTTAAAAATAGAATTTTAGAAATATTTTTATTGTTTAGGACACTTATTGTTTTATAATATTTATTATAAATAATATTCATTTTAATAAAATTATGTTAAATTATTTGATTGATATAGAAAAAAAAATAATATATAAATAATAAATGAATATTCATTTAATTAATGATTAATTACTTGATTGCAAAAACATCTTTTTTCATTTTTGGAAAAATAACTGATTTCTTCTTCTCAAATTTATTGTTAATTATCTAATAAAATAATTGAATTTATATAATTATATTGAAATTAATAACATTAATAAATATAAAATGTAGCTAGATCAAGAAACTCTAAATCTATTATTCAAAGAATTATTTAATTTAGATTAGTTACCGAATAAAGATAGTGAAGAGTTAACAGAACAATATGAATATTACGATAACACTGAAAGAAAATTTCTAAAATAATTTCATAATAAATAATTAAATAATGAAAACGAAGTTAAGTATACTCTTATTATCATACATTAGATTATTGCATCGATTTATTGCCAGACTTGCTGAAGCTTATTAAGTTTTGTTGGCTAAAAAATCTATATTTAGATCAAAAGCATCAACATTTCAGCCAACCATTTATAATTGTTTATCAAACATGTATGATGGTAAATAAGGAGTATTTATTTAACTCATTTAATCCATCTTCACTGAATGTAAATTATAATTGGAAATTGCAAATAGAAAGCTAACAAATAATGACATAGTTAAGCGAGTGAGTATTATATTTTATTATTATAAAGATTCATAGTTAAGATTAAGACTCATAGAATAACGAATCATTATAATAACAATAATAATTATCAATAACTTAATTATTATAATAAAGAAAGAGTACATAACCTGAATGGTAGATTAATATTAATAACAATAAGAATTTAAGCTAATATTTCAAAAAGACTCATTTAAAACTTTATGATTTACTTTCAATAGACAAGTAAATTACTTATTTATAGGTAGAGCGTAAGATGATTAAATTCTATATTTTTAAAGCAGGGAATAAAATATGGATAAATTATTCTAATAGTTGATGTAATAGAATACTCATATAAAGAAATCTTTGAATTGGGCTGTCGATTTAGATATGGATTAGTTTGAAAAACATATTTAATTAATGTAATTCAAGTAGAACTCAATTACAATTCCAAATATATAATTTACACCAGCCGATGTTATTAAAACTGATTAATTTGATGGATAAAAGACTGTAAGTTCATTTTTCTCATAAAATGAGCAATATAAAATAAGAAGTTTCTCATAAAATTCTAAAATTAAAGATCTCTATTCATTCAGTGAAAAAATAAACATTTTTCATCCAAATTATTAAGATTCAATTAAATATAAGATATCATAATCAAGATTAGATAATTAACATTAACAAAAAAGATAATTAGCTTAATAGCAAATAATAAAATAATCTCCTGTAGTAAATATGTTGACAAGAAAAATGATTTTTGAGCAATAACCTCAAAATTCCAAAAAAAAAACTAAGTCTTTTAGATTTAAAAATTGATTTATAATTTTTTCACAATTGTTTTTAAAGATAAATCTTAATGATATTTAATTATCTTGTTAAAATTTTAATAACACTTTTTTATACTAAGATTTAACCCAAAATTACATCAATAATTATTATTAATTCTATTTTGTTGTAGATAATAATCATATTTTTAATTCAAAGTTCTTTTTTGATGATCCACCAAAAAGAATATAAATTTTCCATTTTCTTTAGATATTATAAAAATGATTAATATATTGATTTTATTTTCTTTATTTGCCTTAACTTTTATTTCAAATACTAAAAAACTTCTTATTTAGAAGGATCTGTTATAAACAATTATAAATAAAAGATGCTTTATGGGAACACAACAATAATTTAAATTTGTAGAATCATAATTAAAAACTACTTTTTTCATAAGTCAATCTTTTAATAAGGATTGTAATAATTCAATACTCTAATTATGGGAATTATCTGAAACATTTTAGTACGGAAATTGGTGTGGGAAAAACTATGGAGGTTTTAATAATGATTGTAGAAAATTTTGCGAAATAGATTTATTTACACCTAGTGAAGATTGTGTGAAATGTAATTAACCTACTGATTGGGTGGACGAATAGTGTATGTATCATGATTTTTGTATGACCAGATTTGAATCTATGAGCATTGGTTATGGAATGGCTTGCTCAGACTCTATTAATCTAGGCAATCCTTTTCCATCACCTTGTAATTGTGCTTAAAATTTAACAGAACATTTGAAATTAAATTATCTTTTTGAACAATGTTAATTAGATGTANATTTGATGGATAAAAGACTGTAAGTTCATTTTTCTCATAAAATGAGCAATATAAAATAAGAAGTTTCTCATAAAATTCTAAAATTAAAGATCTCTATTCATTCAGTGAAAAAATAAACATTTTTCATCCAAATTATTAAGATTCAATTAAATATAAGATATCATAATCAAGATTAGATAATTAACATTAACAAAAAAGATAATTAGCTTAATAGCAAATAATAAAATAATCTCCTGTAGTAAATATGTTGACAAGAAAAATGATTTTTGAGCAATAACCTCAAAATTCCAAAAAAAAAACTAAGTCTTTTAGATTTAAAAATTGATTTATAATTTTTTCACAATTGTTTTTAAAGATAAATCTTAATGATATTTAATTATCTTGTTAAAATTTTAATAACACTTTTTTATACTAAGATTTAACCCAAAATTACATCAATAATTATTATTAATTCTATTTTGTTGTAGATAATAATCATATTTTTAATTCAAAGTTCTTTTTTGATGATCCACCAAAAAGAATATAAATTTTCCATTTTCTTTAGATATTATAAAAATGATTAATATATTGATTTTATTTTCTTTATTTGCCTTAACTTTTATTTCAAATACTAAAAAACTTCTTATTTAGAAGGATCTGTTATAAACAATTATAAATAAAAGATGCTTTATGGGAACACAACAATAATTTAAATTTGTAGAATCATAATTAAAAACTACTTTTTTCATAAGTCAATCTTTTAATAAGGATTGTAATAATTCAATACTCTAATTATGGGAATTATCTGAAACATTTTAGTACGGAAATTGGTGTGGGAAAAACTATGGAGGTTTTAATAATGATTGTAGAAAATTTTGCGAAATAGATTTATTTACACCTAGTGAAGATTGTGTGAAATGTAATTAACCTACTGATTGGGTGGACGAATAGTGTATGTATCATGATTTTTGTATGACCAGATTTGAATCTATGAGCATTGGTTATGGAATGGCTTGCTCAGACTCTATTAATCTAGGCAATCCTTTTCCATCACCTTGTAATTGTGCTTAAAATTTAACAGAACATTTGAAATTAAATTATCTTTTTGAACAATGTTAATTAGATGTAGAATGTGAAATGAATGGAGAAATTATTTAGAATTTTTTCAATAGTGAATTGCTAAAATGTTCCTGTACTTACTTATAATGTAACAATAATACAATTGACTCAAATGGAAATCCTATTGTTATAGATGAACCATTAGAGTGCTGGAATGCAACGGCTTGTATCAAGCCTGAATAATGTACAAGTTTAAATGGAGAATGACTAATAAATTTATATTTAAAGCATTCTAAGAATGATCAATTTGATTAAAATTTCGAAATATTTTATTATGTTCTTAGAATATATTGAAACTAAAACAATTACTCTGATTTACAGATTATTTAAGAAAAATAATTGATTTATTTCTTAAGTTTATAAAATTTATTATAGAAGCTAATCTTTATTCAAAAAAAAATTTAGCTTAATCTTGACACATAAGTTAATCAAAATCTTTATATAAAGAAAATTTTATTCACCATTTTCTAATTTTTTGAATACATTTTAGCAAATTAATTATTCTATATTAAAAATTGGATGAAAAGAAAAAAATAGAATAATAATGATAATGTTGATGGAAATTGTGAAGAACACATTAGAAGTACAATTATATAAAATATTTATAACAAAATGTTAATCAATAATTATTTAGAAAAAGTCTTCCATTTAAGAAAGACTTGTATAGTAAATATAGATAAAGAAAGAAAAAGTAGTTTTTCAATTATTATCATAAGCACCTAAAAAGGCTAAATTTTATATTTCAAGAAAGCACAACAAATTTTGATAAATATTTCATTAACAAGCCTGGGCAAACTTGCTTAAGATCATTGTACCTAAATTCTGTTCCTAATGGATTAACTCCATCAGCTCTTTATTTCCATTCTAATCGAAACATATAGTTTTCTAATTTTGAATAAAGTATTTCTGATCGTTATCCAACTAAAATATGACTTGATATATGAGAAGGAAGATCACATCGAAATTCTCCTCGTATATGATTTTTATTTATAGGTAAATTCAAGCCTTGCTAATCCTCTACTTTTAATCTTCTTTAATGTTACTTATTTTATGTGTTTAATTTTCCCATTAAATATTTATTAAATTTTATAAAATATGAAAAATTTATAAACATAAATATGTAAGATTGAAATTTAATACTATCTAGTATTTTAATTCATTAAAGATAATATTTAAAACTTTAAATGATACTTTTAATAAAAAGCTAATCATTATGCTTGCTAATTTAATTATTGAGATTAAATTAATTTTAATATTTCATTAAGATTTAAAGTACAAATAATGGTTATCCTCTAATTATATACTAAAATTTGATATGATACTTTATAAAGTATTCATGCGTAATATTTTGAACAATTTAGGTGATATCTATTATTAATATTAATTGTAGGACAAGATTGCTTTTTAAAAAATCAAAAACTAATCATATTTAAAACAAAAATTATGTAAAATAATTTTATTCAAATATAAAAATTGTAAATGTAAGTATAACAGGAAAGAAATTTAAATAATTAAAGATCAATTTAGAATAAAAATCTATCTTAAAACATAATTAATTTTTATATAAAATAATATTAAAATAAATTGATTTTTTAAATTAGAATCTAATATGATTGATGTACAGAATTGATACTTTTTAAATCATTCTAATAAGAAGAATTTTGCTTGAGTTTTATTATTACTCTAAAGCAAATGATAATAATTTAGTTAGAGAAGACAATTAATTATCTCTTATCTTAATAATATTAGGAATATAAGAGAATGTTATTCTTATCCTCCAATTTAGTATTCAAAAAAAAAATATAGTGAAGTAATAATCATTATATCTTTTTCAATAAATTTATCAATTACATTCATAAAGATAAAGAAATTTTAAATTAAGATTAATCATTCTTAATTCTGATTTTTAAAATATTAATCATAAAAAATGACATAAAATTTATAAAAAAATGAGTGCCTATTTTCACACTTTTATTTTAATTAAAGTTGCATAAAAAAAATTGAATTGATTCTATCTCCACCATCGTCTTACTATTATTAAATTAAAAAAATGAGATTGACGAAATGTTAAAAAAATTCAAAAAAAACCCAATTTTGAATGATTTTTAAGTTAAGCATAATTTATCATATTTCATTTCTCATCCCTTATCCATTAATTCTTACGACTAAAAATTTTAGTATTATAATATTATTTACACTGATTAAAATGGATCATTCTCCTACAGATCGTAATCATCCCATATACCAACTTTTTTACCATTTTTATATTCTCCTTTTTGAGTTATTTATTTTGAATCATCGAAATCATTGATCAACTCAATCCACTGCCCAAATTTAATTCCTTCACCTACTTCATCATATGACCCCCCACCACTAGAAATTAAATACTTTGTTTAATTGAATTTTCTACATTTTTTTAACAAAACCCCATTCATCTTCATACCAGATATCCCATCTACCTACTTTTTTACCGTTTTTATATTCACCATGATATTTTATTTATGAATCAGCATAAAAATCTTCACTCTGCTCAACCCACTTCCCTATCTTAATGCCTGAACCTCTTTCATCATAAAATCCACCTCCTCTAGATAATTCGTTTTAAAGTTAATTACATTTTAATAAATAAATTCTAATAGTACTTTCTATAAAGAATACTCCATTCACCAATCTTCTTCTCTTGTTGATATACCCCTTGAACAAGCACTTACTTTCTATTTTCAAACCCACTATCCAACTCAGTCCACTCTCCAACCTTTATAGCAGCACCATCCTCTTCCCCATATGATCCGCCACCACTAAACTTTATTTTATAATATTTTCACACATCAATTCGTCTTGATTATTATTCATAAAAAAGATATCCCATCTACCATCTTTTTTACCAATTTTATATTCACCCTGATATGTTATTTATGAATCAGCATAAAAACCTTCACTCTACTCAACCCACTTTCCAATCTTTATGCCTAAACTTCTTTTATCATAAAATCCACCTCCTCTAGATAATTCGTTTTAAAGTTAATTACATTTTATTAAATAAATTCTAATAGTACTTTCTATAAAGAATACTCCATTCACCAACCTTCTTCTCTTGTTGATATACCCCTTGAACAAGCACTTACTTTCTATTTTCAAACCCACTATCCAACTCAGTCCACTCTCCAACCTTTATAGCAGCACCATCCTCTTCCCCATATGATCCGCCACCACTAAACTTTATTTTATAATATTGTCACACATCAATTCGTTTTGATTATTATTCATAAAAAAGATATCCCATCTACCATCTTTTTTACCATTTTTATATTCACCCTGATATGTTATTTATGAATCAGCATAAAAACCTTCACTCTGTTCAACCCACTTCCCTATCTTAATGCCATTACCTCCTTCACTATATGATCCACAACCGCTAAAGCATTTCTTCTATTTAGAATATTTACATCAGTTTAAATTTCGTTTCATTATTTTTTCTAAATAATATATCCCAAATGCCCACTTTTTTATTATCCTTATATTCACCAAAATACATAACTTATGAGTCATAACTATACCCATCACTCAATTCTATCCATTTACCAGTTTTCTGACCCTTCAAATTGTATTCTCCTCCACCACTAAGTTGATAATAATCAATAATCACATTTCTTCATCTTTATATATCATCTTCCAAAAATGTTACCTCGTTTCACACGCATATTCCCCTACTTCATAGACTTGAGATTTACTTATAATTATGTAAACAAATTTACATAATATAATTTTTAAATATGTCTTTCCATATACCCTATTTTTTATTATTAGAGTACTATCCACCTACATCATTAAGAGCTTCATCTTTCCATTTAACTATCCATTTCCCTATCTTTTGGTTCATATTATCATATTTTCCAGACCATGATAAATATTTTATTTATTCTAAATTACTAATAGCATCAGGTTTAATAAACCCCTCTATATCTTAAGTTCTAATTATATTGAACTATTTACATCCTTTTAAGTTAATCATCAGAAAAGTACTTATTTTCTTTATACATGATTTACACTTTTTAGAAACTTTTTAATGCTTATCTAAATTCAGTTGAGTCCTATATTGAGAATTTAAATGTTTACAAGTCACTACCATCATTTTGTGACTAGTATTTTTATGTGCTAATCATGTTATAATTATATTGTAGTACATAATTTTTTACTTGAGTTTCTAATAAAGAATAGCACAAATATTGCCCATTAAAAAAATCAAAAATAATTTAATACTAATTATTTAACAAAATTATTTGATATTTAATTTGAATCAAATTACAGATAATAAAATTTTGAATTTTATTTAGAGAATTGCATTTCATTCAATATTTGAGGTTTGCTCTATTCACTCTTTACTAGAGACCAAAAAATATTTAATAAATTTTAAGAATAAAGAAATAGTAACTTTGAGTTGATTAAGGGTGTTTTTGGGTTTTGGGATATTCAGTTTAATTATTGCTAATATGCAGAAAATTGGATTTAATAAAGGTAAGTATGGAAGAACAATTAAATGATAAAATTGTGATTGATTTATTTTTTGATTTAAGTATAATATCTAACAAGATACTGAAAAATTTTATAAAATATATTAATAGAAGATACTTACATAAAACAATATTATTAATTCGCAAAAAAATTTAATCAATCCAAAAAGCTATCTTATATGATTTGTAAAATTATGAAAAAAATTTAATGAGAATGAATTTTAATAAACTAATTTAAGGAAATAATAAATCTCATTTTATTTTGTTATTAAATTACATTATTTGAAAGATGTTATTTTATATAATAANATTCTCCTCCACCACTAAGTTGATAATAATCAATAATCACATTTCTTCATCTTTATATATCATCTTCCAAAAATGTTACCTCGTTTCACACGCATATTCCCCTACTTCATAGACTTGAGATTTACTTATAATTATGTAAACAAATTTACATAATATAATTTTTAAATATGTCTTTCCATATACCCTATTTTTTATTATTAGAGTACTATCCACCTACATCATTAAGAGCTTCATCTTTCCATTTAACTATCCATTTCCCTATCTTTTGGTTCATATTATCATATTTTCCAGACCATGATAAATATTTTATTTATTCTAAATTACTAATAGCATCAGGTTTAATAAACCCCTCTATATCTTAAGTTCTAATTATATTGAACTATTTACATCCTTTTAAGTTAATCATCAGAAAAGTACTTATTTTCTTTATACATGATTTACACTTTTTAGAAACTTTTTAATGCTTATCTAAATTCAGTTGAGTCCTATATTGAGAATTTAAATGTTTACAAGTCACTACCATCATTTTGTGACTAGTATTTTTATGTGCTAATCATGTTATAATTATATTGTAGTACATAATTTTTTACTTGAGTTTCTAATAAAGAATAGCACAAATATTGCCCATTAAAAAAATCAAAAATAATTTAATACTAATTATTTAACAAAATTATTTGATATTTAATTTGAATCAAATTACAGATAATAAAATTTTGAATTTTATTTAGAGAATTGCATTTCATTCAATATTTGAGGTTTGCTCTATTCACTCTTTACTAGAGACCAAAAAATATTTAATAAATTTTAAGAATAAAGAAATAGTAACTTTGAGTTGATTAAGGGTGTTTTTGGGTTTTGGGATATTCAGTTTAATTATTGCTAATATGCAGAAAATTGGATTTAATAAAGGTAAGTATGGAAGAACAATTAAATGATAAAATTGTGATTGATTTATTTTTTGATTTAAGTATAATATCTAACAAGATACTGAAAAATTTTATAAAATATATTAATAGAAGATACTTACATAAAACAATATTATTAATTCGCAAAAAAATTTAATCAATCCAAAAAGCTATCTTATATGATTTGTAAAATTATGAAAAAAATTTAATGAGAATGAATTTTAATAAACTAATTTAAGGAAATAATAAATCTCATTTTATTTTGTTATTAAATTACATTATTTGAAAGATGTTATTTTATATTATTATTTTTATAATAATATTTAATAAATATTCTATTTACTATTATTATGTAAAATTATTTATTACTATTATAAATATGATTTTAAATAATATTCTATCTACTATTATTAAGTAAAATTATTTATTATTATTTTAATAGAACAAATTATAAAAAATTATTACTTGTCACAAGTTGATTAAAACTTAGATTCTCTTTACAAAATGAATTAAAAATTAACACTCCTTAAAGAGATCTTGTAAATGCTTCTAAATTTGTTTTACAAGAAAGAATATATCTTTTTATTTAACAATTATACGGTTATATTGTTTATGATGATTAATAATTTTAAAAAAACAAGCAAATTGGTCGATCTTTATACAAAGATTGACTGAAAAATAGTATACTAAGTAGTAATCAATTCATTAAAGTAAATAACTCTATGTTAATAAAACCCTTGATATATAAGATAAAAGTTCGGAAATATTATATGAATGAATTATGGCTAATATATATACTTTATATTGAAAATTAGATATAAACAAATTTTAGATAAATTTATTAACATAAGCAGGGTGGCGAAGTGGAATCGCGTTGGGCTCATAACTCAAAGGTCGGTGGATCGAAACCACTCTCTGCTATATTTTTATTTTTAATATTCCAATTCTTAATAAGAAGCTACATAAATCTTTAATAATAATTTCAATAAATTCTTTGTTATTATTATTCAGATGTATATTCCAAATTAGAATATCTTTGGTTTAAGATGATATAATTAGATTAGAATAACTAGAACTTAACAGTCCAAATAAATGATGTATGTCCTATGAATTCTAATATGGGTTCCCAATTTTAGACTTTCCATAATTTTACAATTCCATCTTCTCCTCCTATAACCATCATATATTTTAAATCTTTTGAGAATTGAATATAATTGCATGTAGTTTTATGAGGTCATACTTAGTGGACCAATGAAAAATTATTTTAGATATTCCAAATAATAAGTTATTTATCTAAAGCAGATGTAGCCATAAATTTACAATTTTTATAAATAGCTAATCCTTTAACAGAACTTTTGTGATGTTTTAATATGCGTGATGGATTAGGTTTAGTATCATGCCAAATAACCACTTAATGATCTTAACTAATAGATACCAATTATTAAGATTATGGTACAAATCTGATTCTTTAAACTATCTTTGTATGATATTTGAATCTGAATACTGGCTCTAATGTATCGTTAATATTCCAAATTCTAATAATCTAATCATTTGAACCACGAGAAGCAATACATTAACCATCATCTGAAACATCAACACAAAAAGCATAGTCGAAATTATCGCTTATCTAACATATTTCTGTATGAGTAGAAGTATCCCAAATTTTTAATTAACCTTCACTACTTACTTTTATCACCTTATTACAATCAGGAGTTATCACAACAGAATTTATTGCAAAATAGTGTGCTGGTATAATTACTGAAGTAGATTTAAATATTAATTTATAATCTGGAACTGTGCTTTCCTAAAATATTAATATTTATATTATACTTCTGCTTCTATCTAAAGTAACCGTTCATATATTTGTTTTATTTATTATCATATGAGCAATGAATCTATCTATTATGTTTTGTAAAATTATGGAAACTATTTAATAGATTATTTTATAAAATTATATAATGAAATATCCATTACCTATGATTTTGTAAAAATATTTAAAATATAGTCCGAATAGTAATTATATTAAAAGTTTGACTTGATATCAAATTATTATAACTATTAAAAAGTTTAGATAAAACTCAATAATTGAAATTAAAACATTATAAGTCAATAAATTGGAATCTGCAAGAAATTTTCATGATTTTAATTATATTACTTATGTTCTTTTTTATATAATGTTATATAACTTGATGAAACAAATTTATACTTATTTCTTCCTACAATTGAAAGTTTTATTAATACACATTAGAATCTCTGATTATTATATTCCCTTCTACTTAAACTGATTAAGTTTCATTAAATTTTCTTTTTAGCTTCTATAGCTTTCCTATCATATTGGTATGTTTTTTGTATCCTCTTCAATATAAGTAAAAATGAGTTTTTATTGAATTAATAAAATAGTCTTATTGGTTGACTCAAGATATTTGTGTGTATATAACTATTGAAGTTACTTAATTACCTCTCTAAATAGAGAATTTATTAATGCAATTATATATCTATCAATTAATCAATTGCATTTTCTTATGAAATCTCGTCCTTATAACCTAATTTATCCTGTA